TGCGTGAACCCCTGAAGGGTTCACGCATATATATAAGTTAGAAATATAGTCTATGGAGGAATATTCGGAAGCTAAATTATTGTTCATTCAGAACACCTATTCATCTTATCTGTATTAGCTTCCTGCAATTAAGAGCACCTCCATACGGTGTATCTAAGATATTTAAAACATGGCAATAAAGAATTTTCACACATCGCTAATTCACTTATCTGATATATGATAATAAACAATCTATAGATCCTTTTCAAACATGTATATTTATTGTAAAGCTACATTTTATGCATTGCAAGGGTTTACTGACTTGAGCAAAGTTGACAGTTAATTGTGCCCTTTGATAAACAAGTGAAAGTTAAATGGTCAAGATTTAATTATAACGACCTATGGTATCAAACATCTGTGTCTAGATAATCACAGAGAGATATTTTAAAATAGTGTTGTGGTTTCTACATAATGCGTTATAGTGGGTTTTGGGATATGATTTCTAACAATAAAATCATTATGCACACTTGTCATTTTGACAAATCATATAAAAAAAATCTGTTTCAAATGAAAATTAAACAAATAAAATAAAGACTGTTCGTTAATATACATTTTTACAAATTTTACTGTTTCCTTTTTGCAGTATTCTCTATCAATTAAGTTATCTTGTAAGTTAATTAAATGTTTATTTAATTCATTGATGTCACTATTATTTCAGTGACCGCTGCAGAAAGTCTTGACTCATTCAAGAGACTACTGCATGTACATTAAATTTCAAGTCCCATGTTTTTATTTGCACCATGTATAAATGTTGTGTACAGCACAAATTATTTCCTTTCTGTTAAAATTATTTTTGGACTTGTTAAGTATGCAAGCGCACACCAAACAGTGACAGGATAGTCAACCAAATGACGGTGGTCACTTAGTGGTAGAAGTAGAAATTTTTTATATAAATCACACACTGTAATGCTCTTAAATTTATGTGTGTTTTGGATGTGCACTAGTGATTGGTAAATATTGATATGTTTCTGTGTTTTTAATATATATGATTTAACATCAAGAATTCCATTATTATGGAATCGTTCACTTTTGTACACTTCGGTATCTAAATAGAGGGTGGTAAAAGGGAGGGTCTGAATACAGAAACACGTAAAATAACAAATCGCAAAAACGTTGCACGGAAAAAAAAACACTCTGGAAAAACGAAGCCAAGGAATAAAATCGAAAATATTAGGGAAAAAAGTACCAACAGTTATTACTCAGCCGTTCTTGGAGATCATGCAGTCATTAGAAATGGACATAGCGACCCTGCATGTGGTCACCTTTTAGCGTCCGTTAGTTGCATCCGATTTATCATAGTAATACAATAGGCTATTAATAAATATGTTGGGACCAGTTAATTAGTTTATAATTTAAAACAATATTTGGGCTGACTTTGAATAAGCCCCGGTTTACTTTTTAATCAAATGCGGGACAAGCACGAGAAAATAAGAGTACCGACACGAAACACGGAAAATAATTAAGGGAAAACACGAAGCACGCACATCGAACCAAACACGAGAAAACGAGAAATAAAACATCGAAACACGGAAACACGTGAAATGAAAAGGCCGAAAACGTTGCACGAAAATAACCCTTTACCACCCTCTAAATAGGCCGGAATTCGACACCTCATATTAGAACTTAAGTAGATGGTCAATTTCGTTTGCAAGATTAAAGAAATCTTCAACTTGCTCTTATTTGCCTGTGAAGACCATAAAACCGTCATCGGACTTCTCTTGAACTGAATTTTAATGTGCGTATTGTTATGCGTTTACTTTTCTACATTGGCTAGAGGTATAGGGGGAGGGTTGAGATCTCATAAACATGTTTAACCCCGCCGCATTTTTGCGCCTGTCCCAAGTCAGGAGCCTCTAGCCTTTGTCAGTCTTGTATTATTTTTAATTTTAGTTTCTTGTGTACAATTTGGAGTTTAGTATGGCGTTCATTATCACTGAACTAGTATATATATTTGTTTAGGGGCCAGCTGAAGGACGCCTCCGGGTGCGGGAATTTCTCGCTGCATTGAAGACCTGTTGGTGACCTTCTGCTGTTGTCTGTTCTATGGTCGGGTTGTTGTCTCTTTGACACATTCCCCATTTCCATTCTCAATTTTATCCCTATTGATAGTGTAATTTGATGTTTTCTCTCCATTGGAACTTATCTAAGATTTTAATGAAAAGGGCAGACAAATGCAGATCTTCGCATGTTGGTGACAATATACCACCCATGGGCGCTCCTATAATGTGTTTGTATAACAGTCCATTAAACTCAAATTCATAGTTTCTAAGAATTAATTTAACAAATGCAGTTAAATCTATTTTGTTGAGAATCTTTAAAGAATCTTCTCCTGTGTGTCAATAAATTCTAATGCATTGATAACAGTTTCTTCTAAATTATCAATGATCATATTTGTGTACATTGACGTACATCATAGGCAATAAAAATGCATACTTTTTTTTACCTCGTGTGACTCTATTTTATTAATGAAATTTTTTGTAGAATGTAAAAGTTATGCCTCTTCAATAATTGGATGTTGGATGTGTACGGATTGATAATTTAGTCTTAGATGCATGTTTTTTTTTATTAGTTGTTAGTGGCTTTGAACTAGCTGTCAGTAACTGCGAGTACTCTCAGATCTGTACTTAGTGTCTATTTGTTGTTGGGATATACAAGTACCCGGCCACGTCCACTCTGTGTTGTATTTCTGTTTGTATCCATTTGATGAGTTAAGCCTTTTTCAACTGATTTTTATAGTTCGTTCTTATGTTGTACTGTTACACCACTGTCCCAGGTTAGGGTGAGGGTTGGGATCCCGCTAACATGTTTAACCCCGCCACATTCTGTATGTATGTGCCTGTCCGAAGTCAGGAGCCTGTAATTCAGTGGTTGCCGTTTGTTGATGTGTTACATATTTGTTTTTCGTTCATTTTTTGTACATAAATTAGGCCGTTAGTTTTCTCGTTTGAATTGTTTTACATTTGTCATTTCGGGGCCTTTTATAACTGACTATGCGGTATGGGCTTTGCTCTTAGTTGAAGGCCGTACGGTGACCTATAGTTGTTAATTTCTGTGTCATTTGGTCTCTTGTGGAGAGTTATCTCATTGACAATCATACCACATCTTCTTTTTTATATTTATAATTAGATCAAGTAAGCATCTCTCGCGGGAGAGTTACACTTATTGATGATTGGTCGGTAACGAACATTAATGTGTCATGCTAGCTGACCAGTTCGCAATGCCTCATTACTTATTTCTAGATTAATTTTATGAATTTTTGGAAGAAGGTACATGTGTCCTCTATGTTTTGAATTATTATTATTCTTTAAGAAATTATACGTCTGGGAATCTTTTTGTTTCTCTCCTTGCTTTATATTTAACCCTTTTCTCAACATGCCAAAATTGTAATGATTTACAATAAAACAAAAATATTATCCTCCACACACATGGCCAAGATAACACTGATATATAATTTCTTATTCAGTTGAATTAATAATTAGAATAAAAAAGTTCTAAGGTTCACGTATTGTCTTTTTTTTTAAAAAGCAACTTGTTAATATATTGTTATACAGTATGTTAATTATATTGAACTGACGAGAATTAGATTTCTGCGTGCTCTATTGCGGTTCGCCTTAGACATTAAAAGAATAGAAACTCTAATACAAAAAATAAAATCAATAGCATAAAAATACTGAATAGGTATCTAAACAGGACATCTGAAATCGTGTTGTTTGAGTGAGAACCAACCTTAGTTTTGTTATGATTGTATAATGCGAAGACTGACAATTCAAAATAAGAATATATCATTTTAAATATACCAATCCAAAAGCACTAGGCTAATAGATCGCCTGGAGATTAAGTCTCAGCAAGCAATAGAAACGACCCAGCGGTGGTAATTTATATATAATTTACATTTATTTGTAGTAATTGATACAATTTACATTAATTGTTTTTGTAGTAATTTATACAGTTTACATTTATTTGTAGTAATTTATACAAGTTACATTTATTTGTAACAGATAACTTTTCATTATTTTCATAATCATTTATAAATTAGTCTGTGTTTTATTTTCAATATTATAAAAAGTGATAAAACTTACTTACAAACACATTTTATATATATATAAGAAATATCTTCTTTACAACATGTGGAAATGCACACTTGTATACAATACAAATATCAAATATTTCCCGATGCACTTTTGGAAATACAAAGTAAAACTTATTAATGTTAGTTTTCCTTTTACAAAACGTGCTTATGTGATTCCAAATATACATCTTAACAGAAATGTGATAGAAAGCTGCTGTACCTAAGGTCTTAATAATAACAGATAAAGCAGTTGCACACTTTTAGATATGTATTGGTTTATGTGAAATTTCTTTATGTCAACAATCTAATAGTGATCATCATGTAATGAACTCAATGCATATAACCTGGATATAAATCATTAAAATAGATTCAATTATATATACATTTTACGCAAAATTAAAAAAAATATATTATCTAAAGTTGATGAATCTGTTTTTACTATTTTGCAAGAAGAAATGAATAAGTCTATTGTTTTATATAAATAGTGAAAGAATCGTCGTTTGTTATACGATGATGCATTGAAGTTATCATAAAAAATGGATTACACTTTGAACATGCAGATAGAGCACTTCTCTCTCAGACGTGTGACGGAATTTTACATGTTTTACTAGAAAAGATAAACCTTTAATTCTAACATGTGTTGCGTAAAATGATTCATTTAAGAATAATTAAATTCCATTCCATTCTAAAGGAGGGGAACAACTAAACGTCTGAGAGGTGTAAAGGTTGAGACATTTGCATAAGTGAGATTTTTATTAACGATGCAAAGGTGAAAAAGTTAAAATTAATTTTAAAGTTAAAAAATCAAGTGTTTAATTTTTTTAAATGGGCGTTTCTTGAAATACGCTGTGTGCTACGAGTGCAATTTAATCAGGAAGATTATCGTTCGGTTTTTACTTTTCTGGTTTTAAGTAGAAAGCGCTACATGGTGGTTTTCTAGTTAACTATGATACACTAGTATTTGTGTATTGCACATCGAGTGACAAGTGTTTGATGTTTTATTTATTTATATATGGATATCTATGCTTGAACTTTTAATTAACACCTGTCAATTAAAAGTCAATGGATGACGTCCCGTCAAGTCGTAAAGGTGTACAACTTTTGCATAGTGGGCAACGGGAGGAATTACAGTCTAAATGGCGATGCTGGTACGAACGGAAAATTTCGTCTGAATCAAACCGAGAGGAAATTCCAAAATGGAAACAGCTTTTGGCGACACACAGCTTTTCTTTTCCGAAAAATGATGACGCTGAATATCCTGAAGTTACGAATCCAGAAGTCATTAATATTGAAGACGACTTTTATGAAAACACGTTGTTACCAGAACATCTTTCGACTGAGGATAATGGAACATATTGGTCGACAGGCGATGATTTAACTTGTACATTTCAAAGTGATAATTCAGAACCCAAAGAACCTTCCGAATCGGAAAAAGTAGATTTCATAATTGGCAATTACGACACAGAAGATGAAAAAAGAATAGAGAATCCAAAGTTTTGGAAAGAATCTGATAATATCGAGGATTTAAATGCAGACGAATTAGATTATACAATTGAAAACGATGATGTTAAGTCAGAAGACAGTGTACTGAATCCGTCATTGTTGATGACAAGATACAACTTAAACGACAATTTGAATTCAAATAGAGAAAATTACAATGTAAAGACCGAAGACAGCTCAAAAGGGTTAAATTCCGATAATTTAGGGAATTTCAAAACAAACACTGTAGATTGTAGAGTTGAAAATGACAATTCAAAGGATAAAAATAGTATTATGAATCCACGGTTTTTCATGGATCCTATCAAAGACAAGGGTTTCCAAACAGACCGCGAAAAGACTAACTTATATACCGATAATTACAATATGAAAAGACCGTCGGATATAGAAAATCGCAGTGATCTTCAGTCAAATATTCCAATTTTTGTCAGTGAAACTTCCGAAGAACATTCCACTAGATACCTCAACGACTGGGAGAACCTTTCCGATTTTCCCAATGTTGGATCCACACCATCTGTTTCAAACACTGATACTGACAGCATAGTTGACAAAAACAAAGCTCTAATGCAGTATTATTGTCCATATCCCCCGAAATTACCAAGAAACAAAGAGGAATTACCAGTTAAACATTCAAGAGAAAATCTAGTACCTGAAGCAGATTATCCTAATGCTACTGATTTACTAACAGAACCTATAGCATCACGATACACTGGAATGGAACATAACTCTCCAGTTGATTTTTGTCCAGAGAACTATATGATAAATACGAATAGCATTGCAAATAGGCTTGGAACAAATACTTTAACAATCCCATCTGCCGAGCAGATATCACAGGGAGACAAATCAACAATAAGTGAACACAGATATGACAACTTCCCGGGTGTGAGTAAAGCAAAATGGATGGAATTATTGGACAGTTGGAAAATAGGTGGCCGTATGCTAAGGCCAACGCAGAACAGCGCGCGAAGCAGTGTATCTCCAATATCAGACTGTTCAACTGAAGGAAGGTGCAGAATAAATGGAACGTTTACATCTTTAGATAGAGGCTGCTTTAGGGTAGGTCAATTTCTCATATACGTTAACAAAGGCAATTGAGAAGATCTTGTTGCTATTTTGCTACTAGATAAATGTATTAAAGACACACAGCATATCATATAATCATATAACAAGTGATCTTTCGATGGAAAGCCTACACATAATGATTTTTGTTATTTTGTTCAGAAAGCAAGGTTATTTAAAAAAGAAACTGTAATTTCTAAAAACTATTATGAACCTGTGTTCATAGGAATATAACTTTATATATGGAATGCAATATGAAATTATGCAAAGGACAGAACTTTATAATATGCAGTGCATTCCTTTGTAAAAGAGAGGTGGAAGATATCAAAGGGAAATCAAGCTCATAAGTCGAAAACAAACGGACAATTACATGGCGAAAAACGACCAAAAGACAAAAACAGCGGACAATTACATGGCGAAAAACGACCAAAAGACAAAAACAGCGGGCAATTACATGGCGAAAAACGACCAAAAGACAAAAACAGCGGACAATTACATGGCGAAAAACGACCAAAAGACAAATACAGCGGGCAATTACATGGCGAAAAACGACCAAAAGACAAAAACAGCGGGCAATTACATGGCGAAAAACGACCAAAAAGACAAAAACAGCGAACAATCACATGGCGAAAAACGACCAAAAGACAAAAACAGCGGGCAATTACATGGCGAAAAACGACCAAAAGACAAAAACAGCAGGCAATTACATGGCGATAAAACGACCAAAAGACAAACAACATTCTACAAAACACAACATAAAAAACTTAAAACTTTTCTATAAACAAACAGTTGATGAGAAGGGTTGTTACCAATTTCATGATGTATAACTATCATTAAGTCAAAAAACAAAACTAAATACTTTTCTCACGTAAATCACTTTTTTGAAAATTACATCTGGACTGATACTTAACATCTCAATGCTTCAACATGATTACAGTATCAATTCACTTAGGTAACTCTTATCCAGGACAAGGGCTACTTCAAGTGATTTGTAAATATTAGTCAGAATTGAAGTATATTCACTTAAGAATATAATGTAACATTGCACATTTTATATAAAGAATTTTAATGAGAGTAAATAAGTATGTATAGCCTTGCGTAAGAGGTACATGTTAATGTAAACAGACTAAAACATTAAAGGTACCAATGTTACTACGCCAGATGCGCATTTTGACACTGAATGACTCTTCAGTGATAATCGGGACCAAATTATTTGAAAATCCAAAAAAACATAATACAAACGTTGAAGAGCTCCTAAAGGAGCAACCATTTAACTTCAAGAGGGAAAAGGGGGGTTATGGTTTTTTGTCTGAGTCAGAAAATTTTTTCGCGCAAAGAGCGAACATTATTATTTAGTTTTTCAACGCTATCAATCAAATTATTTTTTTCAAAATTTAACTATGGGGAAAATCTGGATTCAGAATATTTTTGTTTTGTTATCTGCTTGACCACAATAACTTTTTTCATCAAATTTGGGATCAAAATATTTTTTTAGGAAAAAAAACCATAACCCCCCCCCCCCCCCCCCCCCCCCCCCCCCCCCCCCCCCCTTTGAAGTGTTAAATGGTCGTCCCCTAAAAACCGAAAAAAAACAAAAACTAAAGCCAAACCCGGACAAGGAACCAGAGCTATGAATGAGGCTGATACATTCCGGACAAGGAACCAGAGCTATGGATGAGGGTGATACATACCTTAATTTGAAATGATTAAGAAATTCAATAATACGGATCAACATATAGTTGGTTTTGTTACATACAATCTTATCAAAATATAGATCTCTGAATTCACCATGGTCATATGTGCACTCGAGTCCCGATAGATCTGAATTTTAATCAGATTGTGTTACATGCGAATATGCAAAATGGTTAATTTGAGTTTTTCGCGAACCGATAAAACAGTTGACGTGTGCGTCTGAATTGAACAATTCAATCTTTTTATCAGTTTGCATCAGAACGACAATCAACCATTCAATCGATTAGTACATAGAAATCGCGTCCTTTTCTGTTCGATCGATCGAGAGGAGGACTCAAGAAAGAAATGTAATCAAGAATTACTGCTTTATACAATAATTCTATGATATTTTATGTTCTAATTTTTGCAACTTAATTTGGGAAACTATACATATATACACAATAGATATTTATATTTTTTTTTCTGTATCGTAGTAATTGTGCATATTTTGATTCATGGTAGGTCATTTATATGACAGATGAGGATTAAAAGTTTATGTACACTTTAACGTGATTTATTACCATAACAAATCAATTTTTTACAGTATTTTTATGTCAACGTGATCACCACTTGCATTTGTAATCATTCGAAAACATATGAATTACCAATAACTCTGGTCAAATATTTTTATCATGCGAATTAAAAGAGCATCGAAAAGATTGGTTCAAGGATTTGACTAGTTCGCCTATCCTAGCGTTTACACCTATAAGTATAATGTAATGATCAATCATCTTTTTCCTCAATCCACATCAATCTTCTTTGAAACTACGCCTAAATTTGCTGAAAGCTGAATGATGTAATTTGTTTCATAATAGTTAATTGATACATGGTATATCGTCCTGAATATGTTTGAAATATTTGCCACTGGACGTTACGTAAACAACAATTAATCTGAAGAAAACTAATTGTTCATATCAATATCACATCAACAAGTTAACGTACTGAATATTATGAAATATTTGCCACTGGACGTTAAACAAATAAATGTCCACAGAACTGTCCAGACTTGTCCACTGTACTCTTATAGGATATAAAGATCATACTTCTTTCTCTATTACTTTCAATTTGCAATGAAAAATTGTGACATGAGAAAGTGCTGCTGTTCCGGTAGCTGTTTGTTACATAGTGTCGGTTTCAAATGGAATTTCCGGAAAATCCGCGAACACAATTCATATGGAAATGTCTGACCCAAAACATGGTTACTAAAATCGAGTCTTGGTATCAATTTCATGGGGGGAAACCATAATATCCGGACGAAAAGTGAGATAACTACATGCAGTTTAGCAACAAGACTTGCAAAGATACTCGATAACCAGGTGGAGAATAAGACTAGAATAGAAATGAATTGGAAAAAGGGAATTTGCAATAACAATTGTTAAAAAGAAATGAAAATAGGACAAGAGATATTATCAATACAAACTAAAGGAATGACAATTTGATGTCTTTTATAAATCAAGATATCACAAATAGTAGCTGTTCTTCTTAAATGTTTTAAAAAAAGACGGCAATGGAACTTGAATTCATTATTTGAGAATATGACTCATCGAAAATATTTTGACTTAATGATTTCAATTACAGCATATGGAAATACTACTAAAATGATAAAAAATAAATGTAAGCTTTTATTCTCAAGTTGATTTTTTTCGCTAATGATAAATGACTGCTCGTGCAATAAGATGATACGATATGTTTTTTTTTATAACTAGCGTTTGACAGACATGCATTCGTTTAATTAAATTTTAAATGCATGAACACACAAATTCCTATCGAAATTAGTAAGTAGATGTTAACATTTTCAGAGAAAAAAACTTGTTTGTTCTTTTTGTAATTCCGGTGATATCAGTGACGAATTGCATTATATTTTGGAATATTAGACAATAAATGAAAGTAGACAAACGCTTTAAAAGCATCATTTTGTAAACAGACTAAAATATTTTAAATTTTAGGATCTTATGAATAGCAACAGTTTTGTGCCGTATACAAAAAAAGTTTATATTTTTCTGACATTAGCTCCATATTTTTTTTTATACTGCAACTTAAATTAATACATTGATAGCTATTTAAATTGTAGCGGAAATTGCAAACTTATTTTCATCCCTAAATGAATCCCTGATTGTGGAAAAGTGATCCATGATGAAATTGACATTGCACAAAATATAGCTTTGTTACTATATGTAGGAAATAAACACAGCTAGTTGCAGTATAACAATTCATATACAATATTAGGTCAATGTCAGAAAAATATAAACGTTTTTGTATGAGGCTGAGAAACTGGGGAAGGGCGAGATTTTACCGAGCCCTTTCCCAGTTTTGTGCCGAATACAAAAAAAGTTTATATTTTTATGACATTGACCTAATATTGTTTTTATACTGCAACTTGAGTTAAAACATTGATAGCTATTTAAATTGTTGCACACATTTCAAACTTATTTTCATCCCTTAATGAACCCCTGATTGTGGAAAAAGTGTTCCATGATGAAATCGACATTGCACAAAGTAAAGCTGTGTTACTATAATTAGGAAATAAACACAACTTGTTGCAGTATAAATACGAATATTATTGAACGCCAAGATTCTCATAGGTAACCATTTTATGTCTCTATAATACATTTGTATCTATACTTTATACGATGTACGTTAATTTATTTGTATATGTCTCTATACCATTGTACTTTGGTTTACGAGAATAAAGATATATATATATTCGTTTAATTAAATTTGAAAAGCATGAATGGATAATGTTTATATAATTGATTTCAAATGTTTTTATATATGAAATAGTTGACTTGAAATCAATTAGTATATGCTATGCATAGTGATAAATGCTAAGATTTACATTTGTCATAATACTGAAAACGTAAGACATGTGAACTTTTCACGAAAAGCCTCGTTAATGACACAACTTGACAGTAATTAACCAAAATATTTGAATTATTCATTAACATGTAAGAGTTTTTATATTTTACAGCAACAGATAAACATTATTCAGCATTTGTGTAAATAATAAAAAGTAAAAAAAATAACCCAGTTGTTATAATAAGATAATAGATAAGAAAAAAATATGTGTTTTTATTTTAATTTATCACGAACGAGTTTCTCCGTAAATTAAAGACATTGTTCATATTAGACTCCCTGAGAAAATAATCTCTACAGTGTTGAATGATTTATTGATTTGTATTATGTTTTCTGCATGTGTTTGTGCAGTACACCACCCCTCAATTATTTAGCTTAGAAGACAGTTTAAGCGAAGCGATATGCGAGAGATTAAATCATTGCCATCTTCAAGATAATGTTTTATATATATATATATGTAAAAATAAATGAAAAAAAGTAAGTAACATTGTTCATTTCTTTATATAATTGAATTTCAGCCTGCAATAAGATATCATGGATCCCACTGGATATCTAGTTTGGGAGGATCATCTACTCGACAGTCGTTTTCAACAATTTCACGTAAATCAGAAAAGAAAAAACACCGCAGAAGAAACATCATTGTCATAATCTTAATAGCATTAGCTTTGCTGGCAGCTTTAGCTATGATTGTTGGCATATCAATATTCTTTACCAAAGAAAAAGGTATGTTCCAATCTTTTATATTTTTCACAGCATTGCCTGATGAATATTCATATATGTAAATGTAGTTTTCCCACCAGATTGATCGGCCATAGTGAATCGTTTGAAGAATGAAGAACTAAATACAAAATTGGTGTCTCATTGGTAGGTTTGAAAATAGATACTGTTTAAGAACTCGAATCTGTATCCGAAATTTGGTTTAATAAATAAAACCTTATAGAATAAAGTACATTTCCCTTTTAAAATGTTGTTTGTTTTTAGTATACCACTGTCTATAGATTAGGCACTAAAACATGCACCAATCGTCATGAGACACATTAAAACAAACCAAAGATCGATTATATTTTCAGATGTTAATTCTTTAGGGGTAAAATTTCTTGAAACTGTCCTCATTTAAAAAATAGACGGAATTCAGTCTTATAGGCAACTAAGTAAACGATGATTGATTGATTGATTGTTGGTTGCTAAATGTTCAGTGGTAAACCTTTCATGCATTTTCAGGACGAGAACAAATTAAGAATAAATACAATATGTAATTCCCGTAATAGAGGCTGGGAATAGGTCGGGGAAAATAGGACTCTCACTGGAAAAACAGGTTTGTTAGATAGGGACAGACATTTTGCCTTGCAACAGGTCAATTACGTACGTCTGAAAGCGTTGTTGCAAGGGTTCTTAGCGTGCAGAGAGCGTGGCACTCTCTCTACACAATGCATCGGTTTTAACATCCCCATTCTGACCGGACGTGGTTGCGTACTTGTATTTCCCACACAGCCAAAACAGACACCCAACTTTGGCAATGGTTTTACTGTCGGTCGGAAGACGACCAATGTTACCATATTTCTATTCCCCATTCACCTTTGGGGTCGACTTACAATGATGGTCGATGATAAATATGTTATAACTGATTGTGGGGTGTTCATGATTATATAACTATAGACATTTCTTAAGACACATGATAGGTAATTCAGGGATAGCTTGAGTATACGTAGTCAACGCATCTGATTCCAATCCACTTGAAGCTTGCGACTCCGACGATTTTTATCACAATATTTATCTATGTAACCCAATCCTACGATATTTGAATGCAAATCGGCACACTGCCTGCCTTCATAGTTAATTGGTATATTAGATAACAAGCTTGTTATTTTGAGTTCTAAAGATAGCGTTACAGTCTGATTTATGAAATTTATGACAGTCACGACTTTGGTATCAATTAAGGTCTGTTTTACTAAAATATTTGGTTATTACTGTTTTGCTTCTAAAAAATAAAATAACAAAAATTCCAAACTCCAAGAAAAATTCAAAACGGAAAGTCCCTTATCAAATGGCAAAATCAAAAGCTCAAGTTTACACGTCAAACAATGGAAAACGACTGTCATATTCCTGACTTGGTACAGACATTTCCTTATGTAGAAAACGGTGGATATACAGAATTATTCAAATACATAACATTTTGAATACATTTTCATGTGTATAATAAATAATTTACGTTTTCATCAATTCTTACCAATTCAAGTACATGTACGTACATTTATATATATATATATTTACTGAAAACATGATGTTATGAATGCACAAATAACACTTTCGTCGACAGTTTGTGTAAATATTATTAGTAGTTTAATATGGATTTGCGAGATAACTGATTGATTGACAATTTTTATCACCAACTATCTTTAATATGCAGAACAATAATTATCCCTTTTGAAATAACCAAGGTCGTGCACTTATATGTAAAAAAAAACGTTTTGATGCTTCTTTGTGATATCAAGGGACAAATTTGATCAAAACACTTACTGGAATGGTAAAGAATTGATACATTATGTTAAGACAATCATACAAAAAATGTTTGAGCGTTTCAACAAGCAATATCTTAGAGCATAAAACAGAAAGCTATATCTAATAGTATCAAAAAGAATGCAATATCTAAAAGTATCAAAAAGAAGGCAATATCTAAGAGTATCAAAAGAAGGCAATATCTAAGAGTATCAAAAAGAAGGCAATATCTAAGAGTATCAAAAAGAAGGCAATATCTAAGATTATTCCATATTGATAGAACTTTAGTAGGTTTTTCTATATGAATGGGATTTTGAATAAATAAGCATTTTCACTTGCGGAAAAAGTATATTCACCGCGCAAAAACGTCGCGTGCTTTTACGTGTATAATAACGATACAATGTTTGACGTTTAGTTGGTTTTGGTAAATAACTATTATTTTATACATATTTTTCTCGCTCGGAACATGGAATAAAACAATTACTGTCTTTTGTTTCGGTAAATATGTGGTTTAATTGACTTTTGAAAAACCTAGTGACATTCACTTCGGCCGTTGGCCTCAGTGAATATCAGTTTTTCAAAAGTCAATAAAACCACACATTTACCTCATCAAAAGACAGTAATTGTATAGTGTCAAAAAAGGCAATATCTAATAGTATCATAAACGAAAAAGATCGTAAACAGAACATCCTAAAATCATCTTGTTAAACTTTATTTGACGTAAGAAATATACTGATATTTATCGTAACATTGTTAATTTTAAATGTTTGCAATCATTAGTTCAAATATGAATATTTTAGTCAGAATATGAAAGTTTAACTTACTTTGCTACTTTTATAGTGTTTTTATTAAAAAAAAAATTGGCGAACTTATGTCGCTGGATTCTAGATTAGTTGACATTGGCACCACATCTTTTTATCTTATTAACTTATCAAATGCTAAAGTATTATATCATATTTTTGTCAATACATTAATTATGCGTATAATTCAAATGCTTGCTGAGGACCGTCAAAGTATTTTATGCCAAATCATTTTATAGATATTTTTAAAGGGTGAACATTTTCAATTCACCAATGAAACGTTTAATCAACATTCAGTTTTTGAGTTTGGTACTTTATTTTTAGTGTTTTGTTTTTAATCAAGACAAGTTGTGAGAGAAACAAGTATATCATTATGTATAGTAGATTTTGATGAATTGAATTCAAAATCAAACACTTTTACTTGTACAATATTTTTAACTTGAAAAGTAGAAGGCGAGTCTAAAACTTAGAAGGTGAGGAGGGCAATTTCCATATTTTTTATTTTTTTTTGTCGTCTCAATTTAACCATGCCGATTGACTATCATGAAGGAAGATATAACATGCATTACAAAAGAGAAAAGACCAAGATGCAATAAAATCCACAAGTCGAAGAAAATCATATTATGGCATAAAATACATCGAAAAGCCAGTCAACTGTCTACAAAACGCTACATTTACATGTATGAAAACTAAAGATTGAAACACATAAACCCCATCTAAAACCGGGGTAAACTCAGCTGCTTTAGCAGGTAAAAAATTACTGCTTCACTAATCTGAAAGTAAATATCTTTTCTGCACCGGGTAAACCTCACAGCAAGATATATTTCATCAAAGAAGAAAAACCAACTAAACTTACATACACCTTTACAATATTAATCTTATTATTCGATAACTTGTAGAATTTATAAATTTTAAACTTTGAAATAATATCTCTAAATATTTTCTACAATCTTTTTTTGGAATACCTGTCGGCGTGGTCATGTCATATCAACTGCTTCAAGCTTAAAACTAAGATTGATAACATTGACGGATTGTAATTTATACTTGCATTAAAACACATGTTTGTAAATCAAAGTAATTGATGTTCTTTTAAAGATGATAAGATGCAGTACTTGACATATAAACAGCACAAATCAGTCAAAAATTATCATAATTCACTTTTATGTTATACCCTAGAGGTTTGTTTCCTTGAAATAATAACTTGAATTATCTATAGGCATGAAATTACAATTTAATTTTTGAAAGAAAAAAGTATCAAACGTGTTTTACTATCAACGATAGAAAATTTTCAAAATGTATCATGCAAAGGCAGTTGAAAGTTTGCGATAAACCTAGATGTAACTCGATAGAGATTGTTTCCCAACATCGGTCAGGTCGGTTATTCACTAACATTTGTTTTGTAATTGTCTGTTAGACAGCTGCTCTCAAAAATATTTCCACGACAAGATATTTATTTGTTTAAGATGGCTCGGACATCTGACGGCCTTCTTAGGACTTGTTGGGGTCATGGGACGTTAGAGCGATGGTGTTCAATACCTTGTGGCCTTCAACAATGTACACTAGCCAACAATATATTTTTGTTTTGAAAAAAAACCATCTGAAATCATTCATACAATGTACAATGTAATGTCTAATAAAGACAAGAAACTGTATCTGTGAAAAAAAATAAATGAACCCCGAGACAGTAAAAGTGAACAAACAGCAGGGAAATGGACATGCTATCATTACTGTTTGGTCATAACGTTTAAATTTTGATCAATGTAGGAATCGTAGATACAACAAAACTCCAACAACAAATACACAGAAGTTGATATCATAGATATACTGGACTTTTTGATCGACAACATATTTGTTGAGTTTGGTGGATTGATATTTCAACTGCCAGTCGGTATTCTAATGGGTACTTAATGTGCACCCCTACTGGGCGGCTTGTTGTTGTACTCATATGAAGCAGAATTTATACAGAACCTTCTTAAATACTGAATGAAAAAGCATCGTGCAAAGTTCTTTAATTTCACTTTCAGAAATATTGAGGATGTCCTGTCACTCAATAACCAACAATTCAGCGAGTGCTTGCATTTTATATATCCCAGTGCACTTGGGATAAAGGATGCAAACAAAATTTTAAGGTCTGCTTCATAACTTGATATGTTTCCTGATATTGACACAAATGGACGTCTTAAGAATAGATACCTAAGACAAACGCGATGATTCAATCTTTCCAATTGTTAGCTTCCCATTTCTCAGCGGTAACATACCCTCTGTCGCATCGTATGGCGATTACATATCTCAATTGGCACGTTAAGCTCGTGTATTTCCACAATATACGGACTTCATTAGCAAAATTGTGATTGTACAAATACTGATCCAAAAGAGTTATGAGGAAGAACAACGCAAATCGGCATTTCATAAGTTTTAAAGGTCGCCATCACGAATTAAATGACCAATGAGACGTGTCTGTGTCTAAACTCAATAGCGACGTGTTTTGGCGGTCTTAGATCTGTGGCGGTAATTTACTGTTGCTTCTAATTTACAAAATTAAAGTAGATTTGTTCAGATTCTTATCTTACTAAATTCTTAAAGCTCAAACAATAACGTTTTCGATATACTGAGATGAAAGATAAGACAAATTCACATCTTAAATTCGATCCTATACCTGTTAGCATTTAATTTATAGAGATTAGATAATGTTAAACGTATAATCTTGAAAAGAGAACAAAATCTTATACAATAAATTATGATTAGTGAACAAACACTTTCTTAAACAACAGCGCTAACATACACATATAAATGTCATTGTGTCCTCTATTAGATCTTATGATGATCAGCAACAAATTAACCAGAGCCTTGACTTATGATTATACAATTTTCATTTTTTCTCATCAGTTTATAACATATGCTTCTCCTCTCTGCGTAGAACGTATCATTTTAAAAATTCAGACCATAGTAAAGTACAAATATAACCATTCTGCCCCCGGATATCTGTAATTGTCAGTTTTCATAAACTATATCAAAACCCATTTGCTCATTTAAAACATGTTGTTATTGTCATTACAAAAATAATGATGAAATGATTTATTTTTTAGAGTTTTTAACTGTTATTTCACATATTTCATACGTTTATGAGGTTAGATAGGCCTAGTTTAAAGAAATTTTCATCACATCATATGGAATAAAAATCGCATGCGATTTGATTGTTTATTTTTAATCCTTAATTGTACGAAACCATATCACCAGAGATAGTTTAATTTTAATTACCGAAAAGCCTAATATTTCACATAACAATATTAAGGGCATACGATACAGAAGTTAATTACGTTGCTAACATAAAATGTTATTTTTTTCGCGACGTCAAACTGCGTCATACTGGGAGGGATGCATTTTACGAGTGATTTGAATCATTATCTTGAAAAAGATTACATGGACCCCTCTTTTTTTTAAATGACAATTGATTTGATTATTTTTTCCAATTTTTATGAAAAGAAATCACCGATGATTTATTTTTAATTAGATAAATATACAGCAACAAATGCCGTTTTTTTTCTCTAAAATCATGAGAATTTAATAAAGACGAATTATTTACAAAGGATTGTTACACAAATAAATAGCCTATTTTTGTAACAAAGATAATCTAAAGCTTTTTACAAAAATCTACATGTGTTTATCTTTTGAAAAAAAAAACTTAAGTATATCTGTCCAAAGGATATACATGTCCGAGAAACCTAAATTTTATGTAAATGTCTCAAATTTCGAGCCAATTTATCTTTAAATTTAGCACATGAAGGTATATTTTTTATTACATATTTGATATGATGCAAATTTTCGTATAAAAATCACCTTGGTATCAAACTGTATCGTATGCCCTTAACGTTTGTATAGCTGCATAGAATTAGCAGATACCAAACAAGGGACACAGACATATCTTCCAGGTTTAAAAAGTGCAAAACGTGCCTAACATTTGATTAAAATGTACATGCGTTACATCTAACCTGTTAAAAAATTAGAACATTTGATTGTTTATCCCTCTGTATTTGTTTTACATTTGATTACGCGTAAATACTAAAAAAATCGTGTATATATACAAACAAGGAGATGAGGTTTGATTGCCAATGAGACAACTTTCCAACAGAGACCAAATGACATATAAGGTAACAACTATAGGTCACCGTACGGCCTTCAACAATGAGCAAACTCTTATCGCATAGTCAGCTTTTTAAGGCCCGACATGATCTAATGTATGTGTGATAGTACTAGCTAGAAACTATATCCCAAGACCTGGTAGTTTTGGTATCACTTAGACTAATGGTAAGTCAAGGATATTTCGTAGGCAGTTGTATTTGCATCGACAGATTTTAGTACCGTGAAAGTACATATGTGTAATATTTAATATGGTTTAATTTACTGATAACAAAATCAATATTTATATAAAAACAAAAGTCAAAGATTTAATAACAGTGTTGAATTGTTAACCTTTTAGAATAAGTTTATTTAAAGGATTTATAAGGTTACCCGGATCGTATCTCAATTTCCGTGCTCGGTTAACAATATCACCGTAACATTTAGAATGTGCTACGTACCGTACGGTAACCTATAGTTGTTAATTTCTATGTCATTTAGTCTCTTGTGGAGAGTTGTCTCATTGGGAATCATACCACACCTTTTTTTTGTATATTCCGTTTGAAATAAGTTTTCTACAGGTACAGCCAAACTTGCAAACCAAATCTTTGTATCTATGGAAGAGTTTAAAATTTTAGGTTTTAAGTAATTTGTGGCAACAAAATCCCTGACTTGATAATATACCGATTACGATCATTGAAATCCAAAACGTCACTACAGACACGGGCATAACGAACGAGTTCAGATGTATAAAGTAGTGATTCAATGTTTTCAAATGCTGACATGGTAAAGATAATACCTTTCGCTTAGAAAAACTCATGACTATTATATGAGGTAAAAGAATTATTTTTACTCACATAAATATACATATATATTGGATCATATGAACTAAATGGCCGAATTAAGGAGAAATTTTTAAGAAACATAGAAAATTAGTTTGTGATAAAATAAGTGTAATAATACAATATCAAATAGATATCTATTTTTCAGCCCTCCTGCGAGCACATATCAGTTTGATAATTGACAACAGAGAGTTCCATGATGCTATGAAGGATACTTCATCGGAAGACTTTCTTTCCATTGCAAAGCCACTATGCAATGAGGCAAGTATATTTTAGTACGATAAAATGTAAAATTTATTTGGAATGAAATGGCTTGAAATATTTTCTATCTTAACAGTAGCATTTTCACAAAACCTCGTTTGATAATGATATGATATTGGGTACAATTCATAGGTCTTAGTCTTAATTTTTCTTCCTCAAATAATCACGAAATACTATACTTTTTTGTGTCAATGATAACATCTGCAGCAGCAACTTAAAAAAAAACCAATGCTTATGAATTTGATAAAGATTATTGTCACCAATCTAACGATTGCATTTTAACACTACAGAAATACTGACAAATTTCTTGTTATTTTCAGATGTACAAGTATTTCCTCACAAGTGAACTGGCTTCACATTTCGTAACGTGCAATGTTATTAAAATGGTGTAAGTACTATTGTATATTTGTTTGTTAAATTCAGGTGGTGAGATTTGTTTTGCTCAATCTACAACAAATGATTTGTAAACGTTATAAGATATGTGAAATAACATTATAAAACAAAACAAAAAAAAAATTATTTTATTATTCTTTTTTAATGGCCTATCAATCTCCATGACAATAACAACATGGTTCAAATAAGCAAAATGGGATTTGTTACAGTTAATTACAAAATTGATAATGATGAATATAGAATAAAGAGATGTGGTATGATGACCAATAAGACAACTATGCAGCATAGCCCAAATGAAGAGCAATTAAGCAACTACATGTCACGCTACGTTCTACAGTAATGAGCAAAACTCATACCATTAGGTCAGCTATAAAAGGCCCCAACATGACAAAACTTGAAACTATTCAAACAAACAAAAACCAACGACCTGATTTATTACAGATCAATAAACGAAAAACAAATATGACAGACAGTAAATAACGACAACCACTAAATTACAGGCTCCTGACTTCGGACAGGCACCCGTAGAATGTGGTGGGGTTAAGCATGCTTTCGGCTATATTTTAGTTCCTTTTTGGTTTGATCAGCTCTTCAACGTTATTATTAGGGTTATGATATCAAACATTTTGGTCTCAAGAATCACCAAGGAAACGTTTATTGTAGAAATGCACATCTGAAGCATTGTATTGGAACCGTTAATATTTTCACTACAGACACGTGCATAGAGAACGATTAGGTACATATAAAATATGAAAAGAGAAGCAAACAATAGGGAACGAAAATTTGAATCTTTTATGCTGTATTTGTTTCGAAATTTCTGGGTGAAAATTAAGTATTCAAATTTGGAAAAAACTATTATTGTTGTTAATATCAAATTTATTTAAAGTAAGTTACCGTTTACCATTGTCGTTGTTTAAATTGCAAGCATGATATCTATTGTTTCGAATTATGTGTTTTATAGCTCCCTTTTTATCTTCACTCTTTTGAAAAACACCAATAATTCCGTCGAGAACACTTAAGCATACACAAAGCTTAGCCTCCTCAATTTTCTAAAGTCTGGGTAAACTTAACTTTCATTAATGGTATAAACGGATATTTTTTTTGTAACGGAAATGTCTGTTTGGATATTCAGAACAAAACAAGATATAATCCATATATTTTCTCCCTGCAATTACTGCCGCCTAACTTTCTCTGTGAGATTGATGTCAAAGGTATCTATCCGTGTAATTGATTTAAAGCTACTTTCTATGTGCTATTGATGTCAAGATACTTTTTTTTCTTATTATTTTGATTGTCCCTTTGTTTGTCTTCTGCTTCTGTTGTACTTGTTAAGAATACTCGATTCGCGTTATCCAAAAAAGCTGATCGAATGAACCCCAAAAGTATGAGATTACAGAAAATGTGAGGTTTCAGGAGTCACTATAATACAAAAATATCGACTGGTACAGACATGAATTTTAAATTTAAAGTTTATATAATAACAAGAGTAAGCTGTATTTGTAGTTTGTACAATGAGAAACATTTCTTTTTAGTGATGTTGATGGTAAAGTTGGAGTTTTCTTTGATCTGGATTTTTTGAAAAACTCACATACTAACAGCGACAAAGCAATAGAGGACATCATTATAAAGAAGTCTGGAAGACTTGTTAAGAACGACAAATTATACCTTGTAATTCGAGATTTTTTAGTTTACGTTAAGAGCATAAAAATGACCCTGGAAACGGTTTATGTTCCTGGACCAGTAGAACTTCCGGATAGACATAAATATCTTACAAGTGAGTTTACTGGTACTGAATATGTATTGATAGAATTCTCACTTATAAAATATACACATATCTTTATTGATATTTGATAAAAATAAAATTATTTTTATTTCAAAATGTCCTGAGGAAATTAGCTGAAATATCAAAAAATGGTCAATCACATACGAAGGATCGTTTGTTTTATGAATTTTAAAATAAGAAAAAAAATACAATACTTTTTAAAAATGACGCCGTAAAAATGTTTGTGCTGAAACTGATCTTTTATTTGATTTCATTTTATTCGTGGTTATAATAAAAAAGAAGATGTGGTATGATTGCCAATGAGACAACTCTAACCAAGAGACCAAATGACACAGAAATTAAAAATACAGTAAAAGAAATAGTACAATAATCATGATAATGGAATATGTAGACAGCTCTCTCACAAGCAAAAAACCCCTAACTGTAAAAATATAAGGGCATACACTACAGTCACGGGGACACATTCTACTGCATCTACACAGCACGAGTAACAAACCCTGCAGTAAATATAAAAAAGAAGATGTGGTATGATTGTTTTATTCGAGTTATGGTCTTTGTTATCTTCTTCCTTTCTTTTAATATCCCTGTTGTAAGCTACCACTTTACTTATTTTTCATAATTAAAAATATTTTAAATCAGAAGTGGAATGGTCAATTTAATTTATTAAGCTTGTTACTCGAACCACACTGTATTATACAGTAATTTCATTCACATAATTTGCGTTTTACCATTTTCGAGTCGGCATTTCCTATAAAGTATGACAAAGCCATAGAAGATGGAGCTGGCATATTTTCATGATCTACGCGATATTAAATCAAAGTAAATTAATCAAGTAAAACGTAAAATTTAATCTGTCCACAGTACATGTACGCTTATTATGTTTACTACTTTAGATCTTGCCCCGAGCTGATATAAAAGTTGTCTTTGTGTTAATTAATTTTGTAAAATGGGAGTGTTTTCAAGATGAACAATAGTAATCAATATACTGGACAATTGATCTGTCAAATTAATTAGCAAGACTATCATTTGAAAAATTGATTAATGATTTCAATGCGTATTTATAACAAATCTATTAAAACTGAAAAAAGGTCCGGTTATCGTTTTTGGTATTCGATATTCGATCCTTTTCACGATAAACCGGTTAACCGATTGACCGTTGACAACACTACTTACTATTCATAATTAAAAATATTTTAAATCAGAAGTGGAATGGTCGACCTGGTCTGAGTGTAGTAGATCCTGCGGTGAAGGTATCCAGAAACGTACTAGAAATTGCACGGAGTTTGATATCCAAAATCATTTATGTGATGGGAATGAATATAACGAACAAGCTTGTCAAAACAACCCTTGTCCAGGTAAAAATAAAATAATAAGCAAATATAATTGGGATATTAAAAGTTATAAATAGAGGAAAGGACAGAAAAGAACACGACCTAAAGAAAAAAGAAAAAAAGCACAAATTAATGTCCATCCAAATTCACAGAGAACTTAAAATTGATAAAAAAAGATCTCCACTAAAACCTGAGGTGATTTTAGATGCTCTGGAAAGATTGATTGATTGGCCATTGGTGTGTTATGTCACTGATGTACATAAAGGCTACATCGGGGCAATGAACATATAATGGGTGATATAAAATCAACATCTTATGAAAATGAAGTGGGATGATGGTGAAGTGATGTAAACTGCTCAAAAAGATTTATGGACAGTTGTTTTTTCGGAGAATTAAGTCACCAAACGAGGATGCTCTTCACAAATGATACTAGTGGGATAGTTTGAGAGGTGGAAGCATGACACTCTCAAACACGGACTAGTGGCTTTGATACATCCCATACAACCATGGTCTACTCTTGCGGGGAAGGGATCGTAACCTCCAGACGAAATAAATCGATATAATTTTAAAATCTTAATGTTCCCCCGGACGCTCGAAAAGATGAGCAGTTTCTGCTCTACGAGTTGCTCCTGTGAAGAACAAAACTGGCGATACATTGTTGTCTTTAAACCCAGAACTAGTAACCATGTTTCTGGCTTCTACAAATTGAATATGTCCGTTGCCAATTGTAACACAGTTATTCGATGGTTAATTACGCTAGTTAGCGAATAATAGACCTTTGCATCTTCTGTGTTGTTGTTTGCTGACTTCCAAAATTTACGATAAGAGTTATTTTCGTTAGGTAGTTTCAAGTAAAGAACAGCTGACTTCCAAGAAAATCGATTTTCTGAAATATTTATACAGAGAGATAGCACGCAATGCTTGTGATAACAGGTACTGCTGCAAAGTTTTATAAAATTATGTACTTTTCGTACAAAAAGACACAAGAGAAATTTGGACTACTGAAAATAGAAATATGCATCATGTAAAGCACAGCTTTGCAAATAGCTACCATTACCGATATCTTCATATTTTTTATTTATTAGTATTTGCACTCGAAGACAACGTTACATACTTAGATAATTTTAAGAACACCCGTCGTCCATACTAGACATTGAAGGAAAACATGACCGAACTATCCTTTATATAAAAATTAGAAGATCTGGTATAATTGCTAATAAGACAATTCCCCACCAGAGACCAAATGACATATATGTCTTTCTATAGATAATGAATTTACCTACAACTAATAAAATGGATGCCTGTCAGGACATTACAACATTACAAAGTTACTGAAAAGTCATAACGTTGTTCATCAATGTTGGGAATCGTAGATACAATTTCCCTGTTTTAAGTAATGGAAAATCATATTTTGTGAAGATCCACACTGATTCGAACAACAAAAATACCAAAGATGATAAAAATTACTAACATTTTGATCAACAACATATTTGATGAGTTTTATGGACTAAAATTTCAACAGGCAGTCAAAATTCCAAAGGATACTTAATGTGCACTTCTATTTGTTGATTGGTTTTGTACTAATGTAAAACATAATTCATACATAGCCTTCTCAAAGAATAAAAAAAAAGCATCTGGGAAAGTTGTTAATTCACTTATATATAATTATATTGATTCTGCCCTGTCACTCAAAAATCCACATATTTCATTGGATGCTTACATATGTTTTTGTCAAATGTCTTAACGTCTTTTCTGTTATATTCGTGTGTTATGGTAAAGATAATTAATCACCCCCTTCATTTATTAGATTTTAGTTTGGTTCTACGAAATTTATACGTTATATTTGGTTTACAGTTTGATTCAGAAGAAACACCGACATAGCTAGATAATACAATTAATTATCTAATTACTACCACAATTTGATATTGATAAGTATTGTAATTAGGGCCCCGCCGAATGGCAGCCGCCCTATAGTGATCAGTCTGTCCGTCCGTCTGTCCGTCCGTCCGTCTGTCCGTCTGTCCGTCCGTCCGTCCGTCCATCCGTCCGTAACAAATCGTGTCTGCTCTATATCTAGAGAACAGTTATGATTTCAAAGTTTATACTTGACATGTATATTAACCAACACCAGAGGGTGTGTCATAATGTATGTTCAACTTCCTAGGTCAAAGGTCAAGGTCAAAAACTTTGGTTTTAGTTAACAACCCCATGTCCTATGGTAAAGATCGTGTCCGCTCTATATCTTGAGAACCGTTATGATTTCAAAGTTTATACTTGATATGTATATTAACCAACACCTGAGGGTGTGTCATATTGTATGCACAACTTCCTAGGTCAAAGGTCAAGGTCAAAAACTTTGGTTTTAGTTGACAACCCCATGTCCTATGGTATAGATCGTGTCCGTTCTATATCTTGAGAACCGTTACGATTTCAAAGTTTATACTTGATATGTATATAAACCAACACCAGAGGGTGTGTCATAATTTATGTACAACTTTCTAGGTCAAAGGTCAAGGTCAAAAACTTTGGTTTCATTTGACAACCCCATGTCCAATGATAAAAGATACAAATTTTTTACCACACATTATTCACAGCGGGCCCACAGAGATGGCTCCCATCTCAATGATGTCTAGTTTTCATTTTTATTAATAAATGTAATGTAAGTATTACAAATCTAATCTTGAATAAATCCTAATCCTATCTTATTTTTGGGAAATATTTTTACAAATTAAAATGTGACGTCACTGTGTGTGTTTTTTTTAGAATTTTAAATGTGCCGTCACTTTGTGCGTTGAGGCTTTGGCTAACTCGGCTGTGTATGTTTATGTGTTGGATTAAGTTGTTTTATGTAATGTATCCGTTTTTTATTGTGTAGTCATTTTATAAAATTTATTGTTTGCAAAATTATAAATTATTCTAAATAATAAGGATGTTCTTGTCCCAGGCAGAAAACCCTGGCCGTGTTAGGCGCAACTTTTTGAAGTTTTGGTCCTCGGTGCTCTTCAGCTTTGTACTTGTTTTGGCTTTCAAACTTTTTTCATCTGAGCGTCACTGGTTGGTCTTGTGTGGACGAGACGCACGTCTGGCGTATTGAATTATAAGCCTAGTACCTTTTGTTAGCTATTATTCGTGTGTTTCTTTGTCCTATATGTTCTCCCATTTATTTTTATTGTGGTCCTGTCATGTGATGTTGTCGTTTTAGTGTTGTGAATGACGTTGCCATAAAAGCGGGAGGTTTGGCATGCCACAAAACCAGGTTCAACCTACCATTTTTTTCTTAAAATGTCCTGTACCAAGTCAGGAAAATGGCCATTGTTATATTATAGTTCGTTTCTGTGTGTGTTACATTTTAATGTTGTGTTTTTTTTTGTGTCGTTGTTCTCCTCTTATATTTGATGCGTTTCCCTCAGTTTTAGTTTGTAACCCGGATTTGTTTTTATCTCTATCGATTTATGAGTTTCGAACAGCGGTATACTACTGTTGCCTTTATTTATATATATATATATCTCAGTGAACTTGGAATTACTACCGAAACTAGAGGCTCTGCTACATATTTTGTTTTTCTACTTTGTATCGATCTGATGAGTTAAGCCTTTTTCTACCGATTTTTATAGTTTGTTTTTATGTTGTGGTGTTACACCACTGTCCCAAGATAGAGGTAGGGTTGAGCGCTCACAATCATATTAAAACCCCGCCAAATTCTTTATATGCCTGTCCCAAGTCAGGAGCGCGTAGTTTAGTGGTCGTCGTTGGTTTATGTCGGTCCTATTTGTTTTTCGTTAACTGTTGTATTATAAATAAGGCCGTTTTTCAATTGAACTGTTTTATATTTATCATGTCGAAGCCTTTTATAGCAGACTATACGGTATGGGTTTATCTCATTGTTAAAGGTCGTACGGTTGCCTATAATTGCTTCCATCCACTTTATTAAAACTTCGGTGGATAGCTGTCTCATTGGCAGTCATACCTCATCTCATTATGTTTATACAACGTAAGTTTTTCAGTCAACATCACAAGTCATCATCAGTATCATACGTTGTGTCTATGTTTGAACTCACTAGGGGAAGGTTTTCGCGATCTTAGATCCTTAGATACCAGAATAGCCGTCTGATCTGTATATCAACCGATTGTTTCTTCTCCCAGTTGAGATATTTGGATAAGATGGTAGGTGAACCTTTCATAGCTGAAGACGATTACCCTGTTGACGCACCCGGTCTCGCTTTTTTTTGAGTTCATGCTTTTCCCTCAGTTTCGGTTTTAACCTTGATTTGTATTTTCCTTATATGATTTGTAAGATTTGAACATCGGTAAAGAGAGGCGAAGGATACTAAAGGGACATTCAAACTCATTAGTCAAAAATAAACTGACAACGCCATGGCTAAAAAAGAAAAGACAAACATACAAACAATAGTACACAAAACAACATAGAAAACCATAGACTGAGCAACACGATCCCGACCAAAAACTGGGGATTATCTCAGGTGCCCCGGAAGGGTAAGCAGATCCTGCTCCACATGTGGTACACGTCGTGTGGTCATGTCAGTACAAACCCGGTGGTATGTCCAACTCTGGGGAAGGGGACGAGATTGTAGTTACTACAAATGGAACATATCCGTCGTCATCTGTGAAATAGGTATTCCATAACGGTCAACTAATTCGTGATGGCGTCCGTAAAATTTACGAAGGGATGATTTCAACTTCATGACTAGGAACTCTTGGTTTATTAGCTTCCTTATGAGCAGCAAGAAAATCATGATAGGAAACACAAGCCCTAGAATATCGTTTCAATTGGGATATATATACTCCGTATGCAGGCGCTGCTGGAATGTTGCTACATAGAAATGGAAAATTCACAATTGAGAAGCTAAATCATCTCTTTTGTCGTGAAGTTTTGTTTTCAACCGACCCTCATTCTCAATGTCTAGATGTAGGTCAAGGTACGAGGCATACTTAACTGTATCCTTTATATCAAGTTCGATACGTTCAATAGTCACCCAATTTTGAATTATATAGTGAGAGAACATCATGTATATAGTGGAAGTCAAATTAAAGGATACTGCTCACTTCTTCTCTGAATTCCTAAGACGTTCCTGTATGAAGTCAGCCTCATATGAATAAAGTAACAAGTCGGCAAGAAGAGGAGCACAGTTTATTCCCATAGGAATGCTGACTGTTTGTTGAAAAACACGTCATCCAAACGTAACACATATGTTGTCAATCAAGAAATCAAGCATCTTGATAATGTCAATTTCAGAGAATTTTTTAATTGAATCGGAGTAAAAACTATTTTACGAAGTCAGACAGGCTTCACTTTTTGTACTTTACAACAGAATAAATTCCCTACATCAAATGGAATAATTTTTCTTGTAAAGATTAAATGCGACTCAATTGCATATTTATCTATTCATATACTGCACAAAAACCGAAGACAAGAGAATCATTGTTTTTTAACCATCAAAATCAATTGATTTCACATACAGATGTATTATTTTTTTGGCCAGACATATCTTTTTGTCAACAGTTAAATATTTATATTTCTTTACCTCAATGTCTCCAGCCAAGTTCATAAAATGTTGCACTGTCGGTCTAGCTTTCATACTGACGTTTTCAAAGTTTTGTCTCCCTAACAGTTCGTACTCTGTTCTGTATACAATATAACACTAATTATATTATTGTTTAGCAACGCTTATAAAGGAATATATCTCCTATCGAAAGTCCTCAAATTATTTTTTTAAATGTTAAAGATGGTCCAGGTATATTTAACATTCCTAAATGTTTCATCCGATTTAAACAAAACGGTTTGAAATATTATTCGCTTTACCTGAATATTTTCAAAGACTTAGGCAAGAAGAGAATCATAGAAGGTCCCAATAGAAGCCTTCACACCTCACAGAGTGGATTCCACAGTTTTGTTGAATGCTGTTATAGTAAAGAATAATACATATTGTTTAGAAAAATAATGATTATTTTTCTGAGAGAAAGAACTGTTTTTACTGACTTAGATATTCATGTATAGTTGCTCACGTGAATTAAAGAAATGATTTAGGTAGATATGTTCACGAAACCTATAAAATAGTGATATTATTAGTTAAGCAATATGATATATAATAATGTTTTTCTATTTTAGCCCTCCTTCGAGCACATATCGGTTTAATGATTGACAACATAGAGTTTCACGATGCTTTGAAGGATAATTCATCTGATGACTTTCATTCTATTGCAAAACCTCTGTGCAATGAGGCAAGCATATTTTAGAACAGATTGATAAGATGTGAAAATTATAATGAGATAGCCAGAATTTTTAGAATCATCTTAGGTCTAGAATTTTTACAAAAACTCGACTAATTTTATTGATCATATAAATAGATCTTAGATAAATCAATTTGGATTTTAAAGAACAAGTTTTAATTTTATAACAAAAAATCATGAAATAATAATGCGTTATATTTTTTACAAAATCAATGATAAGAGCAGCAGGAGCAAAAACATAAAAAAAAATGTTTTTAAAGCGGATACTGATTAGTATTGTCAATCTAACCACATTGCAGATATATTGACAAATGTCTTGTTGTTTTCAGATGTTTAAGTATTTCCTCACAAGTGAACTGGCCTCACATTTCGTTTCGTGTGATGCTATTAATATTGTGTAAGTATTATTGTATTATGATTGCTGAAATCACGTTAATAGTGAGGCTTGTGTTGCTCAATATTTAATTTTGATGGAGTGTTATGTGTCTTTTAATATGAAATAAGGAGATGTGGTATGATTTCAAATAGAGTCAGCATAGTTCAAATGAAGTGGTTTAAACAACTACAGATCACCATACGGTCTGTACAATCGGGCCCATGTAAATATGACAAAACATTGAACGAAAAGAAAATATGACAGACAACAACTTACGCCAAACACTGAATTACAAGCTTTCGATTTGGGGCAGGCGTATACATAATGTGGCGGGGTTAAACAATTTTATGAGCTCTCAACCATAACCTAACCTGGAACAGTAATTTAACAGCACAACATAGAAGTTCAAACTGTAATCAGTTGGAAATGGTTTGACTCACCAGATCGACACGATGCACAAAAACAAAGTAATAAATATATTGTTCATACAGTCTAACGTATCAATCAGAGCACATCTAGTGTAAAAACGTGATATAAAGTCTGAGAAGTGTATGACCTTGTGCAATGCCAAATATACAGCATATAAGATAAAGTTTTCATTAAATTACCAAAACAATTTTCAAATATCTTACTACGGTGTTAGATTTATATTATTGAGCAACAAATCCATTCAAAGGATCAATGAGTTAACATGGATCATACCTAAGTTTACGGGCTCTCTAAAAAACCATTACCATAAAAATTAAGATGTGATATCCCGTTTTTGATAGAATTCTACAGGTACAGCGAAACCAAAAAGTTGAATGTTTTCTTTTCAGTGATGTTGATGGTAAAGTTGAAGTTTTCATTGATCTGGATTTCTTGAAGAACTCACAGACTGACATCGAAAAAACAATAGAGGACATCATTATAAAGAAGTCTGGAAGACTGGTTAAGAACGACAAACTATATCTTTTAATTCAAGGCTTTTTAATTGACGTTAAGAACGAAAAAACAACACTGGAAACGGTTGATGTTCCCGGACCCGTTGTACTTCCAGATAGAGATACATATCTTAAAAGTGAGTTAACTATTAATAAATATGTATTGATAGATTTCACATTTATAATGTATACACATATTTTTTTATTAATATTCGATAAAATCAAATTACTTTTATTTCAAAATGTCATGGGGAAATATTAAAAAATGTTCAACCACATACGACGGATCGTTTGTTTTATGAATTTTAAAATACAAAAAAAAAGATACAATACTTTTGAAAAACATTTTTGTTCTGAAACTGATCTTTTATTTGATTTCATTTTATTCGTGGTAATGTCTATTTTATTCGAGTTATGGTTTTTGTTATCTTCTTCCTTTCGTTTAATATCCCTGTTGTAAGCTACCACTTAACTTATTATTAGTGTTGTCAAATTGAACTGTTTTGACTAACTAATTACTCGGATAATCGTTCGACCAATTAACCGGTTAACCGATAGTTAGATTGATTTTTTAAAGGTCTTTAGTACTCTACAATTGCACGGTTTTAATTTAGAATTGAATGCTTCTTTTTGTAAATTTTGTGGGGTGTAAAAGCTTTGACCGAAGTACATATTCATTATAAAAATGTGCGCACGGTCAACGCCTTTACAACCCTATTAAATTACCAAAAAAGCATTCAATACTTATAATTACATTTTTTTGCTAGGATCATGAAAACACTGTTTCTATCAAGTTTTTCTTTTATTTACCTGTGCACTTTATTGTGGAAGCTCGTGTCGTCATGAATGTTACATTTCACTTTGAAATGAAGGTTAATTTCAGAACGCGAGATTGCAATTAGCCAATCAAAATAACGTATTATAATGAAACATACATGTAATGTAATTATGATAAGATAAATTGAAATTGATGGTTTGACATCATAAGGCTTGACTTTGAGCAGTCCTGATAAAGTCTTATTTTTGATTATCCAATACTACTATATCTACTATGGCATTTGTAATAACTTCAGATTGAGAAGATGAAAATCGTCTTAACCGGTGATTGTTTCATTTTCTCTGGTGTCCCAGAAAAATTATGCTGTGGAGTGTTTCAATTTAAGTTAATTAAGCTTGTTACTCGTACCACACTGTATTATACAGTAATTCCATTCACATAATTTGCGTTTGACCATTTTCGAACCGGCATTTCCTATAAAGTATGACAAAGCCATAGAAGATGGAGCTGGCATATTTTCATGATCTACGCGATATTAATTCAAAGTAAAATAATCAAGTAAAACGTAAAATTTAATCTGTTCACAATACATGAACGCTTATTATGTTTACTACTTTTGAACTTGCCTCGAGCTGATGTAAAAGTTGTCTTTGTGTTAATTAATTTTGTAAAATGGGAGTGTTTTCAAGGTTAACAATAGTAATCTATATACTGGACAATTGATCTGTCAAATTAATTAGCAAGACTATCATTTGAAAAATTGATTAATGATTTCAATACGCATTTATAACAAATCTATTAAAATTGAAACGGTTAGCATTTTTGGTATTCGATATTCGGTCCTTTCGACGGTTAACCGGTTAACCGATTAACCGTTGACAACACTACTTATTATTCATAATTAAAAATATTTTAAATCAGAAGTGGAATGGTCGACCTGGTCTGAGTGTAGTAGATCCTGCGGTGAAGGTATCCAGAAACGTACTAGAAATTGCACGGAGTTTGATATCAAAAATCGTTTATGTGATGGTAATGAATATAACGAACAAGCTTGTCAAAACAACCCTTGTCCAGGTAAAAATTAAAAATAAGCAAATATAATGGGATATTAAAAGTTATAAATAGAGGAAAGGACAGAAAAGAACACGATCTAAAGAAGAAAGACAAAAAGCACAACTTAAAGTCCATCCAAATTTACAGAGAACTTAGAATTATTTAAAAAGATCTCCACTAAAACATAAGGTGATTTTGGATGCTCTGGAAAGATTGATTCATTGGTTATTGGCGTTTTATGCCCCTGATGTACTCAACGGCTACATCGGGACGATGAACATACAATGGGTGATATAAAAACAACATGTTATAAAAATGAAGTTGGATGATGGTGAAGTGATTTAAATTTTGAAATTATTAGAAACTAAGGTTTCAGCTCCCTCAGGCAAAGTTGACTTTAGATGGATTTGGCTATGTTTTAGGTCCTTTTTGTTAATATAGCTCTTTAACTGTTTTCGTTCTTATACATCCTTGGCTATCACGAGTTCCGCTTTGAACGTTCTTGATGAAGGTAAATGCAGGAAAGAACTTCGGACGCATGCAATTTATAACGTGTTGTTTTCATTTTTTTAAACTGCTCAAAAATAAGAATGGACAGTTATGTACTTTTGGAGATATAAGCCACCAAACGAGGATGCTCTTACCAAATGATACTAGTGGGGTAGTTTAAGTAGTAGAAGCACGACACTCTCAAAGATGGACTAGTGGCTTTGATACTCCCACACAACCATGGTCTACTCTTATACTCGATATAATTCAAAAATCTGAATTTTTTCCCGGACGCTCGAAAAGATAAGCAGTTTCTGCTCTACGGTATGCTAATGTCAAGTAAAAAAAAAATGACGATACACTGTTGTCTGTAAACCCAGAACTAGTAACCATGTTTCTGGCTTCTACAAATTGAATATGTCCGTTGTCAACTTTAACACAATTATTCGATAATTGTTAACTATGCTAATTGGTAAACAATAGACCTTCAATGAACCCTTGTATCTTCTAAGTTGTTGTTTGCTGATTTCCAAAATTTACGATAAGGGTTTTTTAGGTTCGGTAGTTTCAAATAAGGGACAAACTTCCAGGAAAATCCATGTTCTGAAATATATCTACAGAGAGATATACACGCAATACTTGTGATAACAGGAACTGTTGCAATGTTATATGAAATTATGTACTTTTCGTACAAAAAGACACAATAGGAATCAGGACTACTGAAAATAAAGATATGCATCATGTAAAGCACGGCTAAGCAAAGAGCCACCATAACGGATGTATTCATATTTTAAGTCATTAGTTTTTGCACACAAAGACACCGTTACATGTACTTAAATTCGGAAATTTTAAAAACACCCGTCGTCCATACTAGACAGTGAAGGAAAACATAACCAAACTATCCTTTATATAAGAATAAGAAGATGTGGTATAATTTCCAAAGAGACAACTCTCCACCAGAGACCAAATGACATTTATGTCTTTCTTTAGATAATGAGTTTACCTACAACTAGTAAACTGGATGCATGACAGGACATGTCAACATAACAACATTACTGCAAAGTCATAACGTTTTTCATCAATGTTGGAATACAAATTCCTTGTTATAAGTAATGAAAAATCATACTTTGTGAAGATCCACACTGATTCGAACAACAAAAACACCAAAGATGATAAAAATGATTAACGTTTTGATCAACAACATATTTGTTGAGTTTTATGGACTAATATTTCAACAGGCAGTCGGTATATATTCCAAAGGGTGCTTATTGTACACTTCTATTTATTGACTGGTTTTGTACTCATAATAAACAGAATTTCGAACAGCGGTATACTACTGTTGCCTTTATTCATACATAGCATTCTCAAAGAATTAAAAAAAAAACGCATTTTGCAAAGTTGTTAATTTCACTTTCATATAATTATATTGATTCTACCCTGTCACTCAACAATCCACATATTCTATTGAGTGCTTGCATATATATATATATATATATATATATATATATAGATTGCCTAACAATGTAATTTTAACACACTATTTAGTATGTAAATATAAGAATGTTTAAAATATTTACAAAATGATGAAAATAAACGCAATATTTCGCTAGACTAACTAGCTTTATCAAGCGTGCATCTATCCAGGTGAAATCGGATGTAGATGATAAGAAAGTTTTGCAGCTCAATGTATATGTTGCACTTGAATTTAGCTGCCTTGAAAATAATACATAATTTGGATGAAGTTCAAGATTTTTACAAAATTGGTAGTTGAAGTTAGCAACGTCCATTGGCCAATATTACAGGATAAAAAGGACGATGCTGTATACTAAATTATTCTTTATCTTTCCTGTATCTTTTCTCATCTTTTTCGTTAAGACCATCAGGTTCTAAAGTGTGGAGTTGGTGGATCCAAAAATTTTCTCTTCTCCTTCTCGCCGTGGTGTCCCAATCGGTGTTGACTTCTATGATTTGGAAGGTAACATTATCAAAAGAATGTTTCGTTGAACGAAGATGTCTTGTGAGAGGACAGTTTTTGTTGGTTTTGTACCATGAACGATGGTTATTGAGCCGAATATTAAATTTGTCCATTGTTTCTCCCACATACTGAATGCCACATGTGTCACATGTTAATATATAAATTGAGTTCTCCGTTTTACAGTTGGAATTTGAGTAGATGGTATAATTTTGTTTAGTAACGGAGCTGATGAAAGAACTGCTTGTATTGGCAGCTTTACAACACAAGCAGTTCCTTCGACCACATTGTTTGTAGCAACCGGGAGATGGAGTAGGCTGCTTTGCTAATACAGATGTCACTAATTTGTCACGGATGTTTTTAGGTCTTCTGAAGGCCATGACTGGTGGTGAGGAAAATACTTTTTTAAGATTTGAATCATTTTCTATAATTTTCCAATGCTTCTGAACAGTGGAAGACACATTTTTAAAATCAGGATGGTAAGTGAGTACAAGGGGTGTTCTATTAGCTGCTTTATTCTTATCTTTGTACTCTAGAAGTTCTTGGCGACTAGTTTTGTTTGCTCTTTCGAAAGCGCTATCAATGATGTTGTTATTGTATCCTCGAACAACTAGATGTTTACGTAGTTGTCCAAGTCTAGCATTTCGCGTATTTTCAGTAGAGCATATTCTCTTGATTCGCAATGCCTGGCTGAATGAGATGCCACGGGAGTAGTGTTTAGGATGGCAACTTTTAGGAGAAAGGAATTGATGTTTGTCCGTTTGTTTGGTATGAAGGTCCGTTATAATGGTTCCGTTCTTGATGTAACTCGTAGTGTCGAGGAAGTTTATTTTCTCCATAGATGATTCATATGTAAATTTTATTGAATGGTGGAAAGAGTTACAGTGTCCTAGAAATTCATTAAGATGTTCTTGTGAATCTGTCCATTTGAAATCAATATCGTCAATGAATCGGAACCATGATAAGGGCTGGTATGGAGCACTAGCCAAGAGGCGTTTTTCAAGTTGGCCCATAAATATGTTGGCATATGACGGGGCCATTTTTGTGCCCATACTAGTACCGTCTATCTGGAGATAATGTTTTTCATTGAAAGAGAAGTTGTTGTTCTCTAGCACTAGTTTCAGAAGTGTAACAAGGCACTCAGTTGGAGGATTTTTTCACTACGAGTGTTCCATACCTCTTCACACGCTGCTATTCCTTCGTCTTGTGGAATGTTGGTATATAAAGAAGACACGTCTATGGATGCAAGTATAGTATTGCTTGGTAAAGGATTGAGGCTTTCCATTTTCTTTAGATAATCAGATGAGAAAAGATACAGGAAAGATAAAGAATAATTTAGTATACAGCATCGTCCTTTTTATCCTGTAATATTGGCCAATGGACGTTGCTAACTCCACTACCAATTTTGTAAAAATCTTGAACTTCATCCAAATTATGTATTATTTTCAAGGCAGCTAAATTCAAGTGCAACATATACATTGAGCTGCAAAACTTTCTTACATCTACATCCGATTTCACCTGGATAGATGCACGCTTGATAAAGCTAGTTAGTCTAGCGAGATATTGCGTTTATTTTCATCATTTTGTAAATATTTTAAACATTCTTATATTTACATACTAAATAGTGTGTTAAAATTACATTGTTAGGCAATCTATAATTTTATTTGTGTAATTGAATTAATCTCTGTACTGATTAATCAACACTCCCATAGATTTGTATGTCATGTGCTGCTATTTATAGGCACTTATATTATTATCTTCAGTAGCACGCATTTCACAAATGTTTGTGTAATCCATTCAAATCTACCGCTATCTTTACAACATGGATAGCGCACTGCATTTCAAGAAATTAAGATCTTTAACTAAAAAGAAACTACAAACTGAACATCATTTATCAAACTTTAAAAATTATATTCAAAGTAGAACTGTACCAAAAGGTTTAAACATCAAAGTGAGTCCCCAGGCACCGGGACATAAATCTAAAAGATTCATGAGCCGTTGGAATGAAATTCTGTTTAACTGTTCAATCCAGCTACTTCAACTGTTACTTTCTTTTACAACCACAAATTACAAACAAATTGTAAATGAAATATCAGATATCATCAACAATAGTAACATTTCACGTGACGATTTACCAATAATTAAACGTCGCCTCGCAGATATTGAAAAAATTGAACTATCCAAACATAAAGAAAAACAAAGGAATAAATTTCAAAGAGATAAAATTCACACTGTCTATTTAAATCAGGATATGAATGATATCAATACAACAAACCATAAGGTCCCTAGAAAAAGAAAATTCAAAAGACGGAAACAAAAAACTGAAAGCAATGTTGTAAATTTGTCATCTAAAGAACTTACACGTGCTGAAGAATCTCTTTTAAGTAAAGGTTTAAACTTCTGTCCTATCCCATCAAATGTAAATAACTTTCAGCTAGACGAGGACTTAGACCAATTCGCTAGATGTTTACGCTTGAAAGATTTTTTTTAAAATAGGGGCAAGAAAAACCTTGAAGAAGCTGGATTAACAGATTCAGATACTGACACCAATGAAGAAGTCACGCCCATCCCAAAATTTAAGAAAAAAAGTTTATGGAAACCACCTAAGAGTAAAAATGATAACTTGGAGTCATTCATTAACTACGTGAGGTCTGATATAAAGTCCTGTATAACAAATACAAGAAATTATAATTTATCCAAGTCAGAACGCATTGCTTTGAAAGCGTTAAAAGATCAAGAGGATATCGTATTAAAACCTGCCGACAAAGGGGGCGCTGTGGTTGTCATGAATAAAACAGATTACATAGCAGAGGGAAATCGCCAACTTTCAAACTCCATTTTTTATAAACAATTAACCACAGATCCAACACTAAATAATATTCGAAGGATCAACACCATCCTTCAAGAGATGTTCGACAAAAAGCATATAGACAATGACACCTTTGATTATCTCCGACCTCTTGAGAACGAAGCAAAGGCCGGAAGATTCTATATGTTGCCTAAAATACATAAAACGGGCAATCCAGGTCGACCAATTGTTTCAGCAAATAGTCATCCAACTGAAAAGATATCAGAATTTGTAGACCATCATCTAAGACCTCATGTGAAAGAACTACCCTCTTACATCCAAGATACGACTGATTATCTAAAGAAAATGGAAAGCCTCAATCCTTTACCAAGCAATACTATACTTGCATCCATGGACGTGTCTTCTTTATATACCAACATTCCACAAGACGAAGGAATAGCAGCGTGTGAAGAGGTATGGAACACTCGTAGTGAAAAAAATCCTCCAACTGAGTGCCTTGTTACACGTCTGAAACTAGTGCTAGAGAACAACAACTTCTCTTTCAATGAAAAACATTATCTCCAGATAGACGGTACTAGTATGGGCACAAAAATGGCCCCGTCATATGCCAACATATTTATGGGCCAACTTGAAAAACGCCTCTTGGCTAGTGCTCCATACCAGCCCTTATCATGGTTCCGATTCATTGACGATACTGATTTCAAATAGACAGATTCACAAGAACATCTTAATGAATCTCTAGGACACTGTAACTCTTTCCACCATTCAATAAAATTTACATATGAATCATCTATGGAGAAAATAAACTTCCTCGACACTACGAGTTACATCAAGAACGGAACCATTATAACGGACCTTCATACCAAACAAACGGACAAACATCAATTCCTTTCTCCTAAAAGTTGCCATCCTAAACACTACTCCCGTGGCATCCCATTCAGCCAGGCATTGCGAATCAAGAGAATATGCTCTACTGAAAATACGCGAAATGCTAGACTTGGACAACTACGTAAACATCTAGTTGTTCGAGGATACAATAACAACATCATTGATAGCGCTTTCGAAAGAGCAAACAAAACTAGTCGCCAAGAACTTCTAGAGTACAAAGATAAGAATAAAGCAGCTAATAGAACACCCCTTGTACTCACTTACCATCCTGATTTTAAAAATGTGTCTTCCACTGTTCAGAAGCATTGGAAAATTATAGAAAATGATTCAAATCTTAAAAAAGTATTTTCCTCACCACCAGTCATGGCCTTCAGAAGACCTAAAAACATCCGTGACAAATTAGTGACATCTGTATTAGCAAAGCAGCCTACTCCATCTCCCGGTTGCTACAAACAATGTGGTCGAAGGAACTGCTTGTGTTGTAAAGCTGCCAATACAAGCAGTTCTTTCATCAGCTCCGTTACTAAACAAAATTATACCATCTACTCAAATTCCAACTGTAAAACGGAGAACTCAATTTATATATTAACATGTGACACATGTGGCATTCAGTATGTGGGAGAAACAATGGACAAATTTAATATTCGGCTCAATAACCATCGTTCATGGTACAAAACCAACAAAAACTGTCCTCTCACAAGACATCTTCGTTCAACGAAACATTCTTTTGATAATGTTACCTTCCAAATCATAGAAGTCAACACCGATTGGGACACCACGGCGAGAAGGAGAAGAGAAAATTTTTGGATCCACCAACTCCACACTTTAGAACCTGATGGTCTTAACGAAAAAGATGAGAAAAGATACAGGAAAGATAAAGAATAATTTAGTATACAGCATCGTCCTTTTTATCCTGTAATATTGGCCAATGGACGTTGCTAACTTCAACTACCAATTTTGTAAAAATCTTGAACTTCATCCAAATTATGTATTATTTTCAAGGCAGCTAAATTCAAGTGCAACATATACATTGAGCTGCAAAACTTTCTTATCATCTACATCCGATTTCACCTGGATAGATGCACGCTTGATAAAGCTAGTTAGTCTAGCGAAATATTGCGTTTATTTTCATCATTTTGTAAATATTTTAAACATTCTTATATTTACATACTAAATAGTGTGTTAAAATTACATTGTTAGGCAATCTATAATTTTATTTGTGTAATTGAATTAATCTCTGTACTGATTAATCCACACTCCCATAGATTTGTATGTCATGTGCTGCTATTTATAGGCACTTATATATATATATATATATATATATCTCAGTGAACTTGAAGTTACTACCGGAACGAGAGCGTCATCTTCATATTTTGATCTCTTAATTGATATTGACACAGATGGAAGACTTCAAACGATATATGACAAAAGTGATGTTTTCACTTTCCAATTGTCAACTTCCCGTTGCTCAGCAGTAACATATTATTATCCTTCATCGTATAGTGTATACCTGTTTCAATTGATACTTTATGCTCGTGCTGGTTTACACAACACGGACTTCATTAAAAGGGTGTGCTCTAAACACAAAAACTGTCCGGACAGAGTTATAAGAAAAACAACTGAAATTGACATAACGTAAGTTTTTCAGTCAACATCACAAATCATCATCGCCATCATGCATTGTGCCTGTGTTTGAACTCACTAGGAAAATGTTTTCGCGGTCTTAGATCCTTATAATTTCAGAATAGCCGTCTGATCCCTATATTAACAGATTGAGTCCTTTTCCCGGTTGTGATATTTGGACAAAGATGGTAGGTGAACCTTTCATAGCAGAAGACGATTACCCTGTTGACGCACCAGGTCTCGGTCTTTTTTGGAGTTCATGCTTTTCCCTCAGTTTCGCTTTTTACCTTGATTTGTTAGATTTGAACATCGGTAAAATGCTATTTACGATGTCAAACAAGCTTCACTTTTTGTAGTTTACAAGAGAATAAATTCACTACATCAAATAGTATACTTTTTCATGTAAAAATTAAATGCGACTCAATTGCATATTTATTTATTCATACACTGCACAAAAACCGAAGACCAGAGATAAATTGTTTTTTAACCATCAAAATCAATTGATTTCACATACAGAATTATTATTTGTTTGGCCAGACATATCTCTTTGTCAACAGTTAAATGTTTTTTTTTACCTCAATGTCACCAGCCAAGTTCCTAAATTGTTACAGTGTCGGTCTAGCTTTTATACGTGACGTTTTCAAACTTGTGTCTCCCTAACAGTTCGTCCTTTTTATCTGTATACAATATATCACTTATTATATTATATTGTTTAGCAACGCTTATAAAGGAATATAACTGGCTTTTGGTTAATGAGAGATATTTCCTATCGAAAGGCGTCAAATTTTATTTTTTAAAATGTTAGAAAAGGTCCAGGTATATTTTACATTCCTTTATGCTTCATCCAATTTAAACAAAATGGTTTGAGATATTATTCGCTTTACCTGAACACTTTTCAAGACTCAGGCAAGAAGAGAATCATATATGGTCCCAATAGAAGCTTCAACAACTCTCTGTGTTGATTCCACAGTTTTATTAAATGCTGTTTTTGTAAAAGGAATACTACATTTTGCTTAGAGAAAATGATGAATATTTTCTGAGATGAAGAATTGTTTATTACTGACATAGATATTCATGTATAGAGGCTCACAATAATTAAAGAAATGATTTAGGTAGATATCTTCACGAAACCTATAAAATAGTGGTATCATTAGTTAAATGATATGATATAAAATATTTTTTCTATTTTAGCCCTCCTTCGAGCCCATATCAGTTTAATGATTGACAACATAGAGTTTCACGATGCTTTAAAGGATAATTCATCTGATGACTTTCAGTCCATTGCAAAACCTTTATGCAATGAGGCAAGCATATTTTAGAACAAATTGATAAGATGTGAAAATTATAATAAGATATCCTGAAGTATATGAATTATCTTAGTTGTAGAATTTTCACAAAAGCTCGACTAATAATGATATCTTTATTGATAATATAAATAGATCTTAGATAAATCAATTCGGATTTTAAAGAACAAGTTTTAATTTTCTTACAAATAATCATGAAATAATAATGCGTTAAAAATTTTTTTAAACATCAATGATAAGAGCAGCAGGAGCAAAAAATAAAAACAAAACAATGATTTTGAAGTTGATACTGATTAGTATCGCCAATCTAACGATTAAATATCAACATTTCAGATATATTGACAAATGTCTTGTTGTTTTCAGATGTATAAGTATTTCCTCACAAGTGAACTGGCCTCACATTTCGTTTCGTGTGATGCTATTAATATTGTGTAAGTATTATTGTATTTTGATTGCTGAAATCACATTGATAGGGAGTTTCGTGTTGCTCAATCTTTTATTTAAGTGGAGTGTTATGTGTTTTTTAATATGAAATAAGGAGATGTGGTATGATTTCCAATGAGTCTGCTTAGTTTAAATGAAGTGGTTTAAACAACTACAGATCACCCTACGGTCTTTACAATTGGGCAGATGTAAATAGGACAAAACATTAAACGAAAAGAAAATATGACAGACAACAACTTACACCAACCACTGAATTACAGGCTTCTGACTTGGGGCAGGCACATATATAATGTGGCGGGGTTAAACCATTTTATGAACGCCCAACCATTACCCTAACCTGAGACAGTAATTTAACAGCACAACATAGAAGTTCAAAATGTAATCAGTTGGAAATGGTTTGACTCACCAGATCTACACGATGCACAAAAACAAGTAATAAATAAATCATGTTCATACAGTGGATTAAGTGTAAAACGTGATATACAGTCTGAGGAGTGCATGACCTTGTGCAATGCCAAATAGACAGCATTTAGTATAAAGTTTTCATTAAATTAACAAAGCAATATTCAAATATCTTACTACGGTGTTAGATTTATATTATTGAACAGCAAATCCATTCAAAGGATCAATAAGTTAACATGGATCATACCTAAGTTTACAGGCTCTCTAATAAAACATTACTATAAAAATGAATATGTGGTATCCCGTTTTTAATAGAATTCTACAGGTACAGCCAAACCTGAAAGTTGAATGTTTAATTTTCAGTGATGTTGATGGTAAAGTTGAAGTTTTCATTGATCTGGATTTCTTGAAGAACTCACAGACTGCCATCGAAAAAACAATAGAGGACATCATTATAAAGAAATCTGGAAGACTGGTTAAGAACGACAAATTATATCTTCGAATTCAAAGCTTTTTAGTTGACGTTAAGAGCGAAAAAACAATACTGGAAACGGTTGATGTTCCCGGACCCGTTGTACTTCCAGATAGAGATACATATCTTAAAAGTGAGTTAACTGGTAATAAATATGTATTGATAGAATTCACACTAATAAAGTATACACATATTTTTATTATTATTCGATAAAAATCAAATTACTTTTATTTCAAAATGTCCAGAGGAAATTAGCTGAAATATCAAAAAATGTTCAACCATATACGACGGATCGTTTGTTTTATGAATTTTTAAATACAAAAAAAATACAATACTTTTGAAAAACATTTTTGTTCTGAAACTGATCTTTTATTTGATTTCATTTTATTCGTGGTATTGTCTATTTTATTCGAGTTACTAGTATGGTTTGTGTTAGCTTCTTCCTTTCTGTTAATATCTAAAGCTACCACTTTACTTGTTATTAGTGTTGTCAAATTGAACTGTTTTGACTAACCGGTAACTTGGATAATCGTTCAACCGATTAACCGGTTAACCGATAGTTAAATTGATGTTTTAAAGGTCTTCAGTACTCAACAATAGCACGGTTTTATAATAAGAAAAATTGAAGTTTATGGTTTGACATTATAAGGCTGGGCTTTGAGCAGTCCTGATAAAGTCTTATTTGATAATCAAATACTACCATATCTACTATGGCATTTGTAATAACTTCAGATTGAGAAGATGAAAATCGTCTTAATATCTTCGGATTAACAATGTCTATAACCGGTGATTGTTTCATTTTCTCTGGTGTCCCAAAAAATTATGCTGTGGAGTGTTTCAATTTAAGTTCATTAAGCTTGTAACTCGTACCACACAGTTTTATACATTAATTCCATTCACATAATTTTGAGTCGGCATTTCCTATAAAGTATGACAAAGCCATAGAAGATGGAGCTGGCATATTTTCATGATCTACGCGATATTAAATCAAAATAAAATAATGAAGTAAATCGTAAAATTTAATCTGTTTACAATACATGTACACTAATTATGTTAACTACTTTAGATCTTGCCTCGAGCTGATGTAAAAGTTGTCTTTGTGTTAATTAATTTTGTAAAATTGGAGTGTTTTCAAGGTTAACAATAGTAATCTATAAACTGGACAATTGATCTGTCAAATTAATTAGCAAGACTATCATTTGAAAAATTGATTAATGATTTCAATACGCATTTATAACAAATCTATTAAAATTGAAACGGTAAGCATTTTTGGTATTCGATATTCGGTCCTTTCGACGGTTAACCGGTTAACCGATTAACCGTTGACAACACTACTTATTATTCGTTATTAAAAATATTTTAAATCAGAAGTGGAATGGTCGACCTGGTCTGAGTGTAGTAGATCCTGCGGTGAAGGTATCCAGAAACGTACTAGAAATTGCACGGAGTTTGATATCCAAAATCATTTATGTGATGGTAATGAATATAAAGAACAAGCTTGTCAAAACAACCCTTGTCCAGGTAAAAATAAAAAATAAGCAAATATAATGGGGATATTAAAAGTTATAAATAGAGAAAAGGACAGAAGAGAACACGACCTAAAGAAGAAAGACAAAAAGCACAAATTAAAGTCCATCCAATTTCACAGAGAACTTAGAATTGTTCAAAAAGATCTCAACTAAAACCTGAAGTGATTTTAGATGCTCTGGAAAGTTTGATTGATTGGTTATGGTGTTTTATGTCCCTGATGTACATAACGGCTACATCGGGACGATGAACATACAGTGGGTGATATAAACAAAATCAGGTGGAACCTGATGTTCAGTGGTTGTCGTTTGTTGATGTGGTTCATAAGTGTTTCTCGTTTCTCGTTTTTTAAATAGATTAGACCGTTGGTTTTCCTGTTTGAATGGTTTTACACTTGTCATTTTGGAGCCCTTTATAGCTTGCTGTTCGGTGTGAGCCAAGGCTCCGTGTTGACCTATAATAGTTTACTTTTACATATTGTGACTTTGATGGAGAGTTGTCTCATTGGCACTCATACCACATCTTCTTATATCTATGTTATAAAAATGTAGTTGGATGATGGTGTAGTGATTTCAATTTTGAAATTATTAGAAACTTAGGTGTCAGCTCCCTCAGGCAAAGTTGACCTTAGATGGATTTGGCTATGTTTTAGGTCCTTTTTGTTAATAAAGCTCTTTAACTGTTTAGGTTCTTATACATCCTTAGCTTTCAAGAGTTCAGCTTTGAGCGTTCTTGGTGAAGGTAAATCCAAGAAAGCGCTTCGGACGCATACAATTTATAACGTGTTGTTTTCATTTTTTAAACTGCTCAAAAATATTAATGGACAGTTATAAACTTTTGGAGAAATAAGCCACCAAACGAGGATGCTCTTAACAAATGATACTAGTGGGGTAGTTTAAGGGGTGGAAGCATGACACTTTCAAAGATGGACTAGTGGCTTTGAAACATCCCACACAACCATACTCTTTCGGGGAAGGGATCGTAACCTCTAGACGGAAAAATTCGATTTAATACAAAAATCTGAATTTTTGCCGGACGCTCGAAAAGATAAGCAGTTTCTGCTCTACGCTTTGCTCACGTCAAGTACAAAACTGACGATACATTGTTGTCTATAAACCCAGAACTAGTAGCCATATTTCTGGCTTCTACAAATTGAATATGTCCGTTGTCAACTGTAACACTGTTATTCGATAAACAATGTTGGTAAACAATAGATCTTCAATGAACCCTTGTATCTTCTAAGTTGTTGTTTGCTGATTTCCAAAATTTACGATAAGGGTTCTTTAGGTTCGGTAGTTTCAAATAAGGGACAAACTTCCAAGAAAATCCATGTTCTGAAATATTTCTACAGAGAGATATACACGCAATAACAGGAACTGCTGCAATGTTAAATGAAATTATGTACTTTCCGTACAAAAAGACAAAATAGGAATTTGGACTACTGAAAAAATAAAAATATGCATCATGTACAGCACGGCTTTGCAAAGAGCCACCATTACCGATGTATTCATATTTTTATTCATTAGAATCGTAGATACAAATTCCTTGTTTTAGGTAATGAAAAATCATACTTTGTGAAAATCCACACTGATTCGAACAACAATAACACAAAAGATGATAAAAATTATTAACATTTTGATCAACAACATATTTGTTGAGTTTTATGGACTTATATTTCAACAGACAGTCGGTATTCCAAAGGGTACTTATTGTACACTTCTATTTATTGACTGGTTTTGTACTCATATAAAACAGAATTCATACATAGCATTCTTAAAGAATAAAAAAAAACGCATTTGGCAAAGTTGTTAATTTCACTTTCATTTAATTATATTGATTCTACCTTGTCACTCAATAATCCACATATTCTATTGAGTGCTTGCATATATATATATATAAATATATCTCAGTGAACTTGAAGATACTACCGAAACGAGAGCGTCAGCTTCATATTTTGAGCTCTTAATTGATATTGACACATATTGAAGACTTTAAACTATATATGACAAACGTGATGTTTTCACTTTCCAATTGTCAACTTCCAATTGCTCAGCAGTAACATACCATTTTCCTTCATCGTATATCGTATACATGTTTCAATTGATAATTTATGATTTACACTACACGGAATTCATTAAAAGGGTATGCTCCAAACACAAAAAACTGTCCGGACAGAGTTATAAGAAAAAACGACTGAAATTGACATATCGTAAGTTTTTCGGTCAACATCACAAATCATCATCGCCATCATACATTGTGTCTGTATTTGAACTCACTAGGAAAATGTTTTCGCGGTCTTAAATCCTTAGATACCAGAATAGCCGTCTGATCTGTATATTTATCGATTGTTTCCTATTCCCAGGTGTGATATTTTGACTAAGATGGTAGGTGAACCTTTCATAGCTGAAGACGATTACCCTGTTGACGCACCAGGTCTCGCTCTTTCTGGAGTTCATGCTATTCCCTCAGTTTCGGTTTTAACCTTGATTTGTATTTTCTTAATATGATTTGTAAGATTTGAACATCTGTAAAATACTATTTACGATGTCAAACAAGCTTCACTTTTTCTAGTTTACAAGAGAATAAATTCACTACATCAAATAGTATACTTTTTCATGTAAAAATTAAATGCGACTCAATTGCATATTTATTTATTCATACACTGCACAAAAACCGAAGACCAGAGATAAATTGTTTTTAACCATCAAAATCGATTGATTTCACATACAGAATTATTATTTGTTTGGCCAGACATATCTCTTTGTCAACAGTTAAATGTTTATTTACCTCAATATCACCAGCCAATTTCCTAAATTGTTACAGTGTCGGTCTAGCTTTTATACGTGACGTTTTCAAATTTTTGTCTCCCTAACAGTTCGTACTTTGTTCTGTATACAATATATCACTTATTATAGTATATTGTTTAGCAACGCTTATAAAGGAATACAACTGGCATTTGGTTGATGAGAGATATTTCCTATCGAAAGGCGTCGAATTTTATTTCCTAAAATGTTAGAAAAGGTCCAGGTATATTTTACGTTCCTTTATGCTTCATCCGATTTGAACAAAATGGTTTGAGATGTCATTTGCTTTACCTGAACAGTTTTCAAAACTCAGGCAAGACGAGAAACCTAGATGGTCCCAACAGAAGCTTCAACACCTCATTGTGTTGATTCCATAGTTTTATTAAATGCTGTTTTTGTAAAAAGAATACTACATTTTGTTTAGAGAAAATGATGAATATTTTCTGAGATAAAGAATTGTTTTTTCTGACATAGATATTCATGTATAGTGGCTCACATGAATTAAAGAAATGATTTAGGTAGATATGTTCACGAAACCTATAAAATAGTGATATAATTAGTGAAATAATATGATATAAAATATTTTTTCTATTTTAGCCCTCCTTCGAGCACATATCAGTTTAATGATTGAGAACATAGAGTTTCACGATGCTTTAAAGGATAATTCCTCTGATGACTTTCAGTCCATTGCAAAACCTTTATGCAATGAGGCAAGTATATTTTAGAACAGATTGATAAGATGTGAACATTATAATGAGATGGCCTGAAGTATTAGAATTATCTTAGTTGTAGAATTTTCACAAAAGCTCGACTAATAATGATATCTTTATTGATAATATAAATAGATCTTAGATAAATCAATTCGGATTTTAAAGAACAAGTTTTGATTTTATTACAAATAATCATGAAATAATAATGCGTTATAATTGTTTTAACATCAATGATATGAGCAGCATGCGCAGGAGCAAAAAATAAAAAAAGCAATGATTTTGAAGCTGATTCTTATTAGTATCGCCAATCTAACGATTAAATATCAACATTGCAGATATATTGACAAATGCCTTGTTGATTTCAGATGTATAAGTATTTCCTCACAAGTGAACTGGCCTCACATTTCGTTTCGTGTGATGCTATTAATATTGTGTAAGTATAATTGTATTTTGATTGCTGAAATCACATTGATAGGGAGTTTCGTGTTGCTCAATCTTTTATTTAAGTGGAGTGTTATGTGTTTTTTAATATGAAATAAGGAGATGTGGTATGATTTCTAATAAGTCAGCATAGTTCAAATGAAGTGGTTTAAACAACTACATATCACCCTACGGTCTTTACAATTGGGCAGATGTAAATATGAAAAAACATTAAACGAAAAAACAATATGACAGACAACAACTTACGCCAACTACTGAATTACAGGATTCTGACTTGGGGCAGGCACATATACAATGAGGCGGGGTTAAACCATTTATGAGCTCTCAGCCATTACCCTAACATGGGACAGTAATTTAACAACACACCAAGGAAGTTCCTACTGTAATTAGTTTAAAATGGTTTGTCTCATCAGATCGGTAGGATGCACAAAAACAATAACGTAAAGACAAAAGGTACAAAGTACATACCTAAGAGTACTCGCAGTAACTGAAACAAGTTCAAATCCAATGACAAAGAATCGGTACACATCCAGTGGATTAAGTGCACAAACGTTATATACAGTATGAGAAGTGCATGACCTTGAGCAATGCCAAATAGACAGCATGAAGAATAAAGATTTAATTAGATTACCAAAAACAATATTCAAATATCTTAATATCTTAATATGGTGTTAAATTAATATAATTGAACACGAATCCATTCAAAGGATCAATGAGTTTACATGGATCATAAGTTTACGCTCTCTCAACATATTTCCATAAAAATTAGGATGTGGTTACTCGTTTTTAATAGAATTCTACAGGTACAGCCAAACCTGAAAGTTGAATGTTTAATTTTCAGTGATGTTGATGGTAAAGTTGAAGTTTTCATTGATCTGGATTTCTTGAAGAACTCACAGACTGACATCGAAAAAACAATAGAGGACATCATTATAAAGAAGTCTGGAAGACTGGTTAAGAACGACAAACTATATCTTTTAATTCAAGGCTTTTTAGTTGACGTTAAGAGCAAAAAAACAACACTGGAAACGGTTGATGTTCCCGGAACTGTTGAACTTCCAGATAGAGATACTTATCTTACAGGTGAGTTAACTGGTAAAAAAATATGTTGATAAATTCACACATATACGAATATATAAGTATATCCATAACTATCAATATTCGATAAAAAGTTAAAAAATATTGCAAAATATCCTAAGGAAATTAGCTGGAGCTTTTAAGAAAATACAAAGTATAAGAGTAAACAGAAATAGTCAATCGCATATTTTTTTAGCCATTGCAGTATAACAATAAGATGTAGTCTGATTGTCAATGAGATAACTATCCACCAGAGACAAAATGACGTAGACATTAGCGACTTCACTGTCATTTCAAGTTATGGTTTTTGTTTGTCCTCTTTGTATATTTGTCCCTGTTTTTAATACCATTGTAAGCTGCCACTTAGCGTAGAATCTATAATTTAAAATCAAATATAATTCTTATTAGAAGTGGAATGGTCAACCTGGTCAGAGTGCAGTGAATCCTGTGGTGAAGGTATCCAGAAACGTTTAAGATACTGCTCGGATTTTGATATGCAACATCAGTTATGTGATAGGAATAAAGACGAACAAATTTGTCAGCACAACCCTTGTCCAGGTTTGCTTTATTCTTATCAATTATCTTACACTAAAAGATATCGAGTTGAACAAACTGATTTTAAATGTAAAAAATAAAGGGTAATTGTGACTATGAATTACCTCTTGCAACAAATTTATGAACGAAAAGATCAATATGAATACAATGAAAATGACATAGGGTATACGCCAAGGAGAGAGACCCCAACAAAATAATTACCAGAAAGACATCATCGTGTTTTACGTTTAAGTGTTCAAACATGTACGTTAAAAAAGGACTTTAATTAGAGTTGAAGTATGTATTGACACTATACTATACAAGATCAATTCCCTTTGAATATTGATTACTTGAAAACAAAATAAAAAAGCTAAAATAAAACTCCAATGTTAACTATTGCTATACATTGTTACAGTTGAGGGGAAATGGGCAGAGTGGAATAACTGGGAGAAATGCAGCATATCTTGTGGCAAGGGAGTTAAGACAAGGAGACGGGAATGTAACAATCCGTCTCCATCCTTTGGTGGTCAGAATTGCATTGGTGTCAACATTGATAACGAGAACTGCCAAGAGAGAGATTGTCCCAGTAAAGTACACTTCATTTATAATGAGAAGTTCATAATTTTACAACAAATGAATGTGGCAGACATTCTTGATTTGCAATATTTTGATAGTTATGCGAAAGCATTTTGTTAATAGTTTAAAATACTTTTATCGAGAAGTAAACTGATTACTGATAATTATCTTCAACGCAAAAACATCAAATGAACGTTCAATTAAATGATTGTTCATGGATATAAATATGTATTTGTCTGACATATTTGTTTTTTAGATACTTTTATTGATAGAAAATCAAAATTTAGATACTACAAAAACATTTTGAATAAAAACATATATTTAAATTTGAACTTTTCTTCTGCTCATTATACGATGCCAAGATCAGAAAACACTATATTGTTAATATATCCATGTTAAAATGCCCAACAGAATTCCACAAATTAAGATAACTTTACAGACATAGACAGTAGCAATACTAAGATCATCACCATATGCAGTACAAACATTAATGAAAAAGTTAGTATATGCTCCGGAAGGGTCAGTGTTTCGGTTTAAGAAATTGAAGAAAGCATAACAAAAACGCTAAAAACCAAGGTAAATTCAAAACGGAGAAGTCATTTGTTTAATTATCATTTTCAGTTAATGGTATGTGGTCTGAATGGAGCCCATGGAATGACTGTTCTGGTAGTTGTGGCGGAGGTAGGAAAGAAAGATCTAGATCTTGTTCAAATCCAAGACCTAAATATGGTGGACGGGCATGTGTCGGTGACAAAATTTCATCAAGCATATGTAATGACAAACCTTGTCCAGGTAACATTCAACATTCTGTCATATATTTGTCAGGGCTTTTCCAGAATTAATTGTATGGGGGTTGGAAGGCACTTTTATTAAAATTTGATGGGTGGTGGTTATTTAAGAAAGATTGAATGAACATTTAAAGGAAATATCCAATTAAAAATTTATGCATGGTGGGGTCAAATAAAAAATGCCTTCCGACCGCCCCCCACCCCATACATTTATTTTTGGAAGAGCCCTCAGAATAACGTTTGTGGAAAATTACAAAATATATTCAAGTTTTAGTATTATAACAAACTATGCCATTTCATATGTCGAAACTCCTATTACATCCTTTATTTAAAAAAAAAAGATATAATGTAATTTAACGAACAAGAGCAATGGCATGCATGGGCATGATTTAAAGTGAAGGGATACAAATCATGACGTCGGTATGTATCCATGTATAATTGCAATAGATGACACTTTTTCAAAAGATGATTCTATAAAATCTATTTCTAATTCAGAAATAAATGTTCATTTGCATTCTATATATTTCAAATGGAAGTATTTTTTCTCATCGATTAAGTCAACTATTTCAGTAGATGGAAGTTGGTCAGAATGGAATGTGTGGACTGATTGTTCCTTATCTTGTGATGGTGGAATCAAGACAAGATTAAGAACATGTTCTAACCCAGAGCCTAAGTTTGGAGGAAAGGGATGCAATGGCAATGAAGAGGAATCGAATAAATGTGGAGTCGAATTTTGTCCAGGTATCTAAGTGATTAAAAGTGACTGTGTATGTTATTTGTAGGAGAATGTTTTGGATTCATTCATAAAGAAAAAAAACCTCTCTATAAATGGCGTGCGTTCGAAGAGCCTTTATGAATTAACCTGAATCAGGAACGTTCATACTCAATCATTTGTTACCTAGGGATGTAAAAATACGTAGTAACGTTAGGAACTATTTTACCAAAAGGGACATAACAGATCTAGATTAGCCGATTTGATCTAAATTCAACTCTGCCAGAGGTAGTTGGAACCATAGGTTCTTATACCACATATTTTTTTTCAACGGGTAATTTTAGAAAATATAATTATAAATCGTGTTAGTACTAAACACTGACTACTAACTGATGATATCCTCGGGGACCTATAGCCCAACAGCAGTCCTATCGAAGTAATGCTAGTAAATGACGAAAATAACATTAAATAAATTTTGTGCGTCAGAAGCGCTTTTCGAGATTAACCATGAGCGAAGAAGATAACACTCTGTTAGTGAAACTCTATTTGATAGAGTTAAAAATAACAAATTTCTAAATTTTACTAAAAATCATGATCAGAATGAGGAGATGGACAACTAAAATTCTTTTAAGGCATTTGAATGCAGCAAAGCCGTACATAAAATGTAACATATTTTACATTCATGCTTAAATAATTTGTTAATTTAGTTGATGGTGGGTGGACAGAATGGACCGCATGGTCGGGATGCTCCGTGTCATGTGGAATAGGGACAGAGGACAGAATGAGAATATGTTCTGGCCCTGAACCGAAGTATGGTGGACTAAATTGTACTGGGAATAATTTTGATTACAAAACCTGTGACAGTATTCCTTGTCCTAGTAAGTTTCATATAGGGTTTTTTAGGAATGGATGATATGGTCATTATCCACATTCATTTCAAGACAATTCCTAAGAAACTATAATACGCAATATAATGCTGTGATATAAAAATAATAATGAGATGAACTAGTAAGAACAAATTATACAAAAAAACTAATATCAATTTATCTACATTTTACTGGAAGAGAATATAGAATTTGATATCAGGTGAATGGTGATAATAGAGAAAATCTTTTGGCTGGTACTTTCTCAGATATACTTATATCTTAACGATGAATACAATCATAGTGTTGAAAATTATTGAATTCTAACTAAGGTTTACACGTAACAATGTTATTCCATTTGAAATGTTTGTTTTGTATATACCAGTCTATCTTTTTAAACAAATTCATTTTACAAAGACGATGAGCAATTGACTCTCTAATTACTTTTTTTTAAATTTATTAGTACATGGGGAATGGTCAATATGGAATGAATGGACAGGTTGTTCAGTAACATGTGGTAGTGGAATAAAAGAGAGACAAAGACCCTGTAATAACCCACAGCCTAAGTTCGGCGGAAAAGATTGTTCTGGTGATCGTATAGATCACAAGGAGTGTAATGGAAAGAGTTGCCCAGGTTAGTAGTTGTATGTATGAAAAGGGAGTATTTTATTCTCAAATGAGCTATAATAAAGACAGAGGACAGTTAAATTACTATCTACTCATTCTATGCATGTTTTTCATCTTATGGTGTACTGTAGTTTACTAAGTAATTAAATTCTTTGAAAATTGATGCTCAATCTCTGGTCCTTTCGTTTGCAGTGTTTACGCGTTGCCTCTGGTTTCAATTAAAGACATTAGTCGAAGTATTGTATATCTCATTTGTAATACCCTACATTTTGTGTGGTCTGCAACAAATGTTGCAGAATTCGAGACATAGGGAGGCCAATTTGTAAACGGCGTAAACTATTTTTATAAAGCTTTATATTTCAGAAGGTAAAATACCTGAATATGTCAAAACTTGTATACAGCTACATTATGTGACTAAGTTTCTGTCCGCCATATATTCGTTGTCCTTGGTCTAATTTCTTTAATGGTTCAGCGTAGTTTTTTCATCACTTAATTTTATCATTTATATTGAGTGATAGTAAAAATGAATTTAGTAAGCTTGTTTGTAGAATAGGGTTCACCTCATTAAACAGTGATACAGTTTTTATTTTCTGTATCTTATATGATTTAAGCAGTAAGTGGACTATATTTGGTGTATGGAATTATTGTAAGATATTTACATTAATATTCGTCTGCTGGGGTCATCTGACTTTGAACTAATTTTCGTGGCTTATTTGTAAAAGCTGAATTAATGAGGTTAGAGTCACTTCGAAAATATTTTAAACAATAAGTCAACTATATTTGGAAGTTGTATGTGTCTGTCTAGAAGGGCTTGACGTACCTTGACCTTCGTTTTCATGGTTGGGAAAGGTAAAGCTTCGTGGTAAAATTGTTTCTCAACTGTTGTAAGCAATAGGTAAACGATATGTAATTAATTTAATGATTGTAATGTGTAAAATTCCAAATGCCAGGGCTAATCTTACCTTGACCTTTTTCATGGATCCTTAAATTATTCTGTTAAGTTTATGTGACACCGAAGTAGAACTGTTATCTTTCAACAAGTAATGCAAGCAGGTGATACATTTCAGCGTCAGCACTCTTGTGATGATTTGATACGACGCTATATTTTCCTCCGCAATATTTGCTAATTGGCCTTGCTATTTTTCCAATGTCATTGTTCTGCTTTTTGGTTTAATTTTCTATCTTATAATGTTTATGTGTTAAGCTTGTTATATAATGTTTGTGTCTTGTCCTCAGTATACGTTTTTTTTGTGTATTTCTCTTCCATCAGTTGTTTTGGTGCTCTTCAATGATTCCCTTTAAGTATCAGATTTGTTGTTGTTCTAGTTGATGGAGGATGAGGAGCATTGAGTACTTGGACATCATGTTCTGTAACATGTGGGATGGGAATCCAGGAGCTAAATGGATCATGTTCTAACCCTACACCTTGCTTTGGTTGCAATGAATGTTTTTGGGACGATATTAGTTTTCAGATATGTAACACAAAAGGTTAAAAACCATACAATAAAACGCCTATAGAATGTCCATATTTCTTTAGCAAAGTACAACAAAACCAAAATATAGTACACCTATTCATAGAAACATTTCACTATATTTTGCATAAAAAGCGTATAAGCATAGTATGATATGTGCATTGCACTAATTAAACATAGACAATGAATAACTTGTATGACCGTAGTTGATGGACAATGGTCAGGATGGAGTGGCTGGACAGATTGCTCATTGACTTGTGGAGGTGGAAAAACAGAAAGAAATAGGACATGTAATGATCCGAAGCCACAAAATGGAGGCTCGAATTGCACTGAAAATGACTATGAAGTGAAGGATTGTAACTTCATTTCCTGTCCAAGTATGTATAATTGAACTGTTCAAAATTAGTGTAAAATAGTTTTTAAAGACATAGGCAAGTCGTAGAAAAATCTATATATCTATATTAATTTTTACTACAAGTATATAAGTAGTAATTGATTTGGACTACAAGCAAAAAAGATAAGCATTGATATAGGTTATGACTATAAGCATATTGGACAATTATTGCTTTTGAATATGATGATTATAAATATATAATAAACATCATAACTATATTTCACTGAAAATATTATGGTTCATGATGTTTGGTCAGCCTGGAATTCATGGGATAAGTGTTAGTCACTTGTGGAGGTGGATTATAGGATTGAAACAGCACTATTTGTGCTATAATTTCAAATAATATCAAACGTTTGTCATTTAATTAGCTAGATTAAGAATTTCTACATTTTCTAAATATGAAAAAGAACTTTCCACATGTCATTTAAAAAATTTACAACTTACTGAATTGAAAGATTTTGTCTTTTTCATTACTTTTCAACCATGTACAAACCATGTAATGGATATTAGAAGGACAACATTGTAGTTGTTACATAATTATCAAGGGAATATGTAAATATATGTAAAACGTATGTGTTTAAGTTGATGGCGAATGGACAAATTGGTCAGAATGGAGTACCTGTAGCCAGCTATGTGGAGGTGGAGTTATGTTCAGAAACAGGACATGTACCGAACCTAGATATAATGGAGATAACTGCAGAGGAAATAATACCGAATTTCAGAAATGTGCTCAAATTCCATGTTCTGGTAAATATTCAGAAACAGCAACCAAGGAATATTGTTTTCAAAGTCATTGTATTTTCTAAAGTTATGTTTGCAATATTAAAATAAAGTGTTTGGTTAGAGGGTACAGTTCTGGATTCGTGTGAAATTTCCGCTCACACCAATTCTTTTTACATCTTTCACTATTCCCCATTGCACCACATACCATCATTCTATACACCTTTCTACATTAAAGCATACACCATGTAAAATTTCACATATTACAACTAATTCAGAAAAGATTTACAATGAAAGATATCAATATCGATAAAAAAATAACGAAAGATTTAACCCTAAACACCGTTTCTTACATATATAAATACACCTTTACCCATTACACGATGTCCAATTGAACCATATGTCATTCCTCCCTAGAACTATTTGCCTTTAGACAATACAAGCTTTTACATATCACGTGAAAGCAAACAAACATCCTATAGATATATGTCAAACTAATTTTCATTCTTTTATCTTAAAGCAATAAATAGTAAGTGTTTGAACTTGTAATGATATATGTTGTAGTTAATGGGCAATGGTCAGAATGGAATAAATGGTCTGAATGTACAATTTCCTGTGGCAGAGGTTATAGATTAAGAAATAGGTCATGTACTGAACCCTCACCACAATTTGGTGGAGAACTTTGCCATGGCAATGAAACTGAAACAGATATTTGCAATATAAACGATTGTCCAGGTATGTTATTTTCCATTATGTTATGTAACGGTTATAATTGTACAGATAGTTATGATAATGCCAAGAATGGAAATTGAAGTGAAAAAGCAAATAAACTGCTTTCAAAACTTACAATCAATTGAAGCTTTAAGTTTGTTTTATGTTGTTTGCGGTGAGAAAATTTTGAATTATCTGTTCATATGGAAAGAGCGACTGTATAGGAAATGTAATCATTTTGGAATGTTTTGTTTCTTTCTACAGTAGATGGGAATTGGTCATCCTGGGGTAATTGGCAAGAGTGTAGTACAACATGCGGTGGTGGAACTAAAACCAGAAATAGAACATGCACAGATCCCGTACCACATTTTGGTGGAGAATGTTGCAATGGGAATAATACTGAAGCTGCGATGTGCAATAATATATTATGTCCAAGTAAGACTGCAATATATTTTAGCTGCATATGTAAACTAAAGACAGATAAATGTCAGAGATTGTATGCACTATCGTTAAATCAAATATAAGTAATGATATTAAGAAGCCGTCAAAGTTTTTGATTATTACGCCACAATCGTTTGTAGTTTACACAATAACCAAAAGAGGCGCTCGAATAAAGAAATGGAATTCTTATATTCTTTAAATTTATATTTTAAATAATTCTACGTATTACGAAATAACTTTAAAAAATTGCTCATTAACAGAGCCATGTCTATATTTCATTTGATTAATTTTGGATGTTTTCAGTTGATGGAAATTGGTCCGTCTGGAGTAAATGGCAGGTGTGTAGTGTATCTTGTGGTGGGGGAAATCAAACTAGGAATAGAACATGTAACAACCCGAAGCCACAACTTGGAGGAGAATATTGTGATGGAAATGATTCTGAAGATATTGCGTGTAACAAAATGGCTTGTCCAAGTAAGAATTGATAATATTGAGGGAATAGGTGTATGTACGAATTACTTATTGTTTAAAAAAAATTCGAAAAAAAATTCGAATTTTTTTTGGCTGTATATTTCTATCGTATGCGACAGAGATAAAAGAAAAAAAACAAGTTAAAATCATATATTTAGAAGTTTTAATATGGCGTATACAGTTGGATGCATACCAAGCATTACATAAAGTAAACGCACGTTAACGTCGCGTGCACATATTTCGTTAGCTAACTTCAAATTTCACGTTTACTAGTAAACGCGTGTTTACTATAATTACGTTAACGCGGTCAAAATGGAAATTTCTAATGTCTACCCAAGTTAATGCGCATTTACTCTGTGTCCGTTTAGTCAGTAGTAAACGGGCGTTTACTTCAGATTTCACAAGGTTTTTTTTTGCGTGCACTTAAAAGTAAACGGGCGTTTACCACATATTTCACAAATGTATTTTTACGTGCACTTGAAAGTAAACGCGCGTTTACTTTTCGCTTTCATTAATTGTGTAAATTATAAAATAAACTTCATGTTCTTTTGTACATCTTTTTTATTTTGTTAACATGACTTTTATCTTAATATTTTACGTATATGTGTTTAGATCCGTAACAATTCAAAAACACATTTGATTCGAAATATTAACTTTTACTAATTGCAAAAAATCAGTTCCAATAACTTTAAATACGGATTTTGTAAATTTTCTTTGTCACGTGATATGTTAGGTCATTGTATCCAGGATACAATAACAGTCTGCGATAACGCGCGTTTACTACAGTCAGTAAACGTGCGTTTACTTTTTACAAAAATAGAAAACGCGCCTTATTTCATGTTGACGCGGAAGTAAACGCGAAAGTAAACGGCCGTTTTCTCTTTACAAAATTAGAAGAGGCGCCGTTTTCGCGTTAACGCGGAGGTAAACGCGAAAGTAAACGCCCGTTTACTTTTTATGTCTACTGAAACTTCGGAGTTAACGCAGAGTTAACGCGGCGTTTACATGAAGTGCACGGGAGTAAACGCCGCGTTAACTTTTTCCGCCTGTCTACATGTAATGCTTGGTCTGCACCCAACTGTAAGTTCATGAATGTACATGCACTTAACAAATCACAAAAATATTACACAATGTTTTTCCACATCAAAGTCACAGTTTGGCCTTTCACATAGAACAAAGGTTAATATCTAACTGAACAGCAGCTCCCATTTCCGTTAAGAGAGGAATTAATTACTTGATTCGATAATGCAAAACTTGCACATTGAACCATGACACAGATGCGGTATAATATAAAAAGATAAAACTAATGGGCTAAGGAATATTGTGTTATTTTCACTTTTCTTGTACTTGTTTGATATCGCTGCTGGTGAATTGTTAGTCCCAAGGGTATCACAAGGTCAATAATCAGTGTTTCGGTACTGACATGATTTGTAACATTTTGTTTTTTTTTATTTTTCGTTGATAAATTTTGAATTCATTAAGAAAGCTATGTTCCATAATCCTCAGATGACCTTAGATGAATTTAGCTATCTAAAAGTCTCTTTTGGTCAGAAAGCTACGCGTTTATTTAGACATTTATATAGCCTTTGCTTTAATGTTGGGGATCTGAACGTTCCTGATAAAGTAAATCCAGAAAACCACTTCGGATGCAAAAATTGGAAGTAAATTTAAGGCAAAGTGAAAGTAATTGTGCGATAATTTGTGTTTTGATGAAATTATGGATTCATTTATATCTCTGACAGGAAGATGCATCTGAATACCGAACAAAATGATATATGAAGTATTTCTAATCCCAGAGATGCAATGAATTAACATTTGTTGGAAAAAGTTATAAATATGTAGAAGAGACGTAAAAATCGGCGATTTTTCATCCGTTTAATGTATTTTTTCACTTTAAAATTCACAAGTGTTTCCTTAAACATCCGTCCAGAGAATGTTGATTGAAAATTATATTTTTATTGCTGTAAGCATTTCCGTTGGAATGATATGAAAATATTTAAAGATCACCGGATTAATATTTTTTTAGAAGAAATCAGTAAGTCCTCATGGTTAGAGTAAACAAAGGGTCAAAACGATAACAAAATCTCATCTTGTCATGTTTTTTTTTCATACATCACTCATGCTTAAATGGTCAAGACAGCCAAACCGAATCCGGTGAACCTCTAAAGTTTTGTATAGTAAATGTGGAAATATTTAAAGCAATGAAATATAAATTTTTAATCAAAATTCTGTGGAAGTGCAGATTATCGAGAAATCAACACTTAAAATATGTATTTTTTCCAGCATTTTTCATGCATTCTATACATTTATAGACCTTTTTTTACAAATTTTAATCGACTCTATCTTTGGAAATATAAATGGTATATATATATATATATATATGTTCGATATTCAGATGCAATTAAACGAGTTATAAAGTATACAAAATTTCATCAAAATCCTACATATCACACATTTACCTATTTTTGACCTTATGTTATTACTTAACTTACTCTTTTACATGAAAGTATAGAGAAAATTGGATATTTTGTATTAGTTGATAATATTTTCAAGAGTATACAGTGTAAGTTACAATTTGAAAACATTGTACTTAACGGTGCTTTACCAAAAAATATCTCTTCTTTAACGATACCAAATAATTAAATGTCTATAAAATGTATAAAGATAGACAGGGAGGCAGGAAATAGAACTAAATTCATTGGCTCTATGTCCATAACGTCTGTTGTTTTGTATTTTGCAAGTTGATGGTATTTGGTCTAACTGGAATGAATGGACAGCCTGTAGTTTATCTTGTGGAAGTGGTACACAGTCACGGAATAGAACATGCAACGATCCTGAACCACAGTACGGCGGCACCTACTGTTCAGGAAATAATACCGAAGAGCAGAGATGTAAAGAAGATCCCTGTCCAAGTATGAAGTACATATTACAATGTTTTGAAATAATCCTTTAAATAGGCTTTATTTGCACATTAAAACATTAACTGTGTTTGACATCTTTGTTTCCAAATTCTGTAAAACGGTTAACAGAAAAACAATTCTGAAGTATCATTTTAATGAAATGTTTATATTCGTTCAGTATATGGTTGTAAATATAAATAAGAAGATGTGGTATGAGTGCTAATGAGTAAGACCTTTTCGGGTGAGCTATGTATGTTTTTTGTTTTCTTACCTTGTTTTGTGTCTTATTAAACAATATATGAGAATTAAACATTAGTAAACGACTGTTGCCTAATTTTATACTAATGTTGTTCTTTAAAAAATGCAAGTAATTATAGAAAAAAAGTATTTTTTAAAGTTCAGTAGATTCAACAAGTCAATAGTGCAATGAACCATTCCTTTTAGGACAATATAACAATTATTTCTTTTTTTGAATTCTACATTAAGAAGTTATTTAGCAATAAGCAGTATGACAATTTCCTTGAAGGTATATTTTAGAATTAGTTTTTATTAGAATTTTAAAATAAATATATCTCATTCCATACAGAAAAAGACTGTTCTGCTTTGATAAAAAAAAATCCCCGTCAGTTTTTTCTTTTGCTGTATTGTTTAATTACTTTGGAAAATACATTGAAATTGTAGTTGATGGTAATTGGTCAGATTGGAGTACCTGGGGTATATGTACTGTTTCGTGTGGTGATGGAAGTAAAACTAGAGATAGAACGTGTACTAATCCGATACCACAGAATGGTGGTCTTGATTGTACGGGAAACGAAACAGATATAGGATTTTGTAATTACAGTTCATGTGCAAGTAAGAAGGACGTAGTTATTTATTTTTACTTCAAGTTAAATTCAGTAATTAAGACTATAAACTAGCAATTGTTCCTTTTCATTGGTTTTCGATGTTTACAGTTCATAAACCAAAAGGAAATCTTCAGGCACGAAAGATTTAGAATGTGCCACACTGAAAGATATGAATGACGTAAAATATTGTCAGTCAGTAATATGAATATACGTCAGTAACATAAATATACATCAAAACGGTAATTTGTAGGTACCAGTTTGAGACTATGTAACCAGGTTCGTTTGTATATTTCAATTAATTAGGTTTTGCTTGAATGCTATCATGGAGCATTTTTGGTGCTTGTTTGTGATTTTTTCCTTCGATGATATTTTTCATAAACAAAAGTATTGTTTCGTAGACTAAATCGAAATAAATCATTCGATTTATCATGTGTTGTTTCTGATCAACTTGTTATGGAAGTGGAAAAAGTGGGAGCTGCTTTAAAATAGACCTTATCGCTATTTAGAAATCTGCGACGCTTGACCCGAGAATCTGCGCAACTTGAACTATTGACGTCTGCAACATCACTTTTCCACTGTGGCGTCAAATATTTTCGATTGTCACGTCAAAAATTTACAGGAACCTTTGTGATATACAGTAATGGCGGACAAATAGCGATAAGGTGTATAAGAACTTTGAATTTGTTATCTAATGAAGTTAAATCTCGATATAGGATAACAATGATACAAATTGGAGAGTTATATATTTTCTGTAGATAGCTATATTAATACAATATGAACACTTTTTTAAGCCGGTTTTGATCAAGTGAATTTTACATTTACTGTCCCGTATTGGAGTCACTTATTTGTTAACAGTATCATTAATAAAAATATATATACGATTCTAATTTGTAAACACTAAACAACACAGTTCTGCTTTTTTAATTCAGTAAATGGTAACTGGACTGAGTGGTCTGACTGGAGTGAATGCAGTGTATCATGTGGAGGAGGAATTCAAGAAAAATATAGAAACTGCTCTAATCCCGTACCTGAGTTTGGAGGCGAGGACTGTTTTGGCAATAATACAGAAATAAGCTTCTGTAATAGTAACTACTGTCCAAGTAAGTCTGTATTAAGTTTAAGTTCACTGCATACAATGGATTTAAAAGAAATTAATCAAAATCGTTTTATCATATAAGTGTATGAAAACTGTATCTAAAAACATCATACAATTTGTAATAAACTTTGAGATACTGTCGTGTGTTAAATGTTTATATTGAACAAAAGCGATATATAAAATAACATATGGTGAATTTAAAAATATTCATCGTTGGGTTTTATGATAGGATGCAATATATTGTAAATGGTTTTGATAAGTTACTACATGATAAAAGATAATACTAGTAATGAAAACAAAAACTTAAAGTTTTTTATATGTGACAAACTTTCATAATGTTGATTATATTAACATAAAACACATATTTCTGATTATTTTTATTCATCTTTTATCTCAATTTTGTGTTCTGTTCTCAAGCAACTTCATCAAAATCATTATTTTTTTTTGTCATGAATTCTGAAACACAAGAGTGTAATTGTTATGATAGGCTTAAGTTTAAATACATTTCAGTCAATGGTAACTGGACAGATTGGTCAGTATGGAGCACCTGCAGCCACTCTTGTGGAGAAGGTTTTCAATCTAGAAACAGAACATGTTCGAACCCAGTACCTCAGTTTGGTGGAAATGAATGTCTCGGTAATGGCACCGAAGATGTTATGTGTAACGAACACCATTGCCCAGGTAACAAACATATACCATGTGTTTGCATGCTCAATTAAGAAAAGTCTGAAGCTTACAATCAGTTTATTGTTGTCCGATTATTTGTTTTGTCATGATTTTCACTTCACTTGTCTTCTTAAAATATAAATTAATTTCTCTAATTCTGACATCATCTTCCCTCTGAATTTCTTAATGTGACGTCACGAAAAAAGGCGACCATGCCTGATGACATTCCATAGGAAGAACATATCAATGGAAAAGAAGGATTAAATTTGCCTGCATATCGTCTCAAAATCATCAGAGAAAGAGATTCATCCCCCAAATCTCGTTTAATAAGATATTTCTCTTGACAGTTAAATTTTAAATATCTAAAATGCTAGGCGAGCCTCGCGTTCTAAATTTGACAATATAACTGTCTCGAGTGGAAAAAACATCACACTCGATGCAGTGGTAGAATCTACACAAATCACCTAACAAATATAGATTTATTTCGTCTTCAAGTCATTGTTCCACTACTAAATTGTCTATTCTACTTACTAGTACACTTGGTACAATCAAAAACCTGATAATAAATTGTTCAAATAAGGCCTTTGAAAATAGTGGAATTAACTACTTTTGGAGTGTCAAAACTCGTTGGAAGTACTAGATAAATTGCATGTATATATTGGTGATTTTGAATCTGTTCAAAGTTTTGATTTGTCTACCCTATAAACCACTTTGCCTCATATTCTTATTAAGAAAAAATTCACACACCTAATTAAATGGGCATTTAAAAAGTCGGAATGCGAATACATATGTTCAAACTCTTTTAGGTCATTTTTTAGAAGCAACAAACAAAAGAGCTATGTCAATTGGACATGCTTTGATACTATTTCTCCCCTTGAATTTTTACTTGATAACATTTTTGTTCGCTTTGGAGATTCCGTATATCGTCAAGTTATCGGAATTCCAATGGGGACTAACTGTGCACCACTTATTGCGGACCTGTTTTTGTATTGTTATGAGTTACAATTTATGACTAAAATCAGCAAAGACCCATCGAAACAACATCTGATACAAAAATTTAACAATACGTTTAGATATTTGGATGATATATTGGCTCTCAATAATGACAAGTTCAGTATGTATACTAAAGACATTTATCCTGTTGAACTTACTTTAAATAAAGCTAATACTTACAATGACCACTGTCCTTTCCTCGATCTTGATATCTATATCATTAACGGGAAGCTTAATACAAAAATTTATGTTAAAAGAGATGATTTTTCATTTCCTATCGTTAATTATCCATTTTTAGATGGTGACGTTCCCTTGTCACCATCTTATGGTGTTTATATATCTCAACTTGTACGATTCGCTCGTGTATGTAACAACGTATCAGATTTTAGCGAGAGAAATTTATATATTACTGAAAAATTATTACACCAGGGTTTTCGATATCATAAACTAATCAAAACATTTACTAAATTTTATCATCGGTATAAGGACATCATTCGTAAATATAACTCAACATGCAGACATCTTATACGTTCGGGTATTTCACATCCAATCTTTTATGGTAATATTCTTTACAAAGTACAAAAATGTCAGTATTCACCTCAAAAGCTAACAAAACCTTTAAACAGACTTATTAAGAAGGGATATAGTTACGATACTGTTGTCAGGTCATTAAAGATTGCATATTTTGGCTTTAATATTGATTCACTTATAGGGTCTTTGCATCGGAATTAAACATATTTATTCTAAAACCAGTTGTTGGCATGACACGGGTTATGTTATTCTCATATATTTTATGACGGTATAATACTAAACCCCTAACAGGAGGGATTGTGCCTGATATTCATATGATGAAGACATAATCTTTCAATCAGTTTAATTGATGTCTGGAGCTGGCATGTCAGTAACTGCTAGTAGTCTGTTGTTATTTATGTATTATTGTCATTTTGTTTATTTTCTTTTGTTTCCTATTCTGACATCGGACTCGGACTTCTCTTAAACTGAGTTTTACTGTGCGTACTGTTGTACGTTTGTTTTTTCTACATTGGCTAGAGGTATAGGGGGAGGGTTGAGATCTCAAAAAACCTGTTTAACCCCGCCGCATTTTTGCGCCTGTCCCAAGTCAGGAGCCTCTGGCCTTTATTAGTCTTGTATCATTTTTAATTTTAGTTTCTTGTGTATAATTTGGAGTTTAGTATGACGTCCGTTATCACTGAACTAGTATACAAATGTGTTTAGGGGCCAGCTGAAGGACGCTTCCGGGTGCGGGAGTTTCTCGCTGCATTGAAGACCCATTGGTGGCCTTCGGCTGTTGTCTGCTCTATGGTCGGGTTGTTGTCTCTTTGACACATTCCCCATTTCCATTCTCAATTTTACTATATATAAATGATTGATAAATAATATCTATTTCAAACAACAGAAAGTTGTACCAATACAATTTGATAAATTCACAGTATTTAGATAAAAACAAACATATGATAAAGTAATGATGTTCATATAAAGATGTTATTATATAAGCATTTGCATGAAATTTTAAAAGTGCATACAAAACCTTCTGGAAATGCATTATAACAATACGCTTTATTTCTTTAATTCTTAAAGTTCTTAAACATTAAATCATTTAGTGGATGGCAACTGGACAAAATGGTCAGAATGGGACAATTGTACACAGTCCTGTGGTGGTGGTGTTCGGTCAAGACTAAGAATCTGTTCAGATCCTGAACCAAGCTTTGGAGGAGAAAATTGTCTAGGAAACAGTACAGAAAGAAATATTTGTAATGACCATAATTGCCCAGGTAACAATAATAATAAATTATAAGATAACACATTTTGAACTGAACGGTAATCTACTAAAGAATAAAAAAAGGTAACAATGTTAGAAGATGTATGATTTAGGATCGCATGACCTGAAAAAGAGGGGCGAAAGATACAAAAGGGAAATTCAACAATTGCAAAAGTGTTGATACTGACAGTCATAGCAAAGAATATATCTCAGATTGTGAAAATACATTATCGGCACATTTTAGCATCTGTTGGTTAGTCTATAATCATGATCATGCTTGCAGTTGATGGCAATTGGACTGATTGGTCTGAATGGGGCAGTTGCAGTGATACTTGTGGAAGTGGTCTTAAGCTTCGATATAGAAATTGTTCAAATCCTGAACCTCAGTTTGGTGGAATTGACTGTGTGGGTAACAAAACAGAAATCGATTCCTGCAACGACCAATATTGCCCAGGTTATATATATATACATAACTTATAGCTTCCTTTGTACAGAAACTAAACGGTCGTCAAAAGCAGACGTAAACAATCTTCTGCAGCATTTATATTCGTTTGGAGCAAATGCTGCTGTTTCGGTTAGGTTTGTCAATTGTCAAGACTTCTACAAACGTAAGAGTTCTGAGGTTTGAGGTTGAAGTTCTAATAAATAAAAATATTTTGATACATATTTCAATGTTTTCACGCTTTATTCTGAAATAATGAATTAATCAAGTATTTACTCTTTCAAAAGAGGTAGGTTCAATTTCCTTAAACTTATTTCACAGCGTGGCAAGTTTGAAAAACTCCTTTTAATGTTTATTCACAAGTCACAGAATCATAGAAACATAAGTGTACTTTAATGATTATTTACATTTAACCAAATCATAAATGCCACACAATGGTTCTTAAGTGCTATTTTGACAAGTTTGGGTAAATTTTTGATTGTATCCAAATATTTAAAGTCTTTCATATACAAATATAAACAAATTTATAGATAAATAAATTGCAATGTGAAGCGCTAGATAACTTTTTGATTGTATTGAAATATGTAATATGTTGATAATTGCTTTTAAAGTATACTATATACACTCTTTCATATTCGAATTCCAATCAGTTTGAACTAGTTTCTAATTTTGACCCTGTTTGTGGAACAAATACAGCTACATCTTTATGAAAAACAAATAAAGGAACAATTTTTGAATCCTTTATCCAATCAAATACTTAGATAATTATGTAGCCCAATGATTTGTTCTAATGATATTATAGAATCAAAAGGAGGACATTTTCGAAGCTAAATGCAATTAAACATTCACTTTGTTTTGGTTAGTGTGTCACATATCAAGTACATGTAGTATGATTTATTGTAATAAATATTAAATTTGATCTGTAGATGGACATATAGCTATTCTATTAGAAGAGCTATGTATGAAACAAGTTGAAGATCGGCTCTAGTTTATATTCTTTTTCAATGTCCGTAATCGCATTAAGTGTTGTCAATTTAGCTTATATATTTAGTCAGATAGGAATTTGCTATTGACGTACATTATTGTTGTTCTCTGTTTGATTTATTTATAATTTGTTAACGCTCTTGATTTCAAAATTAATATTTCTTTAGCTAAATATGCTATATATATATACATCCAATGAAAATATAAAGATATAATAATCACCCGTAGTTACTTTAAAATACAGTTGACGGTAGTTGGGCAGAATGGGCAGAATGGAACAATTGTACCTATTCATGTGGTGGAGGGCTTCAGTTTAGAAATAGAACATGTTCAGACCCTGAACCCCAGTTTGGTGGAAAGGAATGTATTGGAAATAGCACAGACAATAATTTATGCAACGAGCATCAATGTCCAGGTAAAACATATCTAATATTTATTACAAATACAGAACGTTTAGAATTACGTCTCTTTCTTTACTTTTCCTTGTTTAAATTCAGTTATATTGATTGATTGATTGATTGATTGATTGATTAACTGGTATTCTAACGCCACTTTCAGTACTATTGTGATATTTCGTGGCGGTAATTTTTTTATGGTGGTGGAAGCCAGAGTAACCGGAGGGAACCACCGACCTTCGGTAGGACTACTATCAATCCTAGTCAATTAAGATTTGAGTGGAACGCACCTGCCACATGCCGTATTCGAACTCACAATCTCAGTGTCGACAGGCTAGTGATACAGTAGTTCAAGTACTAAGACAACTCGGTGACCGAGGCCCCAAGTTCAGGTTAAAGTTAGAACGTTGAAACAATTTTTTCTTTTTGAAGGTGAAGGTTCCAAGATCTCCAATTGTATAAAATTTGTAATCAGATACAAGTATATTATTACCAGTCTCATCACTTGAAAATGAATTAAAGAGACCACCGCCCGTCGACATAAATACCAAAAATATATATCTAGAGGGGAACATACAACCATTTTCAATTTATTCTTACCACTTATTGAATTGCGTATGAATACTTATATGTCCATCGCACAACAGAAAAGAGTTCACCTTGTTATTTGGACAATGTTGACCGCCAAAGAGAAATCTATGATTGTTTTTGGTAAATGTTTTGATAACTTTTATAGACTTTGAACGATTTCATTTCCATCTTGACATATTGTATGGACATCCTGTTTGTTGTTGAAGACCGAATGTTCTCCTCTAGATGTATTTTTAGATTTCAGCTAGAATTAGTAAACTTGATATAAATATAAAAGTAGATTAATACACTTTTTATCTTAAATAATTTCATAAAATGATCTAATGGTTATATCCGTGTCAACAAATACAACAAAGGCGCAGATATAATTAGTTATTCGGTAGACTTATAATGACACTTTTTAATTTTCGAATGCAAGGGGTCACACATGTGTAGCCTTATCAAACTTTCTCCTATTTGGAATGATTCAGAAATGTTAAAACTTTGCCCTAATACGGGATATACTTTTGATCAATTACTTTTATCAAAGAAAGTTTCGTAACTATATTTTCATTCTTATATACAAGGAGTGAGGAAACCGAGTAAGGTTGCCCCATTTATTTTCATAAAATTAATATTTACATATCTGAAAATACTGTCATTTAGTTTTCTGTCTTGTCACAAAATATTGACTTTCTATGTATAATTTATCGGAAAATATTGGAATATTGCATAGGATGTACATCAAAACAAGAAAATAACCTCCACAGCAACGTTAAAATATTTTGGCGGTTTTCGAGGTAAAATTTTTTGGTGATTGCATCTTAATCTCAAAAACCATGATCAACGATTCTGATTGGTCAAAACTGCTGTTTGATGTTGTGAGAAAAAGTACTTGCAAAATTCATATTTCTTTTAATACAAACAGGATTATTTGTTTGATTTTGTTGAAATACGCACCCAGATAAATGAAGTTGTAGTAATAGTTTGTTTGAAATGTTAAAAATAAAGAAAAAATACTTCTGCGGTCATGCCGTTTTTGAGCTTGCAATCGCAAAAACACGTTATTTTTCAACAGATGATCACTGGCACATGTTCGTAGGAAGTTAATGGACAAAGGTGATACTTATCATATATTGAGGTAAGGAATTGTACGAATGATTAGTTTATATAACGCTTTGCACCGGAATGTTCTAGTTTATAATGATTAGAAGAGATAAAAATGCCACTGACTAACTGTAAAACTTTCTATGTAGTCCAGATTATCATGACGTCTGCTGAGGATATTAATCTATTTTGATTTATCAAGACCCCTTATTGACAGGTAGGTGTCAATGCAAAAATTAAAGTAGCCTTCTAAGGCGTCATAATGATTTGGACTCCCTTTTTAGCTCACCTTTTCCAAAAGGGCCAAGTGAGCTTTTCTCATCACTTGGCATCCGTCGTCCGTCGTTGTCGTCGTCGTCCGTCGTCGTCCGTTAACTTTTACAAATATCTTCTCCTCTGAAACTACAGAGTCAAATTAAACCAAACTTGGCCTGACTCATCCTTAAGGTATCTAATTTTAAAAATGTATCTGATGACCCCGGTCATCAACCAAGATGACCACCATGGCCAAAAATAGAACATGGGGGTAAAATACAGTTTTAGGCTTATATCTCTGAAACTAAAGCATTTGGAGCAAATCTGACAAGGATAAACATGTTCATCAGGTCAAGATCTATCTGCCCTGAAATTTTCAGACACATCAGACAACCCGTTGTTGGGTTGCTGTCCTTGAATTGGTTATTTTAAGGAAATTTTGCAGTTTTTGGTTATTATCTTGAATATTGTAATAGATAGAGATAAACTGTAAACAGCAAAATTGTTCAGCAAAGTAAGATCTACAAATAAGTCAACAAAATCAAAATTGTCAATTGACCCCATAAAGAGTTATTGCACTTTAATGTCAATTTTTCACAATTTTTCGTAAATGTTTGCAATCTTTACAAGATCTATCTGCCCCGAAATTTTCAGACGCATCAAACAACACCTCGTTTGGTTGCTGCCCCTGAATTGGTACATTTAAGGAAATTTTGCAGTTTTTAGGTGATTATCTTGAATATTATATTAGATAGAGATAAACTATAAACAGCAAAATTGTTCAGCAAAGTACGCTCTACAATTAGGTCGACATGAACAAAATTGTCAACTAACCCCTTTTGGAGTTATTGCACTTTAAAGTTAATTTTTCACAATTTTTCGTAAATTTTTTTGTACAATTTTGTAAATTTTTACAAAATATTTTCCTCTGAAACTACTGGGTCAAGTTCATTTTAGATAGAGATAATTGTAAACAAAACACAATTTTGTCATGAGTTCTATTCTTGTCTATAATGTGTGTCCTCTGTTTAATATGCACATAGACCAAGATGAGCGATACAGACTCTTTAGAGCCTCTATTTATGTTATTGTTTTTAAAAAGGGGGAACCCGATAGTTTTTAATCTAATATGTTTTGAGAATTGAGATATATTCCGATATCACAGTAAAACATAGATTGTTATGAATGACTTAATTTGATGAGAATAATAACAATTGCGCTCCTTATATAAAGGAATGTCCAAACAATCAAGTGGTGTAACAGTTTAACACATGGTTCCTATTATTTGATTATCAGATCAATATTAATAGAATACACACTCAAATAAATTAATCCTTTTTAAATTATTGTAATGGGAAATAATATGATTGAATTGATGGATTCTTTATTTTCATTCTAATATTATATCATGATCTCTATTTGTCTCCTTCATTTGATATTGAATATATGTTTCATCCTTTATTCTGAAATTGCAGCATTTAGTTTGCCAAAATCATTACTGAATTTAAAATTTTAAAGTTTGAAATGGAATTTATTCTAATACCCCTTCGTATACCTTAATTGTAAATTCATAAATCATTAGAAAATGTATGTAGCTGTTTTGATTATACAATGACAAACGGATAAAGAAATGACCAAATTGTATAAAGTCAGTAAAATGCATAAATCAATATGTATGATTTTATCCTTTAAATTAATTTGAAGTAATGCTACATGAATAGATGTACTCATCTGTGTGTTACATTTCAGATTAAAAGATGATACTTTTCTGCAGAGTGAAAAATCGACCAAATGGTGCACCTATTGAATGTGTCAGGAGTCAGTAAACATAGAAATTTGAAAATCTAAAAAAGATTCATTAAAATGTCGTTGTCATACAATTGAATAAATTATTAAAAAATGACAAAAGATTGGGAGTATACATATTCTGGTTTATCATCATGCATGCATCAAGAAATAACATTTGTGATATTTCAATGATATTAAAATAGTGCATTCAAGAGGATTAGTATTTAGTCTATAAAGGATTACAGACAAACTACCACATAAGGAATATAAGGAAACTGCAACGTACGGACTAGAAAATGTGCAACAGTTTCCAATCGTATTGTAATTCATGAAATAAACAGTGCAGCAAATGTTTTGATTCTCTTTTCTACTCATTGCAATAATAAAGTATTTTTTGAACTCGTATTTTATCATTGAAAAGGAAGGAGAGGGAGGTGTAAGGTGGACGTTCATGAGACAAAAAGAACATTTTTATAAAAATAAGTTATTATTGTAATAAAATGATAGGTAAGGGGATATCGGATTTGATTTCCATGAGACAATATTACATTCATCCATTATATGAAAAATTTACAAATTTAAAGTCTGAATCTGAAATATTAAAAGAAGCAAAATTGGTCTTTGAAAATGAATATTTTGTTGGAAAAAGCAGTAAGTCTTTTTCACTAACATCTTTTTCACTAACAAATGAACACATACTTTACACCAACACTTCAAAGAGCATAACTTATTCCACTACAAACAGAGTAAAAAAAAGGACAAAGGAATGGTAAACAAGCCCGGGAGGTCTGCGCCATGATCATTAAAATCTTTTCTTGTACATTCACAATGTAGCAAACTATCACTGATATTCCCCTTTTGATGTTCATTTGTTACAACCTGCGATTGACCTCACAAGCATGAAATTTTTAAAATGTGACTAACGCTTAATTTGAATTTTCGATTATAGCAATAAAACGGTAATGGCGCGCAAACAAACGTTATGTGTTATCGTCTGATTTTGTCTGAATGAAAAAAAGACATGCCTTCTACAGAAAGAAGTCGACGTCACAATTACGACGTTTGCAACAAGTGGCCTTCGTTTTGAAACTTAACTTTCAATGGTTCATTTTATATACAGTTGACGGTAGTTGGACAGAATGGTCAGAATGGAACAATTGTACTGATGTATGTGGCGGAGGGCTTAAGTCTAGAAATCGAACATGTTCAGATCCTGAACCTCATTTTGGTGGAAAGGATTGTATAGGCAATAACACACAGAATATTTTATGCAACGAACATCATTGCCCAGGTGAGACCAATGAAATTAAGAGTAAATTAAAGTCACAACTGTTTTTATTAAAAGTGTATGTGTGAGTTCAGATGTGTATGGTACATTTATCCTGCTGCAAAGCTATGTTTTCGGAATATGTAATTAGAAGTAAGGAATTCATAGTAGTGAGATAGATAATCGACATCTCATAAATTGTATTTTGTGGTTATTTTATGATCATATATCTAAAAAAAAACATTGGTTACAGTTCATTAGTAGGGGGAATACATTGCTATTAGTGTAGAGAGTGGTTATTAACGTAGGAATATGGGAAGCAGATATTTGATTTTGATAAAAAATAAATGGGAATGAAACAATAATATATCTTCAAATAATTTCTAACTGGATTAAAATTTCCACTGGTTACATACTGACATAGAAACCCATGCTTAACTGCTAAGTAAATAATTTGCATAATTTTATCAATACAAACATAATAATTGACATTGAAAATCTGTTTTCCTTCTATATTTATGTCTAAATAAAAAATAAATGACAATTGGACAACTTCGGTATAGGGTTCTGAATGCAGTTTGGCATGCGCATGGGTAATACAGTGTCGTAACAGATCGTGTGTTAATCCTCAACCCCTTGTTGTGGAAATGATTGTCTTGGTGACAGTACAGCAAGTTTATAATGCAATGGAAATAACTGTGTATAGATATAGGAAGATGTGGTATGAGTGCCAATGAGACAACTCTCCATCCAAGTTACAATTTATAAAAGTAAACCATTATAGGTCAAGGTACGGCCTTCAACACGGAGCATTGGCTCACACCGAACAGTAAGCTATAAAGGGCCCCAAAAAATTACTAGTGTAAAACCATTCAAACGGAAAAACCAAAGGTCTAATCAATATAAAAACGAGAAACACGTATGAACTACATAAACAGACGACAACTACTGTAATCAGATTCTTATGCATGTCAGGACTGATAAAGACTTTGCTAGATAAATTGATGCAATCAATTTTATTATTTCTGAATTCAAAAAGATTGTACTGTAAATTATCTATCTAAATTTAAACAAAAAAACAAAAAGGGAAGGGTGGCTTTATCTGTACTTTTTCTATGTTTGCAGTTTCAAATATTTTGTGAGAAAATAAATTAAGAATAAATTAAAGGCACTAGAAGAGTTTATGGTTTAAAAGAGAAAATGAAAATAGCACTTTATAAATCTGGTGCCTCCGAAACGCATTTCTGGATTTACCTTCACCAGGAACGCTAAAACCGAAATATTTCAATAGCAAGAACGTATTAGTATTTGAATACGTAAAGAACTACAGACCAACAGGGACCTCACAAAACAGCCAAATAAATTTAAGGTAAAATTTATCTGAAGCAGTTGGAACCTTGGTTTTGCATTAATTTCTAAGTTAATCAACGGAGTAGATAACAAAAGTTATGTTTTACTCACCTCAGTATCGTCCGTGGTATCGTCACACTGATTACTTAGTTGATGATACTAAGAGGACAAGCAATTTTCCAGCAGCGGTATCGACTCAGTGCCAGAAATTAAAAATAGAACTATTTTCTCTCCTTATCTACTTAAAACACCTTTTCGACATTTTATCGTCCTATCATTGGTTATAGGCGTATTCAGCAGCGAATCTAGATAATGCTAAATGCTTTCAACTTAAATATGACATTGTATATAGATTGTGAATCTATGATTATAAAAATTTGGGAATTGAGTGCACTGTTATTTTCTTTTTTAGTTGATGGAAACTGGTCTGAATGGAGCGCATGGGAGGAATGTAGCGTAACATGTGGAGGTGGATTGAAGACAAGAAACAGGACTTGCACAAACCCTGCATCACAATATGAAGGCAAAGATTGCTCAGGAAATAGTACCAACATTTCTAATTGTGCACACAATCCTTGTCCAAGTATGTATATTTATGCATAAATCCAATGAAAAGTAAAAGATTAAAAGCACTGATAAAAATTCATTTTGATTAAGATATCGAGTGACGATTGACAATAATTTACAAATCGGCCATTTGTGTTTTTTTTTTATATTTCAGTTATGTACAAAGGCAACCAAGGAAAGAGATATTCTTAAACTTAATTTATTTGTACAACTATATCATTTTGTACACACAAGTAGAATCCTTAAACGACAACCCGAAAATAAAATTTGATTTTCAACAATATTGAGAGAAAATGAACTGAGCTCCAAATCTGAAAAAAAGTATACCCCCAAAATATGTCGGGTTTTCAAACTGTTTATAACTATGTACAATGCCTTTAAAGGGAACACATTTTACAAATCAGAATTTTATGGAATGCTCAGAATATAATTGCTAAAAATGTTGGCCGATTATTTCATTGTATGTATATTTGTCAATTTTAGTCAATGGAAATTGGACAGAGTGGTCATCATGGAATGAATGCAGTGTTATTTGTGGAGGTGGCATTCAAGTCAGAGACAGAAATTGTTCAAATCCTGTCCCACAATATGGTGGTGATCAGTGTTTCGGAAATTCGACAAATTCGGACACATGCAATGAACAGCAATGTCCAAGTAAGAAAACAATCCTTATTACGTTTCTGATCGTGAACATAGTTTTGTCTCATGGATATTTCAATATTAAAGAAATAATAAACCATCTCTCGAACAAATTAAGAAGGCAACCTATCAACTACTAAACAACAAACTTATCATTTTATATGTTATTACGCAAGTTAGATTTAGAGCACCTTCATTTTGGATTTATATCTGAAAATCATTTTCTATCAGATTACACTTTTCTCTTTTATTTTTGATTTTCAATTTGAGGTAGCGTTCTACTTTGTCTGCTAATTAAAAGTTCCAGGTTGTATCAGGCACGATGTGAAGTTTACAATCTAATATATATCCTAAACAATACATATGATTTCTTTACTGCGTCACATTATGATTATTTTATTTTCTGTAGTTTAATAGTTAGATTATTTATTTCTTAATCGAAACATACTAAATTTTTTTTATAGTTTTTCGTCATAAGTGCCCTTTCTCGTTTCTGTTTTAGTTGATGGTAACTGGTCTGGATGGAGCCAATGGGAGGAATGTAGCGTCACTTGTGGTGGTGGACTCAAGACTAGAAATAGAACCTGTTCAAACCCTGCACCCCAATTTAGAGGCAAACACTGCTTAGGAAATGATACACTCATTTCTAATTGTGCAGACAATCCTTGTCCTAGTATGTATTTCACAAACATATCTACATTGAAAAGTACTGGATAATCAGTAATGATACGAAATTCTTTTTGGTAAAGATATCTAGTGACGCTTGACAATAATATATCTCTATAATTATTCAGTTGGCTAATACTTGTTTTATATTTAATTTTTGTTCATATGGAAATAAGGATAAAAATATCCATCAAGTCACTTAATTTTTACAAACGTTACAGTTTTACACACAAGCGGAATCCTTAAATGACAACCTTTAAATGAAACTGTATTGGGGACAATACTGACAGAGAATGTCTCTGAGCTCCTATTCTGAAATAGTATTACCACCATTTTTTAAAGTTGTTCATAATTTTTTATATAGCTGTTAAATGGTTCTATGTTTTAACTGAACACGTTAGCGGATTGTGTCAATGTATGTAACATATGTCAATTTTAGTCAATGGGAATTGGACAGAGTGGTCAATCTGGAATGAATGCAGCGTAACTTGTGGAGGTGGCATTAAAGTCAGAGACAGAAACTGTTCAAATCCTATACCGCAATATGGTGGGGAATCGTGTTTCGGAAATGCCACAAGTACTGAAACATGTAATGAAGACCAATGCCCAAGTAAGAAAAACATTTTGTACAATAGAAAGTTCCTTTTAACAGTAATATTCATTTTCTAAACAAATTAAGAAGGCAACAACCTATCAACTACTGAACCATAAACCTTATGATCAGTCATCATGCAAATTAAATGTGGAGACCTACATTTTAGATTTATTTCTAAAGATCATTACTATCAGATTACTCTTTTCTGTTTAAATTTAGATTTTCAAATTCCCGAAGTGTTCTCTGCTTGATTTTTTTTCTGCTCATTACAATTTAAAGGTTTTATTTGTCAAGATGTTTACAATCTAAAATATGACCTTCACAATTCATTTGACCTCTTTTACACATGATCATATGATTTTGTTTTTGTATTCTGTCGTTGGATACCTAATCATTTTATTTCCTATTCGAACCATAAGAAGTTGTAATAGTTTCGGCATTTGTGCTCTACTCAAGGCTAGGAACAGGACCTGTTCAAACCCTGAACCCCAATTTGGAGGCAAACATTGCACAGGAAATGATACCCTCATTTCTAATTGTAGAGACAATCCTTGTCCAAGTATGTACTTTGTTGCGTGTTATTTTATCGCTTTACTATACTTTCTACAATATATATATTGGCCTTCCAAATACCGTTTTGATTCCTAACATCACTGAAGAGACATAAATTGTCGAAATCCGGATATGGTGTACTAATTTTTGAACCTTTTGTTTGCGGTATACCATCTTTTCCGCAAGTTTATTGTTTTCTGTTTGGTATCAAATTAATAGTTAAGATCCTTTTTGTTACATCTGGTGATCCGTTTATTTGACAATTGCCATTGGCAGTCAGCAGAGTTTAAGAACATCCGTTGTTCGACCTGCTAGTCAAATGCGTTTTGTTAAAATATACTTTTTCACTTTTTTGGTCCTTTGGAAAATGTTGTTTGTGGTGTATTTAGACCCCTTTACCAAGAAATTTGTTTTAGATGCACACGTATAACAATTGCGGTTTTTATCCAACGCACTCATAGGTCTGAACGTTGTTTTCAATTTAGACTTGTATATATTTTTTCGTTTGGGCTTGTTTTATATTTGCCTTCGGGTTTATATGATCCGTTCATCCTATTTTGACTCTTCAAAATTCAAGAGTCTATCCTAAATTGAGGTAAATTGTATGGCTTTCCAAATACCGTTTCGTTTCCTAACATCACTGAAGAGACATTAATTGTCGAAATCCGGATATGGTGTACAAAAACGTTTCCACCTTTTGTTTGCGGTATATCATCTTTTCCGCAAGTTAATTGTTTTCTGTTTAGTATTAAATCAAAATTAAGATCTATTTATTACATCGGTGATCCGTTTATTTGGCAATCGCCAATGGCAGTCAGTAGGGTTTAAGAACATTTGTTGTTCGACCTGTTAGTCAAATGCGTTTTGTTAAAATATACTTTTTCACTTTTTTGGTCTTTTAGAAAATGTTGTTTGTGCTGTATTTAGACCCCTCTAACAAGAAATTTGTTTTGGATGCACACGTATAACAATTGCGGTTTTTATCCAACGCACTCATAGGTTTGAACGTTGTTTTCAATTTAGACTTGTATATATTTTTTTCGTTTGGGCTTGTATTATATTTGCCTTCGGGTTTATATGATCCGTTCATCCTATTTTGACTCTTCAAAATTCAAGAGTCTATCCTAAATTGAGGTAAATTGTATGGCTTTCCAAATACCGTTTCGTTTCCTAACATCACTGAAGAGACATTAATTGTCGAAATCCGGATATGGTGTACAAAAACGTTTGCACCTTTTGTTTGCGGTATATCATCTTTTCCGCTAATTAATTGTTTTCTGTTTAGTATTTAATTAAAATTAAGATCTATTTATTACATCGGTGATTCGTTTATTTGGCAATCGCCAATGGCAGTCAGCAAGGTTTAAGAACATTTGTTGTTCGACCTGTTAGTCAAATGCGTTTTGTTAAAATATACTTTTTCACTTTTTTGGTCTTTTAGAAAATGTTGTTTGTGCTGTATTTAGACCCCTCTAACAAGAAATTTGTTTTGCATGCACACGTATAAAAATTGCGGTTTTTATCCAACGCAATCATAGGTTTGAACGTTGTTTTCAATTTAGACTTGTATATATATATATATATATATAACGTGGAAATTGCAATAGGTATATTAGTCATATATGATAAATGTTCTAGCGTTCTTATCATAAACTTAATTTCTCCATACACAAAGGTTACATATAAGTAATTCACAAGTAAAATTCTAAATCGGCAACCTTAAACTGAATTGTTTTTAGAATAATAGTGACAGATATGTTCCCAAGCTCCAATTCTGCAAAAGTATACAACCGAAATATGATATGTTCTTAACTATTTATTGTTTTGTACATTGTTGTGAAATAAGACGTATTTTACAGATGTCAAATGAGAGTTCCATGGATAGCTCAGTTTGTTTTGAATATTCACGATGGCGGATAGTGTTATTATATATGTTATATTTCAATTTTAGTCAATGGGAATTGGACAGAGTGGTCATCGTGGAATGAATGTAGTGTAACTTGTGGAGGTGGCATGAAAGTCAGAGACAGAAACTGTTCAAGTCCTGTACCGCAATATGGTGGAGATCCGTGTTTCGGAAACTCCACAAATATTGATATATGCAATGAAGACCCATGCTCAAGTAAGAAAAAGATCATAATGCCGTTCCTGAAAGTGAACATACTTTGTGTAATTGAAAGTTCTATATTACAGATATCATAAACCATCTCTGGTTAATTTAAATTTAAATTAATGAGGCAAAAACCTATATACTACGAAACAACAATCTCGATTCTATTGTTCGAAATCGACTTAGGTTTTGTATGTATAAAATTTACCTTCTAAATCAATTTATAAGATTTAATAATCGGTAAAGTACTGTTGCCTTACATCTGACATCATGAGTTCCAGGATGTACTAATCATCAGACACGATGTCATATCATCTCTTTAATGCATGATCATATTAATATTTTGCGTTCTGAAGTTTAATATTTATTTCTTAATGGAACTACAATAAATTGTTATAGTTTACGTGATAAGTGTCATGCTCTTGTCTGTTTGTAGTTGATGGAAACTGGTCTGGATGGAGCGAATGGGAGAAATGTAGCGTCACATGTGGAGGTGGACTCAAGACTAGAAACAGGACCTGTTCAAATCCTGAACCCCAATTTGGAGGCAAATATTGCACAGGAAATGATACCCACATTTCTGATTGTGCAGACAATCCTTGTCCAAGTATGTATTGCAAGTATATCTACATGGAAAAGTATTCTATATCAAATGCAGTGATAACATTTTTCAGTTGAAGATATACAGTGATGTCTTACAATTTGTTTCTGTACTTTCTACTTAATTTAAAGTAAGGAGTATTTTGCGGCGAATTTGATTACGAAGTTTATAGAGTGTTTATTTTTCATTTATAAGCAATGATTGAAATACATTTGTAAAAATATAGTGATAATCTTCAACAATATATGTTTTGTGTTTATACGGTAAGAAAGAAAAAAAAAGTTATTCAAATTTTATATATACGCAATTATTACTTAGGTAAACAATTTTGATGACTTACAAAATAGTAGAAAGTTTTTTTTTCTTAATCATACTTTATACTAAATTTATATACAAGGTAAAGTACAATAGATGCATGAAAGCCAAAATGTATATACCTTATCGTCTATCTCAGCATGAACTTACTGTATTCAAACAAAAATTATTTTTTCACACATTAATAGAATCTACAAATGACAACCCTAACATCAAACTATATTAAAATTAATAATAAAGAAGATGTTCCTGATCTTTAGTTCTGAAATGGTAAATTTATATATCCAGCGAATTATGTAATTTTAAACTGATTATTGTACGTAACTGTTAAAAGGGACCATATATTACAAATGCTACATGGGTAGGTTAGTATGTTTTAGTATCCATGCTGGTGGATTGTGTTATATTAGGTATAATGTGTCAATTTCAGTCAATGGGAATTGGACAGAGTGGTCATCTTGGAATGAATGCAGTGTTACTTGTGGAGGTGGCATGAAAGTTAGAGACAGAAAATGTTCAAATCCTGTACCGCAATACGGTGGCGATCCGTGTTTCGGAAATACTACAAATTTTGAAACATGTAGTGAAGAGCTGTGCCCAAGTAAGAAAACAATCCCAATACTGTACATGATCGTGAAAAAAAATTATTTTGTTCAATAGAAAGTTCTTAATTACAGTAATGATTAATCATCTTGGCGACAAAATAATGTAGCAACAACATATAATCTACTAAACAACAAACTCAATTATGTTATACGCGATCAACTAAGTTAGTCTTGAATTACCGATAGTTTTTTTGTACGCCCGTCAAAATTTTGACGGGACGTATTATGGTATACAAATGTCGTCTGTCCGTCTGTCTGTCCGACGTAAACATGTAGCACCGTAACTAGAGAACGACTTATCCAAATTTCATGAAACTTAACATAGTTGTTTCTTATGATGGCCAAACGATCTGTATACTTTTTGGTGAAAATAAGATTAAAACTTTTTGAGTTACGGGACTTAGTAACTAAAACAGGTGTGTGTTTTTTTCACATGTTGCGCCGTATCTCAAAAACAATTTATGATTATTGCTTAAAACTTTACACACTTCTTAATCTTAAGATCTGTATACTTTTTGGTGATGATTCAAAATTTTATTTTAGAGATATTTATTTTTTTTAAAAAGGGGGGTTTTCACATGTCGCGCCGTATCTCAAAAATGATTTATGATTATTGCTTAAAATTTTACACACTTCTTAGTTATATTAATCTTAAGATCTGTATACTTTTTGTTTTTGATTCAAAATTTTATTTTAGAGATATTGAGTTTTTCGAAAAATGGAGGGTTTTCGCATGTCGCGCCGTATGTCAGAAACTATTTATGATTATTGCATAAAAATACACACCCAAGACGATGGGCGTATCATGCGCTCATGGCGCAGCTGTTTATTTCATATGAAAACATTCTTATAAATTGTCAGTTAATATTAATTAACATTTTGATTTTCACATTAATTTCCTGAATGTTCAAACTCGGTCTTGCTCCTTATTGAGGTCTTCCAATTCCCTCAGTGTTTGTTTGTTATCTTGATTTTTACCTTCTTAATCGATTTAGGAGTTTTAATAGTCGGTAAAGTACTTTTGCCTCACATCTGAAATGATAAGTTCCAGGATGTACCAATCATCAGACAAGATGTCATATCATATAGATATAAGAAGATGTGGTATGAATGCCAATGAGACAACTCTCCATCAAAGTCAAAATTTAAAAAGGTAAACCATTATAGGTCAAAGTACGGTTTTCAACACGGAGCCTTGGCTCACACCGAACAGTAAGCTATAAAAGGCCCCAAAAATTACTAGTGTAAAACCATTCAAACGGGAAAACCAACGGTCTAATCTATATATAAAAAAAGAGAAACGAGAAACACTTATGAACAACATCAACAAACGACAACTACTGAACATCAGATTCCTGACTTAGGACAGGTGCAAACAAATGCAGCGGGTTTAATGCATGTCATATTATTTTGCTCTCTGAAGTTTAATATTTATTTCTTAATGGAACTACAATAAATTGTTATAATTAACGTCATAAGTGACATGCTTTTGTCTGTTTGTAGTTGATGGAAATTGGTCTGGATGGAGCGAATGGGAGGAATGCAGCGTCAAATGTGGAGGTGGACTCAAGACTAGAAACAGGACCTGTTCAAATCCTGAACCCCAATTTGGAGGCAAATATTGCACAGGAAATGATACCCACATTTCTAATTGTGCAGACAATCCTTGTCCAAGTATGTATTGCAAGTATATCTACATGGAAAAGTACTATATTAAATACAGTGATATTTTTTTTTTGGTGAAGATTGAAAGTGATGTATAACAATTTATTTCTATGTGAATATGCAGTTGGCCAATAATGATATACTTTTTACTTAATCTAAAGTAAGGAGTATCTTGCAGTGAGGTTTATTACGAGGTTTATAGAGTGTTTTTTTTTATTATATATAAGCAATGATTATTAATATATTTGTAAAAAATAGTGATAATCTTAACATGCTTAAATAATATTTTTTTGTGTTTATACGGTAACACAGAAGAAAATTGTTGTTCAAATATTATATATACGCAATAATTACTAAGGAAAACAATTTTGATGACTTAGAAAACTTTAGAAAGTATTCTTTTCTTTACCATACTTTCTACTAAATTTATATACAAGGAAAATTGAATAGGTGTATGAAAGTCAAAATTTATATACATTAACGTCTATCAGCATGAACTTACTGTATTCATACAAAAATTATATTTTCACACACTAGTAGAATCTTCAAACGACAGCCGTAACATCAAATTATATTCAAATTAATAATAAATGAAGATGTTTCAGATCTTTAGTTCTGAAATGGTAAATTTATATATCCAGCGAATTATGTCTTTTTTTGAACTGTCCATTACTCTGTACATAACTGTTAAATGGAACCATATATTACAAATGTTACATGGGAAGGTCAGTATGTTTTAGTATCCATGCTGGCGAATTGTGTCATAATAGGTATAATGTGTCAATTTCAGTCAATGGGAATTGGACAGAGTGGTCATCCTGGAATGAATGCAGTGTTACTTGTGGAGGTGGAATGAAAGTCAGAGACAGACATTGTTCAAATCCTGTACCGCAATACGGTGGCGATCCGTGTTTCGGAAATACTACAAATATTGAATCATGTAATGAAGACCCGTGTCCAAGTAAGAAAACATTCCCAATACTGTATCTGATTGTGAAATTTTTTTATTTGTGTAATTGAAAGTACTACCTTACAGTAATGATCAATCATCTCGGCTACAAATTAAGGTAGCAACCACATATAAACTACCAAATAACATAATGAATAATGTTATCCGCAATCAACTAAGTAAGACTTGAACTACAGATAAATTTTTATTTATATCAAAATCATTTATAGACTGTTAGTTATTTTTTATCTCTTAACATTTTAATTTTCACATTACTTGAAAGTGCACACTCGGCCTTGCTCTTATTGAGGATTTGCCATCCTTAGTTTTTGTTTGTCATCTTGATTTATACCTTCTAAATCGATTGATGAGATCTAATAATCAGTAAAGTACTGGTTCCTCACATCGGACATCATGAGTTCAAGGAGGTACCAATCATCGGACACGATGTCATATCATCTCCTGAATGCATGATCATATTATTATTTTGCTTTGTGAAGTTTTATATTTATTTCTTAATGGAACTACATTAGTTGTTATATTTTACGTCATTAGTGTAATGCTGTTGTGTGTTTGTAGTTGATGGCATCTGGTCTGGATGGAGCGAATGGGAGGAATGTAGCGTCACATGTGGAGGTGGACTCAAGACTAGAAACAGGACCTGTTCAAATCCAGAACCCCAATTTGGAGGCAAATACTGCACAGGAAATGATACCAACATTTCTAATTGTGCAGACAATCTTTGTCCAAGTATGTATTTCGAAAGTATATCTACATGAAAAAGTATTGTATTTAATGCAGTGATAAAATTTTCCTTTGATGAAGATATGAAATGATGTATTACAATTTGTTTCTGCATGAATATGCAGTTGGCCAATAATGATATACTTTCTACTCAATCTAAAGTAAGCAGTATTTTTCCGTGATTTGTATTACGAAGTTAATAGAGTGTTTTTTTATTTATAAGCAATGATTATAAATATATTTGTAAAACAATAGTGACAGTCTTACATAATCTTTTTTTTTTGTGTTTATATTGTTAGACAGAAACATTTGTTGTTCAAATTTTATATAAATGCATTGATTACTGAAAAAATCCAATTTTGATGACTAACAAAATAGCAGAAAGTTTTTTTTTTCTTTTACCATACTTTCTACTAAATTCATATACAAGGGAAATTTCAATAGGCAAATGGAAGTCAAAATCTACGTACGTTATCGTCTATCTCAGCTAGAACTTACTGTATTCATACAAAAAGTATATCTTCAAACGACAACCCTAACATCAAATTATATTCAAATTAATAATAACAGAAGATGTTCCTGATCTTTAGTTCTGAAATGGTAAATTTATGTATCCAGCGAATTATGTCATTTTTAACTGTTCATTACTCTGTACGTTACTGTTAAAAGGGACCATATATTACAAATGTTACATGGGTAAGTCAGTATGTTTTAGTATCCATGCTGGTTGATTGTGTCATTATAGGTATAATGTGTCAATTTCAGTCAATGGGAATTGGACAGAGTGGTCATCCTGGAATGAGTGCAGCGTTACTTGTGGAGGTGGCAGGAAAGTCAGAGACAGACAATGTTCAAATCCTGTACCGCAATATGGTGGAGATCCGTGTTTCGGAAATACTACAAATATTGATTCATGTAATGAAGACCCGTGTCCAAGTAAGAAAACATTCCCAATACTGTACCTGATTGTTAAAATATTTTTTTTTGTTTAATGGAAAGTTCTACCTTACAGAAATGATCACTCATCTCGGCTACAAATTTAGGAAGCAACCACATATAAACTGCCAAATAACAAAATCAATAATATTATCTGCAATCAACTTAGTTAGACTTGAATTACCGATAGTGTTTTTATTTATATCAAAAACAATTTATAGACTGTCAGTTAATTCCTAATTCTTAACATTTTGATTTTCACATTCCCTTATAGTGCACACTCGGCCTTGCTACTTATTGAAGACTTGCAATTCCCTTAGTTTTTGTTTGTCATCTTGATTTATACCTTCTAAATCGATTTATGATATTTAATAATCGGTAAAGAACTGGTTCCTCACATCTGACATCATGAGTTCCAGGAGGTATCAATCATCAGACACGATGTCATATCATCTCTTTAATACATGATCATATTATTATTTTGCTTTGTGAAGTTTGATGTTTATTTCTTAATGGAACTACAATGAGATGTTATAGTTTACTTCATTAGTGTCATGCTCTTGTCTGTTTGTAGTTGATGGCAACTGGTCTGGATGGAGCGAATGGGAGGAATGTAGCGTCACATGTGGAGGTGGGCTCAAGACTAGAAACAGGACCTGTTCAAATCCAGAACCCCAATTTGGAGGCAAATATTGCACAGGAAATGATACTCACATTTCTAATTGTGCAGACAATCCTTGTCCAAGTATGTATTTCGCATGTATATCTACAAGGAAAAGTACTATTTTAAATGCAGTGATCAAATTTTCCTTTGGAGAAGATATAAAAGTATTGTATTACAAATTGTTTTTGTTTGAATATGCAGTTGGCAAATACTAGTCATGATTTTTAATCTAAAGTAAGTATTATTTTGTGGTGACTTTCTTATTACGAAGTTTTTAAAGTTCTGTTTTTATTTATAACCAATGATTATGAATATATTTGTAAAAAGAAAGTGACAATCTTAAATAATCTATTTCTTTGTGTTTATACGGTAAACCAGAAAACATTATTGTTCAAATCTTATATATACGCAATGATTATTAAGGAAAACAATTTTGAGGACTTAGAAAATAGTAGAAAGTTTTTTTTTTCTTTACCATACTTTCTCCTAAATCTATATACTAGGGATATTGCAATAGGTGTATGAAAGTCAAAATTTGTATACCTCATCGTCTTTCTCAGCATGACACTACTGTAATCATACAAAAAAAATATATATCCAACACTAGTAAAATCTTTAAACAACAATTCTATCATCAAATTATATTCAAATTAATAATAACAGAAAATGTTTTTGCTCTCCAGTTCTGAGATGGTAAATTTATATATTCACCGAATTATGTCATTTTGAAAACTGTTTATTACTCTGTACGTTACTGTTAAAAGGGACCATATACTACAAATGTTACATGTGTAGGTCAGGTCAGTATGTTTCAGTAGCCATGTTAGCGAATTGTGTCATATTAAGTATTATGTGTCAATTTCAGTCAATGGGAATTGGACAGAGTGGTCATCTTGGAATGAATGCAGTGTTACTTGTGGAGGTGGCAGGAAAGTCAGAGACAGACAATGTTCAAATCCCGTACCGCAATATGGTGGAGATCCGTGTTTCGGAAATACTACAAATATTGAATCATGTAATGAAGACCCGTGTCCAAGTAAGAAAACATTCCCAATACTGTACCTGATTGTTAAAATATTTTTTTTTGTTTAATGGAAAGTTCTACCTTACAGAAATGATCAATCATCTCGGCTACAAATTTAGGAAGCAACCACATATAAACTGCCAAATAACAAAATCAATAATATTATCTGCAATCAACTTAGTTAGACTTGAATTACCGATAGTGTTTTTATTTATATCAAAAACAATTTATAGACTGTCAGTTAATTCTTAATTTTTAACATTTTGATTTTCACATTCCCTTATAGTGCACACTCGGCCTTGCTACTTATTGAGGACTTGCAATTCCCTTAGTTTTTGTTTGTCATCTTGATTTATACCTTCTAAATCGATTTATGATATTTAATAATCGGTAAAGAACTGGTTCCTCACATCTGACATCATGAGTTCCAGGAGTATCAATCATCAGACACGATGTCATATCATCTCTTTATTACATGATCATATTATTATTTTGCTTTGTGAAGTTTGATGTTTATTTCTTAATGGAACTACAATGAGATGTTATGTTATAGTTTACTTCATTAGTGTCATGCTCTTGTCTGTTTGTAGTTGATGGCAACTGGTCTGGATGGAGCGAATGGGAGGAATGTAGCGTCACATGTGGAGGTGGGCTCAAGACTAGAAACAGGACCTGTTCAAATCCAGAACCCCAATTTGGAGGCAAATATTGCACAGGAAATGATACTCACATTTCTAATTGTGCAGACAATCCTTGTCCAAGTATGTATTTCGCATGTATATCTACAAAGAAAAGTACTATTTTAAATGCAGTGATCAAATTTTCCTTTGGAGAAGATATAAAAGTATTGTATTACAAATTGTTTTTGTTTGAATATGCAGTTGGCAAATACTAGTCATGATTTTTAATCTAAAGTAAGTACTATTTTGTGGTGACTTTCTTATTACAAAGTTTTTAAAGTTCTGTTTTTATTTATAACCAATGATTATGAATATATTTGTAAAAAGAACGTGACAATCTTAAATAATCTATGTCTTTGTGTTTATACGGTAAACCAGAAAACATTATTGTTCAAATCTTATATATACGCAATGATTATTAAGGAAAACAATTTTGAGGACTTAGAAAATAGTAGAAAGTTTTTTTTTCTTTACCATACTTTCTCCTAAATCTATATACTAGGGATATTGCAATAGGTGTATGAAAGTCAAAATTTGTATACCTCATCGTCTTTCTCAGCATGACACTACTGTAATCATACAAAAAAATATATATCCAACACTAGTAAAATCTTAAAACAACAAATCTATCATCAAATTATATTCAAATTAATAATAACAGAAAATGTTTTTGCTCTCCAGTTCTGAGATGGTAAATTTATATATTCACCGAATTATGTCATTTTGAAAACTGTTTATTACTCTGTACGTTACTGTTAAAAGGGACCATATACTACAAATGTTACATGTGTAGGTCAGGTCAGTATGTTTCAGTAGCCATGTTAGCGAACTGTGTCATATTAAGTATTATGTGTCAATTTCAGTCAATGGGAATTGGACAGAGTGGTCATCTTGGAATGAATGCAGTGTTACTTGTGGAGGTGGCAGGAAAGTCAGAGACAGACAATGTTCAAATCCCGTACCGCAATATGGTGGAGATCCGTGTTTCGGAAATACTACAAATATTGAATCATGTAATGAAGACCCGTGTCCAAGTAAGAAAACATTCCCAATACTGTACCTGATTGTTAAAATATTTTTTTTTGTTTAATGGAAAGTTCTACCCTACAGAAATGATCAATCATCTCGGCTACAAATTTAGGAAGCAACCACATATAAACTGCCAAATAACAAAATCAATAATATTATCTGCAATCAACTTAGTTAGACTTGAATTACCGATAGTGTTTTTATTTATATCAAAAACAATTTATAGACTGTCAGTTTATTCTTAATTTTTAACATTTTGATTTTCACATTCCCTTATAGTGCACACTCGGCCTTGCTACTTATTGAGGACTTGCAATTCCCTTAGTTTTTGTTTGTCATCTTGATTTATACCTTCTAAATCGATTTATGATATTTAATAATCGGTAAAGAACTGGTTCCTCACATCTGACATCATGAGTTCCAGGAGGTATCAATCATCAGACACGATGTCATATCATCTCTTTAATACATGATCATATTATTATTTTGCTTTGTGAAGTTTGATGTTTATTTCTTAATGGAACTACAATGAGATGTTATAGTTTACTTCATTAGTGTCATGCTCTTGTCTGTTTGTAGTTGATGGCAACTGGTCTGGATGGAGCGAATGGGAGGAATGTAGCGTCACATGTGGAGGTGGGCTCAAGACTAGAAACAGGACCTGTTCAAATCCAGAACCCCAATTTGGAGGCAAATATTGCACAGGAAATGATACTCACATTTCTAATTGTGCAGACAATCCTTGTCCAAGTATGTATTTCGCATGTATATCTACAAGGAAAAGTACTATTTTAAATGCAGTGATCAAATTTTCCTTTGGAGAAGATATTAAAGTATTGTATTACAAATTGTTTTTGTTTGAATATGCAGTTGGCAAATACTAGTCATGATTTTTAATCTAAAGTAAGTATTATTTTGTGGTGACTTTCTTATTACGAAGTTTTTAAAGTTCTGTTTTTATTTATAACCAATGATTATGAATATATTTGTAAAAAGAAAGTGACAATCTTAAATAATCTATTTCTTTGTGTTTATACGGTAAACCAGAAAACATTATTGTTCAAATCTTATATATACGCAATGATTATTAAGGAAAACAATTTTGAGGACTTAGAAAATAGTAGAAAGTTTTTTTTTTCTTTACCATACTTTCTCCTAAATCTATATACTAGGGATATTGCAATAGGTGTATGAAAGTCAAAATTTGTATACCTCATCGTCTTTCTCAGCATGACACTACTGTAATCATACAAAAAAAATATATATCCAACACTAGTAAAATCTTTAAACAACAATTCTATCATCAAATTATATTCAAATTAATAATAACAGAAAATGTTTTTGCCCTCCAGTTCTGAGATGGTAAATTTATATATTCACCGAATTATGTCATTTTGAAAACTGTTTATTACTCTGTACGTTACTGTTAAAAGGGACCATATACTACAAATGTTACATGTGTAGGTCAGGTCAGTATGTTTCAGTAGCCATGTTAGCGAATTGTGTCATATTAAGTATTATGTGTCAATTTCAGTCAATGGGAATTGGACAGAGTGGTCATCTTGGAATGAATGCAGTGTTACTTGTGGAGGTGGCATGAAAGTCAGAGACAGAAAATGTTCAAATCCTGTACCGCAATATGGTGGAGATCCATGTTTCGGAAATATTACAAATATTGAAACATGTAACGAAGACCCGTGCCCAAGTAAGAAAACAATCCCAATACTGTACCTGGTCGTGACATTTATTTTGTCTAATGAAATGTTTTACACTACAGTAATATCAATCATTTCGTTGACAAACTTAGTCAGCAACAAACATATAAACTACTAAACAACAAACTCAATAGTTTTATCTGCTTACAACTTAATTGGACTTGAATTACCGATATTTTTTATTTATATCAGGAAATCCCTATAAACTATCAATTTATTATCATCTCTTAACATTGTATTTTCACATTTCCTTAATGTTCACACTCGGTCTTTCTTCTTATTGAGGACTTGCAAATCCCTTAGTTTTTTGTTTGTCATCTTGATTTTTATCTTTTCAATTGATATATAAGATTTAATTATAAATTTACAATACTGTTGCCTCACATTTGACATTATAAGTTCCAGGATGTACCAATCATCAGACACGATGTCGTATCATTTCTTTAATACATGATCATATTATTATTTTTTCTTTCTGAAGTTTGATATTTATTTCTTAATGGAACCACAACAAGTTGTTATAGTTAACGTCATTAGTGTTTTGCTCTTGTCTGTTTGTAGTTGATGGCAACTGGTCTGGATGGAGCGAATGGGAGGAATGTAGCGTCACATGTGGAGGTGGACTCAAGACTAGAAACAGGACCTGTTCAAATCCTGAACCCCAATTTGGAGGCAAATATTGCACAGGAAATGATACCCACATTTCTAAATGTGCAGACAATCCTTGTCCAAGTATGTATTTCGCAAGTATATCTACGTGGGAAAGTACTAGAAAATAAGCAGCTGGTCGTTCAATGAATTCTTTATAAAATAAGGAGATGTGGTATGATTGCCAATGAGACAACTATCCACCAAAGTTCAAATGAATTATCTATATAATTTCTAAGACAAATGTGAAAGGAAATTTTAACTACTATGAAATAGAATCATATCATTCCTTTTATCTTTTTAACTAATATTTTATAAGAAGTGTAAGCTGTAAAGTATATTAACTGAAAGTCTTATGCAAATTTTATTTGTTTTACATATACGTTAAACATTGAAACGGACGTGTGAATGTACCCCTTAAATACAAAAGGTCTGGAAGATGCCTATCCGAAATTCGTTTTGTATTTTAGCTTCAATTCTGATTTTGTATAATCATCGAAATATAGATTATTTTTTTACCTACTGCATTGCCATATAGGACGTTATAAAATTATATTAACATAAAAACTGCAATGATAGGTAGTATTCATTTTATCCATCTTCGAGCATGTTTTCATTTTATTAAGTTCGTCACCATTTAATTCATTAAGGTCATGTTACAGTAAATGGGCTATTTTGTTGTGGGGATGTATAAGTACCCTGCCACGTCCACTCTGTGTTTTTGTTAGATGTATTTCTATTTGTATCCATCTGATGAGTTAAGCATTTTTCAACTGATTTTTAAAGTTTATTCTTATGTTGAACTGTTACTCCACTGTCTCATGTTAGGGGAGGATTGGGCGCATTGCTGACATGTTTAACCCCGCCATATTATGTTTGTGCCTGTCCCAGGTCAGGGAGCCTGTAGTTTGGTGGTCGTCGTTTGTTTCTGTGTATCATATTTGTTTTGCGTCCATTATTTCGTACATAAATTAGGCCGTTAGTTTTCTCGTTTGAATTGTTTTACATTTATCATTTCGGGGCCTTTTATACCTGACTATGCTGTATGGGTTTTGCTCATTGTTGAAGGCCGTACGGTGACCAATAGTTGTTAATTTCTGTGTCATTTAGTCTCTTGTGGAGTGTTGTCTCATTGGCAATCATACCACATCTTCTTATATTTATATGTCACAGATTTTCTAAAAATTTTGCATACAACTTTGACTGGTTAAATTTTAACTGAAAACTAAAAAAAAAATCATTCCTCTCTTTTTTTGGAAATATTACTGATTAGTTTCTTTCAAAATGTGTAAATATTTGTCTCTGAAGCACACAAAATCGGCGAAAACTTTCTTAAATGTGTCTTTAAATCATCAAATTTCAAATTTTAAATCATAGATTTTTCTTTAAAACTATATATTGTTGGTACAAAAATTTACGTTTTGATGATTTAAAATAATAATAGGGTCATCGACTTCGCTTTAACGGTATACATCTTTCAAAGTTGTGTTCTAGGTAAAAAGAAAATACCACAAAACATCGAAATAATCGTACCATCATCGCGTTGTAGGCCGTAAAACGTCGATTTTTTACTTTTTTTACTACCAACAAGGTAACAGATTGGTCAATACACCAAAAACGAAGTCGGTAACCATATGACTATTTTATATCATTAAAACGGAAATTTATGTATCAACAACATATAGCTTTATAAGAAAAATCTATGTATTTGAAATAAGAGATTTGATAGTTTTTAGACAAATATATGAAAGTTTTTCGCCGATTTTATATGCTTTCTATACAAATCTTCACATATTTTGAAAGAATTCAATTAATAATATTTCAGAAAATAAAAGAGATAAAGGCATTATTTTTTCGATTTCCAGTTATAATCCATGTAGCTAAATGTGTATGCAAATTTTTTCCAAAATCCGTGACATAGCCCATTTACTGTTCAATGATCTTGAATGTTAATTTCAGTTGATGGGCATTGGACTGAGTGGTCATCCTGGAATGAATGTAGTATTACTTGTGGAGGTGGATTGAAAGACAGAGAAAGAACATGTTCAAATCCTTTACCACGGTATGGTGGAAATCCATGTGTTGGAAATGCAACGACTTCGGAAACATGTAATGAAGACCTTTGCCCAAGTAAGAATAAATCTAAAACCCGTTTCTAATCGTGTTAATGATTATCTGAAAATTATCGGATGGTAATTCATGTTTCCAGCCCACATATAAAAACTGTTATCAATATAATACTTTTTCACATGATAACGATGTTTTACTTGAATACATTAAATTTTTCATTTAGTCTATCCATATTTAGTAATATATAGAAATAAGGAGATGTGATATGATTGCCAATGAGACAACTATCCACAAAAGCTCAAATGAAGTATAGTTCTTCATCATCCAGATTAACTTGCTTTCATTTAACTTTCTTAAGGTTCACTTCAGATGTCAAAATGGCCTTTTTTTAAATTTTATTGAAAGATTTTGATTTCAATGTCTATGTCTGGGAATATATTATACATGTAATTGAAATAAGTTCAGTCCTTTTCTTGAAATAAATTGTAAGCATTAATTTGCTGATTTTGGATGGGAAGCTAGATTTCTGCCTCACAACGGCAAATCTTTGTCTTTTTAGACTTTAATCAAAGAATTTTATCACATATCTACTTACCTTTTGATTATGCCTTTGAATTCCCACATTTTTGTTTTCATTTTTCAGTCAATGGCCAGTGGTCACAATGGACCGATTTTACAAGCTGTAGCCAGACTTGTGGTGGAGGATTGCAAAGTAGAAATAGATCATGCACTGATCCCGAACCACAATATGGCGGAGATTATTGTGTTGGAGTGGAAAACGAAACAAACAGTTGCAATAACCAGCCATGTCCCAGTATGTATTTTAAATCTAAATATACACTGATCTAAATCCAAAGTGTTTTCTAATTAGTGGTTGTTACAGCATCCTTCAATCCGGGATCCGTCTCAATTCTTCATATACAATAAAAGGTTAAATGTATGCTGCGTCAAAATACAATGTACTGTTAACAACGGGTTTTACACTCATGATAATAGATATGGCTCTTAAAATTTAAAACAATATAGAAGTGTAGATTGCGCATCATAATGTTAGGTTCTAAAAGTTCCAAGTCAGCAAAAAACTTTGCACAGTAGTTTTATAAACCATAAACTTCAACCAGCCTATCACTTAAAACTATAACTATTAGTTAATTATAAGGTGATTTTATTATTATAATAAACATTGATATTCTTCTACTACATGCTCAAAGATTCAAGATTTATCTATTATAAACAAACACGTTGTACAACACCCCCTACTGTTACTAGGACCTCGTCGACCTTTTAAAATACCTTTATGGTTTTCAGGAGTGCTATGTATATTAAGAGACGCTTCGTATTGATTGAAAATAATTTGTATTGATGTTCCTCACATCTAGTGTCGGAATCTAGCATGTAGTTCATGATCTCGAATTTAGTTTGGCAATAAGTTTCAGTTGACAAATTTGTTCCATAAAGACGCATTTTTTTACTCTTCGTGCCAAAAAAAAAGACATGTAACAAAAATAAATCTCGCGGTTTCGCGAAATAAACTTAATCAGTAGCTCTAGTCAGCGCATTTATATAACTTAATTCGCATAAAAAATATATATAGTCGAGTGATGTGTAGCATATTGCTTAAATTTGTTGATTGTAGTCTTTCAAAATAAGTGGTAAATTCATTATATTTTTAGTAAATGGTAATTGGACGGAATGGAGTAACTGGAGTGCTTGTCCAGTGTCATGTGGAGGGGATAAACACACAAGGATGCGATCATGCACAAACCCAAAGCCTCAGTTTGGTGGTGATTTTTGTGATGGCAACAATAGTGAATCACAGTCTTGTAATTTCCACCATTGTCCAAGTGAGTCTTACTTCGTTTGAAATATTGATTTGGATCGGGACATTTTAACTATTTTGTTTTCTTGATATTGTTCTTTCCCTTGCATAATATTTTGACCGAAAGATTTCGAAAATTAACTCTCCTCCTTTAAACAACCAAAACCTTGTACAAACGTTGAAGAGCTGATAAAACCAAAAAAAAACAACAGTAAAGCCAAATCTGGACAAGAAATGAGAGCTATGCGCAAGGAAGATCCGTCCTTAATTCAAAATAATTTCGAAAATTTAGGTAATAAAATGCAGGTAATAATCACAAAAAAAAACACATTGCCGTTGAAAATTATTTATTTACTTGCCTATATTCTGGAGTCAACAATCATTTCAAATGCAAAACCTACACAAAGACAATGGATTTTCACGAAAATATTAATTGTCATCTTTTCAATACGTCATAACTTCATTTATTGTAACAAAATGGTTCTTCAACTATCTACGTTTAGTTTGGTATCATATCAACTTTACAATGTACATTACTAGGCTTAAGAAGAAGTTCATTAATCGCAATATTTGTTTACTTTTATATACGTTTAGCTTCTTGTGTAAAGAAACTCCAATCAAAAACGCTAGTTGTTAAAATCAAACGATTTCTGAAACGACCGTAGAGTATAACCTAAATAAAATATTGAATTTTGTGAGATGAAATTACCAATTTCTTGTAAAACAAATTGATAGCATATAAACAAGTCAATTGTCATAAATGCTCACGAATTTTACGATTATTTTTTATTCAGTTCATGGACAATGGTCATCATGGAGTGAATTGTCAGATTGCGACCGGTCTTGTGGGGGAGGTATGCAAAACAAAAATAGATCATGCTCTAATCCAAAACCAGAATATGGTGGAAATCAATGCCTTGGGAAAGATAATGAGTCCATTGAATGCAACAAGCATTCATGTCCAGGTAATTTAAAATGGTTTTAAAAGGAACATACATGTAGCTCCAAAACATTTTCTAATGATATGATCAAGAGGCATCAAAGATACCATTTGCATACTTAACGACTACACACGCCTGTTTCGTCTGCCTAAAATTCACCAGTGGTGATTGTATTGAACCAAATAAGATAGAAGCCACAATCTATTACGATCTATTCGGAATTGTTTACTGAACAAGCAAATGTACTGCTGATAATGGTTATGTTTTTCAAGCATACAATTTGTCGAATGTTCAGGAATAATTCAAACATCTGTCTATGTCAGTCAATATGAAATTTGGATAAACCTCTGATAAAATTAAAGTGACACCAATTGTAATTTCCTCTTTTCAGTAATACTGTATAAGTTTTGACAGTTAGTTTGTCGCAATCGTTTTACATTTACCGGAAGATACTACCTTTTCAGTGAATGGTAATTGGACAACATGGAGTGGTTGGGCAGAATGTCCTGTTTCTTGTGGAGGGAGTCGACACACAAGAACGCGTTCATGCACAAAACCAAAGCCACAGTATGGTGGGGATGAGTGTGAAGGAAATAAGACTGAAACACAGATTTGTAATACTCAACATTGTCCTAGTTAGTTTAATATACTCATTAGTTACTTGTTTATTTCTTTATTAACGTAATTGTAAATGGTTGTCAGCTTCCAGTGTAATCATACGCTTCGTACGGTATGCAACACCATTTACATAATACATTTTCATAGAGAGTTTAAGGTACACAATATCCGAGCAGATCATCCTGAAATGCTGAATATGTCATAAAATATATTAACAAGAACGTCAGTTTGCTAACTAGAGCAATTGTATAGCTGAAAAGGTTACAAGTGGGAGATTTACTTCCTGTCAATTAACCAGTCTTTCCTTGCCAAACACATACGAATAAAAGAAGATGTGGGTATATGTCAATTAGACAACAAAAACACAGACAAGAATTTCAGAGATGATATTTGAATAAATAAATCAAATTACTAAAAAGATATTACCGACACCTAATATTCTAAAAGGCAAAGTAAACTATGATGTTACAGTACAATCACTGGTGAGAAATACTATGTGGGTTTGATATAGAGTTTGTCAATCACTTCCATACATTAGCTCTATATAAACCCAACTTTTAAACAAATATTCGTTTTGCTCAAAAATAAAGAAAAGAGAAAATGATCAATAAATAGAGAACAGACAATAATACAAAGCTAAAGTATAAATAATATAGAATAATGATAAAACAAATTAAGTAAAGAGAAAAATGGCATGAAACATTAACGAATTCAGAGATGAAGACCTCTAAGCTAGATCCACACATTGCACTACATTTTGATTTCCAAAAAAAGCAACCATTTCCTTAAAAGAAAAAAATATGTTACATGTATACTGTATTATAAAGTCTCTGACCTTTATGGTAAGACCTTTACGTATTGAGTTGTTTCTTTCATTATTTTGTTTTACTTTCAGTTGATGGACAGTGGTCAAACTGGAGTGATTTTACATCATGCAGTGAGACCTGTGGCGGAGGGGATCATAGTAGAAACAGATCCTGTACGGCACCAGCACCAAAATATGGTGGACAACATTGTCCTGGAGAAGAAAATCAAACTAAAAATTGCAATACTCACCCATGTCCTAGTAAGTAATGCAGTCTGGTGAAATTGAGTCGATGCCTTATCATTTTTCTCAAAAATATATGTTCCTGCAATCAAATATGGTATAAAACGTAATAGTGAATAAACGTCATATGATAAATTTTGGGGTTACGCATCTGCACAAAATATATGCATACATATTACTAATAGAGAGGTTAAGAAACACGGTGATACTCACTAGTGGAGCAGGAACTGCTGGTTCTTACGGAGCCCAAGAGTTCATTGGTAGATTTTGTTATTTGTGTGTTCGTGTTTTTCACTACTTAGCTTTCTGTGTTGTGTTTTGTGGAGATTTGTTTGTCTGTTCGTATCTCTGTCGTTTTTGTTTTGGCCTTTATGTTCTCTGGTTTCATGGAATTTATGATGGTTTTTGATAGCCTCTTGGTAATTTCTTCATCTTATGAAATAACTACATTCTATCAGTTTTACCTAGTTTTTACAGCATATTTATATCTTAACTTATATCAGTTTATTTATCGAAACTATAAATGTTTGGTGAATTCTACAGTTGTTATACCACTAAATGGTACCTATTGTACTGCATCAGATTCACATTTAGACAAAATGCATATTTTAATTTAAGGCAATAGCAGACATTTGTACTTTATTCACATGTATGTTTTTAATTATTATTCATGCAGTCCATTAAAATACATTCTGATTAATGTTGAGCCAAAATGACTTTGGTGTTAACTTAAAGTGTCAATCTTTGTCGCGTGTATTTAAACAAAAACAAATAGTCATGACATCATTCTTTGACTAAAGACAATCATTTTAGTTCTTGATATATATTGATTCTGTGTTTCATTATTTCAGTTAATGGTAACTGGACTTCTTGGAGTGAATGGTCAGTGTGTCCAGTTTCATGTGGAGGTGGTCGTCACTCACGAAGCAGATCATGCACTAATCCTGCACCGATGTATGGTGGTTCGACATGTAAAGGAAACACAACAGATAATCAACTTTGTAATCCACAACACTGTCCAAGTGAGTTTGAAAGAATTATAAAAGAGAGGCGAAAGATACCGAAGGGACATTCAAACTCATAAGTCGAAAATAAACTGACCACGCAATGGCTAAAAAGGAAAAGACAATCAGACAAACAACAGTACACAAAACACAACATAGAAAACTAAAGACTGAGCAAAACGAATTATCATTCATACTTCCCCAATTACAATATGGATGTAAATACAAATATGGTAGCACATGCGAGGAATTTATGGTAATGCAAATGATGATTAAACAAGAAAATAAACTGAATACTAGCATAAATAACATCCTGTGACTTTATCTGTTTATCTACATCTATTTCATATTATAATTAGTTGATGGAGAATGGACTTCATGGACTGCATGGTCAGTATGTTCGGTGACTTGCGGAGGAGGAAAATCAGCAAGAACTAGAAGTTGTTCAGATCCAGCGCCGCAGTATAATGGAAGCAATTGTTCTGGACAAGATAAAGAAAACAGGGTTTGCAACACAATCAATTGTCCAGGTTAGGCTGAAAAAATTACTTGTGTACTGTTTTCTTAATTTAAATACAAGTAAGGGTATATAAATGTTACGAAATATTATTCCTTCAAAGTGTTGAGTAAAGTTTATATTAGTTCTTATGCAACCATAATCAGTGAAATATGAAAAAATAATATATTAGAAATAGTATTAGATTCATAACAATTGCCGATTGATGACTTTTATGTATAAATATGTTACTTCAGAAATTATTGCACGATTTTCAGTTTAATGACTGATCTACAGACTACAATACAGTAATGTAATAGAAGACTTGCTGTCGACCTTTGGTGATTTGAAAGACAATATAACTATACTTATAATTTTGTATAAAAAAAGATATGTGGTATATAAACTCATCATAGATACCAGGACTGAAACTCTGTATTTGCGCCAGACGTGCGTTTCGTCAACAAAAGACTCATCAGTGACGCTCGAATCAAAAGATGTGTCAATAAGACAGCAAACAACAACACAACAAAAAGACATATACAGGTCAGCATAAGATCAAATAAAAGAGTAAACACTGTTTCATATACATGTTCCAGACATTCAAGAAAATAAGCAATTGCTTACACATATTTCCAAAAAAAGACAAAAACATTACGATATGACATAAGACAACAACTGACGAGGCTCATGACTTTGTACAGTCATATGGACATGTTGTCAATTAACTGCTGTTTTAGATTTCAACCTCTCTCTTTTAACCCCGATCAATGTACCATCAAAAGGTACATAAAGAGAAATGCAATATAATACGTTGTAAATACATTTTACAGAGATGACCATAGAAGGCCGTACGGTTGCCTTTCATAACTTACATCGACTTCATTGGATAGTCATACCACATCTCCTTAATTCTCAATTCGATCTATAATCAACACAAAAACAAATGACAAAAACGACAAAAACATGACGAAAAGACAACAGATCTCTTCTTAACCTTGACAGGTGCATGACCATTTGGTGCTATTATTTATAAACTAGTTTTTAAGATCTCAACCCTCCTCCATATAATCACGATTAATGGACCGACATAAGGTACATACAAAATAAATGCAATAAAAACCAGTATAGGAAAAGGAAAAACACGGAACACTATGATAATGGTTTACTTGATACCTATAACTACAACTAAAAAATTCAAATATTTTGACCTGGAGCATCACTGAGGAAACATAATTGTCAGAATGCGCATTTGGGGCTGTAAAATTGGTATCTTAATGTAAAAAACAAACCAATTATAAACATCACCGTTCCAAAAACATGATTGTAATTACTTAAAGCAATTTCATAGTTTTTAACCTGTTGAAAAAACGTGTCTGCTTTGAGATTTGATTCGATCACATTATAATGATTCAAAATGCTGAATTTAAAATATTCCATATTGAAACTCTCAATTTTGATGTATCAACGAAGGATTGAACGGCAAACGGAAAACATAAACCATTGTAAAGGTTTCATAAATCAATTGCATTTAAAATTGAGGTATATATTATAAATATATTGTTTAATGATGATATCCGAATGTTAATGATGATATCCGAATGTTAATGATGATCTCTAATTACCGCTCTATTCATCTTCGCAATTATTAGGAAACAGATTTTGTTAACTCTATTTGGTGAAATGTTTTTGATGATTTCTAATAGTTAAATATAATCAAACTCTATTCATTTGAGTTTAATGTTTATATAGTTGATGGAGAGTGGTCGGAATGGATGCCATGGTCCACTTGTACTGTTAGTTGTGGGGGTGGTGGATTTCAGCAACGAAAACGAGATTGTACTAATCCATCTGCAAAATATGGTGGAAAAGATTGTAATGGAAATGATGCTGAGATCCAGGATTGTGGAGATTTAGGTTGTCCAGGTAGGTAAAAAAAAGCATGTTTAAAAATCAACATTTTCATTATTGATAATATTGAATCAACATGAGAGATTGGTCAAAAGAGAAAAAGTACTCAAAATCAGAAGGGTAGTAATCGTTTCTCTTCCAATATTTTCCAGGAGCTTTTGATTTTAATCTTTTGAATTTTGCTTTTTCAAATTTTAAGTTTCTGGAACATCTACTAATTTCAATAACCTAGTGTGATATCTAAACACAAACATTTGCATTGTTAGACAATCGGGTCACCTAGAAATATTAAAAGACAAGTGAATTTTACAGGAAACGGTTTCGATCGCATGTGTACAATTAACATTTTCATATTCAACCAGAGCAAATGAACTCTTTGTTATATTTTTGAAATGATATTTGCAGGGTTGATATTTACGCCAACTGAAGAATTTGAAGGGGCTTCTGCTGTTCTTGCAAAATGCCGTATTGAAAATTTCACATCATGGCAGGAGCTAGAAATTGCAAAAAATTCGAGAGAAATGGTTATTTTGCAATCAAAGGGAATTGAAACTTCCAACCTTGGGAGCGCTGTGGCTGTTTCAAATGATATTAAAGACATGTATGCGGAGATCCAGCTTTCTTTCAATAAACTTAGCTGCAAGGATGAAGGAACGTATGTTTGTTCTGTGGACAGAGGATATCATAGGTCTGCTGATTTAATTGTTAAAAGTATGTATTCTATACGAAACCCTGTAAATAATTATTGATTGATAGTTTGACCTTTCAAACAGAAAGAAAAAGATGAAATTATGTATTTGACAAAATCTTTCGGAATTTTTAGTCCTCAATGCTCTTCACCTTGGTACTTTATTTGGCGTTCTTTAACTCTTTTATTCGAGTGTCATTTATGAGTCTTTTGTAGACTAAAAGCGTGTCTGTTGTACAAAATTTTTAAGCTTGGTACAATTTATCTATGGTTCGTTTATTTACTATTTTATTTTGTCAAAACAGTTACAGGAAATCTACTGGTGGCGGTATTTCAGTAATGTTATACATGCATGCATATTGTTTATAATCCTATTTTTGACTTTTGATATAGTTTCATTGCAAAATGACAAAAAATCAATATGCGTTTAACATGTATGCTTCACTGTGAGTTTGTGACGAGGAACAACAATACAAGCGATTTTCCTTTGCTTTTTGTGAGGTTTTTGCTGTGCATGTACTGATTTTGTGTCATGGATAAATATCAAATATCCTTTGTATTTCTGTTATGTTATGTTCTGCTTAATAACGTATATTGATGTAACTCCTCTACAGGAAAATAGTTTAGAATACATTATGTATTGCAAAACAATCGTACAATATTGTCTTGGCACAGCCAAAATATGCAAGACCAGCAATAGCGTGCATTCCCAAAGAAGACATTCCAATCATGACTAAAAAATTGTTACAGCATGATTTTCAGAAACACCCAACAACGTCGAAATTACCAGCGTCTGAGCATTCATATAACACGAGAAACACAGGGAAATTACTATATTGGTGGTACCCTCGAAATATTATATTTTTACGTATATATTTACATTTTCTATCACAAAGTTTTTTTCATATTCGTTTCTTTTCTTATACATTGTCCTCACACACGTTGTTTTATGAACTCTGTTTCAATTGACCTGACTTTGCCAATATATATATATATGCCGATACTGGTGATATCTATCAACATAATCTTGAAACTGTCGGAAACAATTTAACCAATGCATTTTATGTTAATTTTTTGAATGAAAATTCTAAAAGGATCAATTTCATGTTTTAAAACTATTAATATTAATAAATATATACATACATATATTCTAGCTCCTCCTGTCGGCAAACCGGTGTTTGATATAAATACTGAAATCTTTGGTGAGAGAAGTGAGCAGTTTTCCTGTACAGGAAATCCAGGCTATCCTAAAGGTCATCTTGAATTTTGGGTAAAATTCAGAAATGAGACAGAGTATCAGGAATATAGGTTTCATAGTGCAGTTAGAACGGTAACAGATAAAAATTGCCGCCGACAAGAAACTGTTCAGGTAGATTACTTCTTTCCCATGCGGTGGAACGGTGCTAAAATCCGTTGTAAAGCCCCGGATTCTGAAGAATATACAGAACGAGAAATCTGGCTGATATCAGGTACAAACGTTTTATAAGATATAGAATACATTATTTCATTATAAAAAAAAGAACAATTAAATATGTATGAATGCTTTTAGTTCCTTCAACTAACATATTAAAATTAGAATTTGAATTGTAAATAAAACACTGATTTTGTAAATGAATAATTGGAAAATAACTATGTCTGTGATATTGACAAGTTTCTTTCTAAACAGAAATAGAATTTAACTGTGCCAGGTGGTCAAGATTGAACTGTCGTCTGCATATTGAAATTGTTGTAAAAAAATATAATAATATAGGAGGCATTCAATCAGAAGTCAGTTAATATGCAGAAAAATATGGTGGGTGATATCCTTATGCTTATAAAAATGCCTTTAATTCGGAAGGCGAAAGCTCCATTACTCTTGAAAAAACAAATCAAACTTCAACATTAAAAGGATGCTTACTTTTACCAATCTCAACCATATGTAAAGTTTGAAGTAAACTGATTTGAGCATTCTTGAATTAGTGCGTGACTTTCACGAATCGCAATAATACTGTAAAATTTGAAAATTTATTTATCTGAGCATACTTGAGTAAAAGTGTAACATGTGAAAAATTGACTTTTATCTGAAAGTTAATGTCCCATAACTCTAGACCGACAAACCAACAAATATTCAAAATGAAAAAAGGAGCTTACTATTACAAATTCCAACCATTCCTTTCGTTTCAAGTAAATCAATCTAAACATATAAGAAAAGTGTTCTTTTTTCCTGAATAACTTTAAAATGACAAAAGTGAAAATAATAAAAATAGAAAGCGAAATTATTTTGATAAATTTTACCCTTGGAGGTAAAATTTTAGGAAAAAGTATCACAGCAAATAAACAGCGTATGAATTAGAGAGACAACATAACGTTTCCAATTAATAAAATCACGTAAATCTAGAATGACAGAATACAAGATCGGTGAAATCGAAAGGAAGCTTTCTTCCATCAATCGTAAAGTTGTGTTACAATATCATCAAAACTTGTTAAAGCATATTTGAATTATCGTAGAAAACAAGTGTTGACATGCGGATGGATTGACGAAGGTATACCTTAATACGCCAGGCTAAGACGGCTGTATAAAAATAAACAAAAAAAAACATGAAATTGCATGGACTGGACAAATATCGGGTGGATATTTATGATTTATCTCCACCCTCCTCGTTTTGAAATAAACCATATGATATGATATGAAATACCACCATCGATGATGCCAGCAACAAATAGTCAAGGAACCTTACATATACGATTCAATAAATGCAAGAACATAAACTGATTCAATTGAATACATTTCACATAAGGAATGTGAATGTGACCTTTTTGCAATAATTGAAAGAAATCAAAATATATTATTTCAGAATATTACTGTGAATCCGTTCCATTGTTTTCGACGGTTCGCCATCCCTACACGTGTAAAAAGTACATGAGATGTTTAGAAGACAAGGTTGATGTGATGGAATGTCCAGAAGGACTATGTTATAACGAGGAATCACAACTGTGTGTTTACCAGTGAGAGGTTGGTACGTAATAATAATTTTGGAAGGTAACAGGTAAATAAAACTGGAGGAATACAAAAATTTAAAGAAAACAGACATCACTCTATTTCATTGGTATAATTGTGATCAACATGGCCCTCAAAAGTTCAATATTTCAGATAAAGAACACAATATAGTTCAAAGAACGCACTGTTTAAGGATAGCTGTTTTTCTTTACCAATTGGGTACATGTATTGATGGTTGGTGTGTTCCGTTGTGTTGTGCGGTGTTTTTGTGGAAACGACTTGTTAATCTTTATCAGAATATCGGATCCTGATGGCTGATGGAGTATTCCACTCACGAATAAACACTCAGTGTTTATCATTATGCATGTTTATCCTTTGATAATAAAAACTTCTTTTTTATGTATCTGTCATATACTATATTATTGATTTATATGCCCAAATTCTGTCCAATTTGTTGATATTCATAAGCAGATTTATATCACCCAGTCTCGCTTACCTTTGTTTTATTTTTGTTTGTTTGTTTGTTTATAGTTGCAAAACCACTTTAAGCACTATTGGCTTTTCGTGGCTGCGAAATTTTATTGATGGAGGAAGCCGGAGAGAACCACCGAGCTTCGGCAGGCGAACTGGCAATCATAGATAATTAAGAGTGCTGCTACGTGTAGGGTTCGAACTAAGAATCTCACTGTTGATACGATCTCCTTAGGAGTTCATGCGACTCCTCAGGTTTTGAGTTTTACCTTGATTTGTATGTTAAGAAAAAAGTTAGAGAAAATAAAAACGAACTCCAGGGAAAATTCAAAACGGAAAGTCCCTTATCAAATAACAAAATCAAAAACCAAACACATCAAACGATTTGAAAACAACTGTCATATTCCTGACTTGGTACAGGCATTTCCTCATGTAGAAAATGGTGGATTAAACCTGGTTTAATAGGTAAAAATGTCAAAAATAGGGGTACAGCAGTCAACATTGTGTTATAATCTTAATCAATATAAAAACAAACAACTTTATCAACAACGAAAAACATATAGATGTACTCTATAGACCAAGCTCATAAGCAAAAATGAAAGACAAGAAAACAAAAATGACCATAGCAAAATGGCGGGATTTTAAAATACCGAACCACGCCAAAAGGATATTACCAAAAGGTTTAAAATATACAAAAACAAATAAAAAGAACACCACTTTAAAACATAATTAAGACGATAAACAACGTCAGAACCTAGAATCTACACTTCAAGACAATCATGTAAGAATTGATTTATGAAATTTGAACATCAGTATACTACTCGTTCCTAGTATTCAAATATTGAAAATGCGTGGTTTTCATTTTTGTCGTTTTTACGAGTTAACAATGGTTTTGCTTTCTAAACACACAAAGCGGCATAACTCGTGAACTCAAAACCATTGGGTGAATGGCTTTATATTCCTTCCACCCATTTGTTTTCACATTGTGATATATTTTGTTGTCAATCAAACATATTTGAATATGTTATTGCCTATTTTCAGACATTACAATAGAACATACGGGTTGTTTGTTGACATATTGAACTAGAGACTTCAACTGGTGCAGAAACATATTGAACAGCCACACGAGTCAAGACGGAACATGTGTGGCCTTTCAAAACATTCATGGCATTGAACTGATATACAATTGGACATTCCTATTTTTATTTTTCAATAAAGGATTCCTTTTTGTATCCATTTTCTTCATTTTCAAACATTCGGAACAAAAATATTTCTCACCAGATACTTAGCGTATATATTAACATTAATTAGATTGTACACACGTGTGGATCTTCGTAAAGTATGTTGAATGAATAGAATATTACTAAAAGAGACAAGATAAAAAACGACTTTCATCACTCTTCGTTCAGAAAGTTTATTCTTATACAGTTGAGTAAACATTTAAAATGTAAATAAACTCATCACAGATACCAGGATTAACTAAATTCCAAAAGGTTTTGCCAAATACAACTAATGTAATCTATTCCTGAACTAGAATATCCTTAGTATTTTAAAAAATTCAAAGTTTTGTAAACAGTTAAATTATGATTATGACCATATCAATGTTAAATCATATCAACACAGAAGTGCTGACTACTGGGATGTTTTACCCTCTGGGAGGAAACATCCATCAGTAAATATACCTGTCGATTTGAGGTTATTTTTAATCAGTAGTGTGAAAAAAATGAAAATGAGCAATAAGAATAAAGTAAAAGAGAAAGCAGATAAAAACAATAGTTATACATGTATATGCAAATACATCGACACCACGTAAATTGTATACTCATTTTCTACAAAAAGATACAAAGAAATGATTCATCATTCCCTTATCCATTATTATATACATGTACAAGCCGATAATCAAATTTCCTTGTTACAACGTGGATTGTTTATACCGATGTCAAAAGAAACTCAAGTCTTGGTACGAAGAGACCAAATATAGCAGAAATAATAACAGGATTACATTAACCCTAAACCGAGTCAGATCAGGTGCGTCGCCAAGGTGAGCGTACTTCATGTACGTCATGGGATTCCAAAGTCTTATTCAGTGAGTGTCAAAGCAATATACGGTGGCTCTTGAAAACATCATGCTCCAAAAATAGCATTTACATAAAGAATTAAGCATTATATGATGGTTGGGCGTAGACAGAATAAACGTGATGTCAACAATACATTGTCAGTGGTTAAAACATAGGTAAACGGATAGTAAATAAGACAAAGACATTTTTATATGACAATGAATCATAAAAATGAGTTAAAGTTTCATTAAAAAACTAACATATCATATTTGGATATAACAGGATGCATATACTGGGTTTGCTAAACATGCTGTGAATTGTCCATTTAGTTAAAGCGTCTTCCTTTTTCAATGATGTTTTTCAATGAATAATTGTTGTATCTTAACATTTGCCTTCCATCGTAGCAATTTATCAACAAATATAGCAATTAGACAAAAATATAAGGAAACAAAATTATATTGAAAATTATTCACGAAAGAATAAAATTTATTAATAGAATTAAAATATTTTCTTATCTAATCTCTAGGATACAAATGTCTTTTGAATAAACCTGTTTCTAGAAATCGTGTTTTTGAGTGACGTCCAGTTGGCGGTATCGGATGTAGGAATATGCCTTGACATCAGATTACTACGGTGTATACTGCAATTTAGAGGTTGCCATATTATGTATACATGTACGCCTATCTATTGGTGAAGACTTTACATTGCCCTCTAGATGTCTTTTAGTCATGATTATCCCCGAGTTGCTGTTTTATTGGGGTATACACAACAACTCCGTCTATTTATATGCTCTGTTTGCAGGGGTGTGTTGCACAACGATCATGCCAAATATTCTGTTTTCTAAAAATCCAAATTGTTCTTCAGTTATTTTTCAACAACTAGACCGCCTTTAATCACAGAGATTTAATCATTCAAAACATAATGACATTTTACTGCAACAGATCCACATTTCTACAATTAATATCTCTTTAGTGATGCACGAGGGGAAAAAATGTAAATCTAAATATAAATTAGATACAAAAGTTGATTAGATGATAAGACAAAAAAAGAAAACAAATCTCGACAGTCTAGGTTAAGGAACCAGAGCTACATGCTTGCATGACGGAGATGCAGTTCTTCATTTAAATGACTACCATAATTTTATAACAGTAAATTTAAAAAACAAAAAAAACAATATTCGTATTTTCATACCAGCATAAAAACATTGGCTACTTGGCTGGTGATACCCTCGGAGACTTACGGTCAACCAGTTAAGGTATCGACCCATTGGTAGTAATAGCATTGATGATACCAATTTGAATGCATTAGAAGCGCATTTAGATATTTTAAAAATATCTCTTCAGTGATGATTGAGGCCAATATTGAATACCCCTTAAAAACCCAAAATTAAAGCCAAACCCGGACAGATAACCAGAGCTATGTTTGGGGGATACATTCCTTAATTTAAATGATTTCCGAAATTTTCAACATCAAATTCCAATAATACAATACTACTTTCTTCTTGTCGTAGCCATAACACTGGCTACTTAGCTGGTACAAGTAGTATCTAGAGGGAGATGACTCGAAATTTATTTCTAGAATTGATTTAATAATGTTACATTTTATTTCATTACTCGCAAAACTGTTAAAAACAGGTTGATAAAAGTTGGTAAAACAAATGTAATTGAGTTGGCTGAACGTTTTGGAATATCTGTTTCACAGATGACGACGGATATGTTGCTATTGTCGTCACCACAATCCCGTAATCTTTTCCTCGAATCTGACCTAATGAATTAAGACTTTTCACCGCTTTAGTACACGACGGGTGCCACACGTGGAGCATGATCTGTTGACCCTTCGAGAGCAGCTGAGAGCACACTCGGTGTATGGTGGGTTCATGTTGCTCAGTTTTCTATGTTATGTATTGTGTACTGATGTTTGTTTTATGGTCGATTTTCTTTTTTTGCATCGGCATTTTCAGTTCGTTTTCGACTAATGAGTTCTCTTTTTGTACAATTTTCATGTGCTGGAAAGAACTGCGATAAGCAATCGTATAAAGGTTTATGTTGAATTAGATGCATGCCATTTATTCATCAGTATTTTATAATCGGTTTTGTCAAATGGAACTTACATTATCACATCAAACCAAACAAATTTATAAGGTTGCTATAGGAACAGGTATTGAAACAGTAAATGTCAAAACATCATAGTAGAACTTGAATTGTATGTTATGTTATGGTCAATGACATCGGGTTCAAATTTTAATAAATTTGTTCGTGTGGTACTTTTTATATGTTAGAATGATACAACAGATTGACGTTGGTTTTTTGTTTAACGAGCCTAAGCCTACCAAGATGTGAGTAAGCTTCACTAGAAATTAAACTCCAGAATCCAGAAAAATCCCAACTTTCAGACAACCAATGTAATGGATAAATCCTAAAAGGTAAATATCAAAACCATCGAACTCGACCTGTATTTTATGGTCCATTACACAAAACATTGTTTCTTCTGTTACCTAATATTCTATCATCGAACTCTGACTTCTTTTAAACTGAGTTGTACTGTGCGTATTGATGTGTGTTAATTTATTCCACATTGGTTAGAGGTATAAGGGAGGAGGCTGAGATCTCACACAACATGTTTTACTCCGCCACATTTTTGCGCCTGTCCCAAGTCAGAAACCTCTAGCCTTTGTTAGTCTTGTGAGCGTTTTTTTTTTAAATTTTGGTTCATTTGTTTAGTGTGGCGTTCATTTCGCTGAACTAGTATATATATATATATTATATGATAAAAACTATAACACAAGTTTTTTATTATACAATCAATCAGAGACTATATGTATATATATACATATATTAAATTAATATTGAGATCCATTTTGTCCATCTTTATTTGGCAATCGCAAATGGCAGTCAGCAGGGTTTAAGAACATCCGTTGTTCGACCTGTCTGTTAGTCAAATGCGTTAAAATATACCTTTTCACTTTTTTGGTCTATTGGAAAATGTTTTTTGTGCTGTATTTAGACCCCTCTTCCAAGAAATTTGTTTTACATGCACACGTATAAAAATTGCGGTTTTTATCCAACGCAATCATAGGTTTGAACGTTGTTTTCAATTTAGATTTATTTATATATATATATATATTATTTATAATTCGTCTAAACAACAGCCCAACAATGTTAGATCTGTAAATTTTCGGAAGCAATTTTTTTGTTCTTCCATGACCGGGTGTTACCTTTCCTCGTCAGTTTTTATCTAGCGTCGTAATACAGTACATGATATATAATGATATATAAAGCATGAAGATGGAATTGTTACAGATCAGCTGAATTATCTATTGTAAAGGATCTTCATGCCTTATATATCATGTACTGTGTTACTGACGAGGAAAGGTAACACCCGGCCACCGAAATCTGTATTAATATAGAGCCAAGGTGGTCGAGTGGTCTAGCGCGTCGGGCATAGTGCAAGGCGATTTGGTGCCACGATATCTCAGTAGCATGAGTTCGAATCCCGGCCAGGGAAGAACAAAAAATTTGCTATATATATACAGAATGTATTTTCAGCCTTGTATCACCATCACTGCTGGTAATCCGATGGATAAAATCTGTTGTAGAGTCGTCACTGGTTCAGACATACTTATATACTGTTTAGGGGCCAGCTGATCATGAAGTCTACCTCCGGGTGCGGGACTTTCTAGCTGCATTGATGGCCTCGAGCTGTTTTCTGCTCTTTTGTCTGGTTTTGTTTCTTTGACACATTCTCCTTTTCCATTCTCTATTTTGTTGTTTACAAATTAGCATTCGAGGTGGGTATATGATAACCTTTTAATTAATCAATTTTAAAACTCGTTTTCCTTGCTCCAAGCAAAAAAAAAAGAAGAAATCAATTTCACTTGAGAAAAAGAAGTCATATACAAAAGTAGACATCCGCTTCCTGTTTCTGTTGTTTCGTGGTGATTTGCTTACACTGAGTGCGGGGGTCGATGGGTCGAACCAACGTAGCAACAACATTAAAATTAGTATTTGCTGTTAACATTATAAAAGCAAAGACATGAAGGCTTGAAATCAGAATGATGATTCCATGCGATAGCCTGTCTATATGCCACTAAACCGTTGAATTAATCGCGTTATCTTATCACAATAAATTATATTGTCATGAAGATGTAAGTAAAATTTGCCACTGAACGTTAAAATGTTTTTCCATTAATCAAAAAATTACAAAATAAATTTCAGCATAAACGGCACTACCGGTGTCTATATGTTCAAACGGACATGACTGAAATTCTGAATTCAGAAGAAAAAAATGCCCGTGATATCAAGCTATTATACATGTCCTACGTGTACTTTAAAAGAAGAGTCGTGTGTGTTTGAAACAGTAAAAGTTAGTTTATACATGATATAAGATAAATATTTCGGCCTACATCTTAATACCTGTATCTTAATCCATTTCCATGTATTTTATTGTCATTGTACTGCATGTATTCGTTAAGAACTAAATACGGAATCATCACGTGAAACACATGATAAATTAGTACAAATTAATAAAACAGTTAAATAAGACGAAACAAACGTTTACATTTTCAAACTCAATCTGTCAATATTAAGGCATTTGTAATGTTTTAGACACATTTATGACTCCGTAAATTCGGAAGCTAACATTTATGATACTATTTTACGTAAAACAACAAAATCCTACGCTTGAGTAGTCTCCGCATGTTTACATACACATCATCTGTAATTTTCATTTGCATAAATTAACATAGTTAATTAATTTTAAAAACACATATTTATCTTTACTTTACGTTAAAGAGTTCCCTTAATTAATTACCTTGTTGCCACGTCCGTCACGCCCAGGAGAGCAATGCATGTCTTTTTTCCTCAAACGTACAGACAAATAAAAATTTAGAAATTTGGATTTAATACTACAAATATTTACTGATGAGTTTTGACGATGAGAAAATCGAAAGACCTGCCTGGACCTTGTTCTTTGAAGGCACACTTTACAGGAGGTATTTGCGCTACTTGAAGCATCATGATTTATCACAGGTATATATAACTATTGTGCATGTATTTTATATAAATTGTGAATGATGCATCTTTTCAAATCATTCATGCTCTAGTTTTACATTTGGAATATGTTTTGGGAACAGATCCACTAAAATTTGCAAGAATTTACCTATTTGTTAAAGTTGAATTTCAAAGTCAACCAAATATCTAACATGAGATTCAATTAATCGAAGTTCTTTGCTTGGCATTGAGCACTTAAACCGTTTACGTTGTCAAAGTTTTGCAAAGATATTAAGTATATTTAAGGAATGAGTTTCTCAAGCTAGAAATATGTCATCTTCTGATTTTTTGTTCTGTAAACACTTCTGATATAATATAGATATATATGTATAATGGCAGTCAGCAGGGTTTAAGAACATTTGTTGTTCGACCTGTTAGTCAAATGCGTTTTGTTAAAATATACTTTTTCACTTTTTGGTCTTTTGGAAAATGTTGTTTGTGCTGTATTTATACCCCTCTAACAAGAAATTTGTTTTGCATGCACACGTATAAAAATTGCGGTTTTTATCCAACGCAATCATAGGTTTGAACGTTGTTTTCAATTTAGACTTGTTTATATTTTTTCGTTTGGGCTTGTATTATATTTGCCTTCGGGTTTATATGATCCGTTCATCCTATTTTGACTCCTCAAAATTCAAGAGTCTATCCCAAATTGAGGTAAATTGTATGGCTTTCCAAATACCGTTTCGATTCCTAACATCACTGAAGAGACATTAATTGTCGAAATCCGGATATGGTGTACAAAAACCTTTGCACCTTTTGTTTGCGGTATACCATCTTTTCCGCAACTTTATTGTTCTCTGTTTAGTATTTAATTTATAATTAAGATCCATTTATTACATCGGTGATCCGTTTATTTGGCAATCGCCAATGGCAGTCAGCAGGGTTTAAGAACATTTGTTGTTCGACCTGTTAGTCAAATGCGTTTTGTTAAAATATACTTTTTCACTTTTCGGTCTTTTGGAAAATGTTGTTTGTGCTGTATTTATACCCCTCTAACAAGAAATTTGTTTTGCATGCACACGTATAATAATTGCGGTTTTTATCCAACGCAATCATAGGTTTGAACATTGTTTTCAATTTAGACTTGCTTATATTTTTTCGCTTGGGCTTGTATTATATTTGCCTTCGGGTTTATATGATCCGTTCATCCTATTTTGACTCCTCAAAATTCAAGAGTCTATCCCAAATTGAGGTAAATTGTATGGCTTTCCAAATACCGTTTCGATTCCTTACATCACTGAAGAGACATTAATTGTCCAAATCCGGATATGGTGTACAAAAACCTTTGCGCCTTTTGTTTGCGGTATACCATCTTTTCCGCAACTTTATTGTTTTCTGTTGAGTATTTAATTTATAATTAAGATCCATTTATTACATCGGTGATCCGTTTATTTGGCAATCGCCAATGGCAGTCAGCAGGGTTTAAGAACATTTGTTGTTCGACCTGTTAGTCAAATGCGTTTTGTTAAGATATACTTTTTCACTTTTTGGTCTTTTGGAAAATGTTGTTTGTGCTGTATTTATACCCCTCTAACAAGAAATTTGTTTTGCATGCACACGTATAAAAATTGCGGTTTTTATCCAACGCAATCATAGGTTTGAACGTTGTTTTCAATTTAGACTTGTTTATATATATATATATATATATATATATATAAGTCTGAAAATTACACCCAACAGTGTTAGAATTAGACTTTTATGCTGACAAATTTTTGTCCCTCAACGGGATTCGAACTCACACCTTTGATACACTACAGCACCAATCGCTTAGCCTCATGTCCAGCGCTCTAGACCACACGACCACATCCGCTATATAAAAATATAACTTCAATAGTCGTAGTGTTACCTTGTCACGTAAGGCGAATCTAGAGATAGACATAAGACATGTGTTTTAAGCGTGTGAAGATGTTATATTATTATATATTTATTAATACATACTGAACAGACATACTCTTTCCAAATAAGTATTACCAATACCAATAATAAAACAGTTAGATAAAGCCACATCTATTGTTTATTGCAGATGCTTAACAATGGAACAACTCTACCTTTTAATTATAAAACTCCTATTCAACCTCCAATTTTGACACATGAGACAAGTTGGTATTCTCCACCAAAATTTCAATCTGAAGAAGACGAGATGCCCCCTCCTTATCACCCTCGATCCGTATCTGCATCTTCTGACCGATCACAGCAAGACACTGACTATAAAAAGATACGAAACAGAACAAGAGTTTTAGTGTGTCTAGGAATAACTTTAATAGCACTGACGGCAGCAATAGTTGCACTTGTTATACATTATTTCTACATTGAAAGTAAGTCACTTTTAATTATTCAGCATACGTAAGAAATAGAGATGTAGGATACATTAATAAGATAGCAACCACACGACATACGCACCCACAAAAACACAGAACCGATAACAATAGTGTGATATTTTTTTCGAATTTTCGTATTGTTCAAAATTACTTAAATGGAAAAGTATTTACCAAAGTTCAAATTGTGTCCTCTTTATATAATATGCATTTATCATGCTTGAACCGCACTTATTATCATATCATGACTATATGTACATGATGTAAGGAATGACAAACGACACAGGCACCCACAAAAACACAGAACCGATATCAATAGTGTGGTAATTTTTTTGAATTGTTCAAAATTACTTTAAAAAGGAATGGTATTTACCAAAGTTCAATTGTGTCCTTTTTATATAAATATACATTCATCATGCTTTCACCACACTTATTATCATATCATGACTATATGTACATCATGTAAAGAATGACAATTTAATATGTAATTCCCATTACAAAAATCGTCAAGTTCTTGGTTAACATATTCAAATGTACATGTAAATGTTTAACTGTATCTATAAATAATTCACTTCAGGATGGTCCAATAAAAGAGATACACATACACATATTTCTTTATGGGTTTGTGTCATTGGGTTTCTGTCTCTAATCTTTAACCTTCAAAATATATACTGTTAGATATAATACAAACTAACAACTACACATTGAGTAAAGTTTTGAAAGAGTTTAGAATGAACTTTTAAACAAACAGAATTGAACTCGGATCTACTGTTCGAGAAGGGTACAAATATATATATATATATATATATATGTTTTATATATGTTTGTTTCCGTAGATAGAACCGTTCGTTGTGTCTGATAATGAAAGTAGGACATTTGTAACACAGTTTCATAAATCAAACGAAACCACAGTAGGAAATCTTTCGTCGGGTTTTAATGAAGTAGGATTAACGTTAACGTCAATCAGACAACAACTATAGAAGACAAAAATAACCAAAAGACATATAGAAACATCATATAAAATATGTCAAGCTCTAATTCATGAAAAATTTATCAGATCTGCCAAGAATACCTACTTTTCTATAAAATGAAAACATTAAATGAAAATAAAACTTAATAAATTTCATGCGTTCGAAGAGCTTATCTGCATTTACTAAACCAGAAACGGCCCTACTCAAACATGTGATGGTCACGGAGAGATAGATACTTAAAACTTTATGAGCTTTAAGACAAATTTAAGGTCAATTTTGCCTACTGGGGTTGGATCCTTGTTTTCTTAATATTTTGTTTAATTTAATAACGAATAATTTAGAAAAGTATGTAATAAACCGTCTCAGTACAAAGCACTGACTAATGAGCTAATGATTCCCTCGGCAAATAATAGTCCTGATGCAGTGTTATCGACCAAGTGCTAGGAAATGAAATATTGATATATAAATTTCACGCGCACGGAGCGCTTTTCTGGATTTAAGTTTATCATGAACGCTGAAACTCACACTTTTGGAAGCCAGAGACGTATAAGTATGTAGAAACTTTATGAGCTTTATGACTTAAAAGAAACTAAAAAGGAATAGCCAAATTCACCAAAGGTCAACTTTTGCCTGAGGGAGTTGGTTAGTTAGTTTCTTAGTATTTTATCAAATATAAATTTAGAAAAGTATTTTATTTATCAAGTTCGTACCTTTGCACTGACTACTAGGCTGATAATACCTTCGGGGACTAACAGTCCACCAGCAGTGTTATCAACCAAGTGGTAGTAAATGAAAATTACTTAGTAAAAGTCATTGGTACGAAGCGCTTTTCTGGATTTACTTTCATCGGGAAGATATGACACACAACTACTGACAATGTTCCTGACTTAGGACAGTCACATGCAAATGTGTCGGGTACAAATACATTTTTTATATCTCAACCCTCTCCCTGTTTTATAGTTGATAAGCAGATTAACAAAGCGTACTTTAATAAAATGTAAATTTTTCATTATCAGACATATGTAAAAAAAATTCTCATCAACAATAATACTAGTACTGTAGCAAGATTGATAATAACATTACGGATATCTGCATATACAGGACAGTTTAACAAAAAATGTTTTTCATCTTCAACGTCATCAGAATAATAACAACATACTCTATTTTCTATATCAATATTTTCGTAACGACCAGTTTCAATTTTAATGGGCGCTACACCACATCAAAATTTTGCTGAAACACCTGTACCTACCAGGTATATAAAAAACAGATAATTTTCTACGCCATATACATTTTTGAACAGTTTATATGTACGTAATTATTACCATTATACTTTGACATAATTTGTCATACCATCCTTCCTTATATTTTTTAACAGATACATGTTCAATATTCTTAATCAAAACCTTGTTTGAAATAGCACCATTACAGAAATATTTAATATCAGGTCTTTTAAATTTATTGTTCATTCTTAAATACATTTTTTACTTTTGTATGTAGCAGACGGAAAATTTAAGCATTGGATTTTATCAAAACAACTTTAAATGAATAAATTAGCAATTTAGAGTTAAATATTTCCTGAAAATTAAATTCAACTTAATCAAATTGAAGTCGACATGTTTCAATGAAACAATTAAACTACAATAATGTTTGATTGAATGCCAGGATATATTTTAATGTAGTTAAATTCAAATATGAATGCATTATCATATATTGTAAAAAAAAAATGAATGTACGGTATACGGTTCATGAGACAGCGTTCCAACGACACAAATAAACAAAACATATCCAGAGGCCAACATTCAGTTTTCAGCAATATGCGGATGTCTTTTCAATATGTCAAGTTTTAAATCATTTATATGATGGCCGTGTCAAACCAAAAACTTGAAAGTTGGTTTATGCTGCTTCTCCGCTAAACACGCGGAAGTTAGGAGTAAGGGAAAGGCGACTCGGAGTCAGAATAGTGTTTTTGGATAGGATGACTTGTCTTTCTGTGAACTGTTACATTGTGAACGGCTCAGCGTGTCGGTCTAGTACAAAGCAGAATTCATATTCATATTACATAGTCATGTTCTCGTCATGAATATGCATTTCATTTGCCACTGGACGTTAAATAGTGATCCATCGTCTTTTTTTTCTTTTATTAGTATACACTATTCTCAATTGTTTGTGACTTTCTTGTTTATTTTTTGGGACGAGAATATAGTGTTTTACATAGAAAACGTTCAAAATTATTTTAAATCTAAATGAACTATAATTTTTATTTTAGCACAAAAAGAAGTAATAGAAAGTGGACAAAATTTTATTCACATTCCTGGAAATTTTACAGCAAATGAAACATTAGCGATACTTCAGGGTAAGAACATTTTAATCACACGGTGACATGATAAATAGATTGAATAAATTCATCAAAATAGTAACATACAAATACATTATCGTTTTATTAGTTAATTGAAGTGTGAAAACATCAATCAAAATTAAGTTTTTCAAATTGACTTTGATTTTAGGGTTACATATTTACGATTACAGTTTACTAGAACAAATGCACTATCTGATTTGTTTATTTCTAAGAAAACGAGTGGATTAATATAGATATAAGAAGATGTGGTACGAGTGCCAATGAGACAACTCTCCATCCAAGTCAAAATTTATAAAAGTAAACCATTAGGTCACACGGAGCATTGGCTCACACCAAACAGTAAGCTATAAAGGGCCCCAAAAATTACTAGTGTAAAACCATTAAAACGGGAAAACCAACGGTCTAATCTATATAAAAAACGAGAAACACTTATGAACCACATCAACAAACGACAACTACTGAACATCAGATTCCTGACTTAGGACAGGTGCAAACAAATGCAGCGGGTTTAAACGTTTTAATGGTACCAAACCTTCACCCTTTTTCTGAAACAATAGTGTAACATCACAACATAGACATGTAAGTATTATTTTGTCAATAAAATACTTGTATGATATGAGCTTGGTCTGATCCATCCGTTGAAAGTCATTTGCAAAATTATTTCCAATTACATTGTTGTGACACCAGCCATGAATGGTGATAAAACTTTAATTTAAACTATTTATCTCCAATCATATAGCCTACGAGGACCAATAGATCTTGTTTTATGTCAAAAGACCACTAATATATAATTTACATATAAAAAGATCAGAGAGTAAATGTTAAGTGCTTTTTAACTTCTTAGAGCACTTTAGATTCGTATATTTAACCTTAACTCCTTTGTACATATTGACCTGAAAAGTGGAGGGGGCTGTTTTGTCCTAAGCTTGCCCTCTTCCCCCCTGTTCGTAGCATATTTCACCATTTTCAAAGCACAAACCTGGAACAATTGCAATGTTTATGTTTTAAAACCATTTCAGATAACAATACGAGAATCATCAAAGAAAAGTATATAACTGATTTAAGAGATGCAGAAAATGAATTAAAGTTTACTTCTCCGGCAAAACCAGTAGGAAAGGGGTCTTTCTGGAGGAACGACGACCCCACTTCTACGACGACAACAAAAAAGCCGAAGTTAGTACTGATTTCACGGACAACAACTGAGGAAACAGAGGAATGGTATCCTTCTTCGTCTTCACCACCAACATTTGGTAGGTCTCAGGACCAATAAACTGATGTGAAAGTCTTTTGTTTTATCTTTAATTTAATCCTAAGTATTGGCAGCAAACATTTGTACTTTTTTTATTTTTTTGAAACTATTTGAAATCATTTAGGAAAAAAATCCGAATTCATTCATTAGATCTATAACTATCAACATGATTCGTTTTGTTTACCTGAAATAATAACTAAAATCAGCCTCTAATTTCTTGAATAATTTTACAGAACCAGTACTTATATCAGACGTTGAAACAGCTATAGGCAAAAAGAAAGCAACATTTTCCTGCACAATACAAACAAATACTGGGGCCTCTGTATACCTCAAAGGAAAAAATATTAAGCTGAATTTTACAAAATCACAAAAAATTATAGCTACTGGAATCCAGCAAAGGCAAACATATGATTATGGTTTCAAAATCATGGATGATTCAAACATGACAAAAATAACGCTAAAAGTTCTGATACAAGATGTCCAATGTGAGGACCAAGAAGATTTTGTTTGCGGATACAAAGATAAATTGACAACAACAGAGAAACATGGAAAGCTTACAGTCCAACGTAAGTCGTAATGAATAAAAACATTAAACTAACCAAGAGCACCTTTGATCACATCCAGTTTTCAGCATGTTTTTATAATGCTTGAGCATGGATCTGCATGTTTGCCCTACTGACCATAATTTATTACATACATTTATATAAACCTTCGGTTATTGATGCTTTAAATTTATTAAAAACCTTATTGTGTAACCTTCTCATGCATACTTTTAACGAAAACGGTAAACCAAAGAAAATGTAGTCATTTTTGACACAAACCATTTGATATGAGTGTAATGTATACGTAATATTATAACAAGTTCAGTGTACACGGCAAGTATTTCTGAAATTTCCTTCATCGAGCACCCTCAAAATAACTTTGCCATAGGTAGTCAAAGGCAAAAAGGACAACAAAACTTGTCCATGAGCAACCACTTGCCTGAGGGAGTTTTAAAACCAAACGAACAGCAAAACTTGTGTACGGGCTATTTTGTCTGAAAGAGTTCAAAACCCAATACGTTCATGGGTAGCTTTGCCTGAGGAATTTCAAGACAAAAAGATCAACAAAACTTGTCAAAAGGCAACTTTGAGTGAGGGCCCTGCAAACTCAAAAGGACAGCCAAATTTGTGCAAGGGCAATTTTGCATGAGGGAGTTCTAACCTTAGTTTACGTACATATAAATATTCTTTAGAATTTAATCAAGTTTTTCTGAAATTTTCTTTCAACAAACAGCCTCAAAACAACTTTGCCCTTAGGTAGTTCCAAAAACCAAAAGGACAGTAAAACTTTTCCATGGACAACTTTGCCTGGTGGAATTCTAAACAAAAAAACAAAATAGGACAGCCAAATTTGTTTATGGGACTTATAACCCGAGGACGTTTCAATACCAATGAGTAGCCACACTTGTGCATGGGCAACTTTGTTTTAGGGAGTTCCAAAATCAAAAGGACAGCCAAACTGGTGCATGTGCAAATTTGCTTTAGGTAGTTCCAAAACCAAAAGAACAGCTAAACTTCTGCATGGGCAACTTTGCTTAAGGAAGTTCCAAAATCGAAAAGACAGCCAAACTTGTACATGGGCAACTTTGCTTTAGGAGCTCCAAAACCAAAAGGGCAGCCAAACTTGTGCATGGGAAAAAATGCCTAAGGGAGTGCCAAACCTAATATGACAGGCAGTGCATGGACAACATTGGCTAAGGGGGTCCAAAATAAGAAAGACGACTAAAATTTCCCAAATGAACCTTTTCGTGAAGGCATTCCAAATTCCAAAAGGTATCCAAACTTGTGCATGGAAAATTTTGCACGAGTGAGTTCTAACCTTACAGAAGAACCGATTCGTGTGCCGATTGTACACTCGGGGAAACACTCCGTCATAGTTTCTAACTTCAAAAGTCATTTGGACTCGGATGGATATTGTCTCATTGGCAATCATTTCATCTCGTCATTTTTATATTTAACATTGTTTACAGTGGACCCTGTTGAAGCAGTAATATAAACATTTGATTTCACTTTGAGTGCTCTCCTATAGAAGTTTCATCAGGATCAGGTATTCAAACCCGATATGATAGGGCCCGATTTCTCTATTCCAATGCTATACATATATGGTTACCACTTTAGTCTTAAGTCCTTGATATTAGATGATGAATGGATAATTGGTTGTTTAACGTTGAGTGGCAAACTATATGCATATTTAGAACGAGAACATATTAATATGATATGATCGTGAAAGCTGCTTTGTTATAGACTGACACGTTATATTCAACTCTTTTTAAGTAAGGACAGGAAACAGATTGATAAAATAAAACCCAAGGCAAACGTGAAGCTTGCATTCAAGCATTTGATTCCATTATATTAAAATATGTTCTTTTTCTGAACAGTAATATATTTATTATATATTTGACGCTGGAAATATTTAATTCATTGTGTTAACCAGAAGCATTGAAAAAATTATATACAATGTAAATTGAAAAAAGGCATTTGAATATGACATTTATATCGTTAACTTATAATTAGATAATTCAGTTACGTTAATTATAAATAATTAATAATTAGACAACCTTTCCATCACATGTCAATTAAATTCTTGTGGCTTTGAAACCACAAAACGACGCCATTTCACTGACTGCAATAGATTTGACTTTATTTTACATTTATATTATCTCTTATCAAAAATGAACTACAAATCAAAGCTATACAATATGAAGCTTGCACCATTCAGGTATTGGAGAGTATATACTGTTACACTAATGTCCCATGATTAGAGTGATTGAGCACTCACTAACATGTTTTACTCAAACACATACTTTATTTGTCAGTCCCAATCTAGAAACATGTAGTCCATTGGTTGTTGTCGCTTGCAGTCAATTTTGATTGGATGGCCTCGAGGGCCGATTGGCTCATTGGTTATCACACCACATATCAATACGGAATTTTTTGGAGTTTTAGTCAGTTGTTTGTCTTTGGTTGTTGTCTGTCATAATTGTTTTATGCCCCGCATTCAACAATAGAGGGAAGTATGATTTCACTCAGTATTATGGTCAAACAGTATTGTTCGTATAATGTTAAAACGCATGTAGTACTATTCATTTGGTTTGTTGTCTATATATGACACGGGTTGGGGCCTTCAAAGCGAAGAAAAACGATCGAGGTAAATTAAAGCGTAGAGGTTTCTTTTTTTATAGAATAGTTATTACCGAACCCTATATTGCACAGAAGGGTGCCGGTCAATTATCAATGTACCTCTTTCAGCAGCAAACGTCCTAAGTGCCCCGTTTGCTCAAAGCATGGGTACGCGTCTAGGTTTGGTCTTTTTTTTTCAATTATTTGTGTTTTTCACATGTATTAAACCATGTCCACTTTTACACAAGAAAGAAAAAAATTGAAGACAATCTCACCATACATATGCAATAAATTATTATTTTCTTTACATGACATATGCATCAATCTTCACTGAATATAAAGGAGTAGGTTGTTGGACTAGTATAGTCGGGTTCTTTTCCTTGGTATACCTTGTACCTTGTAGTTGTTAATTTCTGTGTCATTTGGTCTCTTGTGGAGAGTTGTCTCATTGGCAATCATACCACATCTTCCTTTTTATACTTGTATCGGTGCTATCCAGGTTAAGGTTGCGAAAACATGTTTTTTTGTGTCGGACTTCTAAGATGATATATCGCACAGGGACTCCTTCTGGGATGACGTTGTCTTAAAAAAATAGTTATTGTGAAAAAATATAATTACGTCACAATCTTCGGCCAATATAGGTGTGAATTCAAAAGGAATTAAAATTAGCAATAATTATGTTTAACATGTTTTCGTATATTTAAAAAAAAAATGGAGAATGTGACCATGGGACACAGATGTTGCGCTTGCATATATTTTTTTGAAAGGACATAACTAGAGAACTGTAAAAATGACGCCACCCAAATTCGAACTCGATCTGTGTTTTATGGTAAAATGCATTGTGTATCAGTTCCGTAACATTTGGTTGAGGCAAAAACAAAATGGAGAATGGAAACGAAAAATTCAGCAATTTTTCCATTTATGAAGGGGCGTAACTCTAGAACAGTAAAAGTGACGCCACCAAAATTTGAACTTGATCTTTCTTTTGTGGTAATAAACATTGTATATAAGTTTCATGACATTTGAATAAGGCAAACTAATGTTAGAACGGAAACCAATTTGTGGACGTACGGACGGACGTACAGACGGACAAGGGCAACCCTTAATATCCTCTCCACCACGGCGGGGCAAATGTAGGGTAGGCGGATCAGTTTATTTCAAATGCACTAGAACACACCCGCGAAATCGCGGTCATTTAGAGCTTGGTTGAAAGTATGTAAACTATTGTAGGATGAATTTTTGTGAAAGATTACATGCAGAGGCGGATTTAGAGGGGTTTTCAGGGGGCTCGGACCCCGCACCTCTCCCCTTTTGTGGGAAAAATTTGTTGATTATATAGGGAATCAATGATGCATGACTGGAGCGGGACCCCTCTTAAGCAGTCAATGCACCCCCGCCCCCACCCTTATGAAAATTTCTGGATCCGCCACTGTTATGTCTGGACAATTTCAGAAAAGGTATCAAAAATCATAGGTACTTGGAGACAGGACAATATTTTTAAACCCTCTCTCTTTTTTCCAAAGTCCGTTATTTTTTATTTGTTTTCTGTTGAGTTCCATTATATTCGCGTTTCTGTATTCTATGAACATACGTATATTATAAATAAAGTGTATGTACTATTAACTATCAATTTCAAGTTTCTTCTCCACGCCGATCACTGCTATAATCTATAGAGAGTCTCTATATATTATAGTAGTATAATCATAGTATACATGCAGAAAACGCGAAAATGATTGTCCTGTCCCCAAGGACTTATGAAAATTATTTGTAAGTTTAAAACCGGAAGTCTTGTCTATGACTTAAAAGTCGGTCTGATGACGGAAACAATATTCGGACGTCTTTATTTTCATTTTTCTCCCCAAATAACCCAAACTGAATAATCATAAGAATGGATGACAAATGCGACTATGCAAGGTACATATAGGACACAGAGGCATGATGATGTATTTAGTGTGGAAGGAAGAGAAGCGACACACAAAATGAGGTCTTCTCGTTTAATAGTATAGAAGTTTAGCAAAACACTAGTAGTTCAGGAAAGGCTATTTAAAACGGTCATCGTTGAAGACATTTCAGTTATTGTCAAGATATCGATTGTGTGTATGTGAACAAAAAGCATTATTTTCGTAACTTTTACTATATATTTTACAAATCATTCAATACTAAAAAAAATGTTTTAATTTATTTTAAACTTAAGTGAAAGCTATTTTCAGAATATTTTATATATTGATGATGAAGGATGGCTGTTTAACGTTCAATGGCAAATTAAATGCATATCCAAAACGAGAAGATGTTAGTGCGTTTTTAATATTAACCTTGCTTTGTACTAGACCGACACCCTTAGTCGGATTTTTAACAATATTCTATTATCTATAGGATATTTTATCAAAATTGTGTAAAATGTACGTTGACTTGGTGGTTAATATTATTTTATTGTTTTAAGTGTAAGAATACAGCTATTTGTTTCACGGTATAATTTGCTTTTCTTTTTTTTTTAAAGTTTTGTATATTTTCTTTTATCTTATCTTAATGGGGAGGAAGGGGTATGAAAATAATATCCATCCAATTCCATATTTTATTTTCTTCTCAACAAAAGATAAACAGGTGTATAATAAGAGGTAGAATACTAGAAACAAGTGAATACATACCTTAAAGGATATTTTCTTTACATAGGTAAACCGTCATCAAGCATAAAAATGAAGAGTCCAGTTGGAATAATTGAAGGGCAGGTCGTTGAAATTGAGGCTACATGGAAAGGCGGCTATCCCACTCCGATTGGTAATATTACATGGTTTTATTCGGAAGCAGGGGGTAATTTGTCAGATGCACAGGCGTTTACAGCTGCCGACATCTCATGGCGAATGAAAATAAGGGAAGATAGTTGTAAAACATACATAAATAGTATCGTCAAGTTCAAGCCTACTCTAGAAATGAACAACACTATGTTATACGCAGTATCATCATTCAGTGGTGTCCAAGCTGGAACGGAAAGAATTCTTGTAATTCCAGGTAAAGCTATATATATACTAACAAATATTTTGGTATGAAAGCATCAATTGAACCATCATGAACAATCATACAATTCCACAGCTATATTCCTAACGCTATCTGAGTTAAAATATGCTGCTTTGTTTTATCTATGACTACCTGACTGATGCATTAATGTGGATTTTGTACGTCCCATGCATTCAAAAATTACCCAAGTATTTCACTTCAAACTGTTTCAAGAGCTGCCGTATAAATAGAACAACCAATCATTGTTTGAAAACAATCAATTCATTTGTACTCGACTCGTAAACTGTTTTCTAATAAATTCAGTCGCGTAAGTTTTCTCGTTTGAATTGTTTCACATTTTTCGTGTCGGGGCATTTATAAGCCGACTGTACGGTATATGGTTTTCTCATCGTTGAAGTCCGTATGGTGATTTATAATTGATTATGTCCACTTATTTAAACTCTGGTGGATAGTTGTCTCGTTAGCAATCATACCACATCTACATTTTTTTATAAATCCTCACAGTCTTCCTGTTTCTATACATTGTACACATACATTTTACATTTTAAGACAACGTATTGTTATTCTATCAATTTCAGGCCATGCAACTACAATAATAATGAAGTCCTAAAAATACAGGATCGGAAGAACATAAAACGAAGCGCTGTATAGAAAGTTTAAAATTACAAAATTGTTTGTTGGCACCAGAATGTAAGGCAACATCGCTATCATATAAGTGCACTTAGTTTAAATCATTGGCGTGCCGTATAACACAATTTATATACATAAGTTTAATCTGTACAAAGAAAATGTTAATGGCAAATTCTCATTTATTTTTAGAAAATTACTGCGACGACAAGACTGGAAATGCTTATAAGCCACATCCATATACTTGTAAGAAATTTGTACGATGTAGAACAGATCGGATTGATGTATATGAATGTCCAAAGAACACTTGTTTTACAGAGGATGTGTCACACTGTGTGTGATCTATAATGGTCAATGTGTAACAGGAATGGAAACAAGACTTATTGTGAAAAAAAACGCATGCGCACGGGAAAGAGATTACTCCAATTTCGTCCTGAATATGCATTTAATTTATCACTGGACGTAATATAGCCATCCATCCATCCAATTAGTTATTTTACATAAGTATTAATAAATAAACGTATTTCTGCTTTTATAATACATAAAGCTAGTTTTGTATAAATGGATCAGTTTTTTTTATCTTTATATGGATCAGTATTAAGGCGTTTTAAGTTTTGTTTTATTTAATACAAATTATTTTTGGCCAATCTTTTCTTTTTCGAAATTAAAATATAAAGGTGTTTAAACAAACTTTTATATTGCATTTGGACGCAACTCAATAAATATTGGAGGCGTCTGAAGAACGAAAATAATTTCTAATTTACTTAAGTATCGATTTAAAAGGCATATGCATATTGCATTTGTAATGAACTATGGAATATTTATGTTTTTCTTCTTATAAACGGGAGATAACTCATATGTTAAAAATGAATTGAAAAATTTGATTCTTCGACTCCAAGTAAAACCAGTATTTTTAGGATGCATCTTCTGTTTACAATTATGTTAAAATATATATCAATGTAAGTTGTATGTAGGCATTTATGTATGTTTATACTATTTGATAACATGCATGATTTTGTTTATTTTACTTTTAAAGGCAATTTAAAAAGAGCGTAAACGATATTGAAATGAGATCCTACAATTTTAAATGCTGGATGTTCTATGTATTTGAATTTGAGTTGTTGAAAACAAAGAGATATATCGCATCATATGAGATGAAGTGGTTGGATCTTTCCTTTTCTAAAATGATTTTAAGGAAATGTATAGGCCAGCTTTGACTTTTTTCTCACTTCCATCTGTGTAACATTCATCGTCTTTTTTGTTTGTTGCTGTTCCAATATTTAGAAAATCCGGTGTACATCACGCTAATATGACATAATAATTGAATTTTGGCTGAAATAATTTAAAGTTTATTCTTATTATAGAATTGGAACTAACAAACCACAAGTTAAGTATTAAATACATTAACCAACAAGTTATGGAAAGTATACATGGGCTAAAACTTGATTAGTTGAGAATTTTCAGGATAAACTAAATAAGTTTGCACTACCCATTTACTTTATCGGTATCCAATCTAACGAATTAATGTTTCTTCACATAATGCATCTTTTATAACAAGCCAATAAACTTAGGAGAAGTCAGGTAAACTAAATCACGACTTAAAGATAAGTTTACACAAACATTATCAATATTTATTATCTAATGTCTATGAGAAGTGTGTATGATTGACTTAGGGCTACTGACAAACCAATTTTCTGATTATTAATTCAATTAGCGCGTGCTTAGCAACATGCAAGAAGTCCTTAACAGGTATTTCGATACAAATGTTGTATCATACGTTTTCTGATACATCTTTTGAACGACGTTAATTATGATGCGTTTGAATGATACACTTCCACTAGGACAATACACGTCCCTTGGAAGGTTCATCACTTCATATAAAATAAATAAATAAATAATGATAATAAAATAATACTAATAATCAATATAGCACAAACAACTAAACATTAAGTAACAAGAAACCAGTAAAATGCGGAAATTAATACAGGGAAAGGAAGTTTTGGTGCGACAATAACGTAAATATGGGCACACAAAATGTAAGCCATTAGGCCTTCACTGAAAAGTAAGCATAAGGCAAAATAAAACGTGACTTTAAATTATGCTTTTAATTCTAGTCAGCCTAAAGCTGCCAAAAGCTTGAGTCTGGTTAATCTTTCTATTTCATTTCTGTTTTTAGTTTTCTTTTAAACCCTAATATATAAAGTATATTTTGCTTCCAAGTACCAATTGAAAAAAGCCGTTGGGTCTTAAATTACTGGCTATCCTAGTATGTTAATTTTTAACCTTGCATAGATATAGCTGAAATTAGAATAAGTCATGGCCAATGTCATTTTTTATATTTTTACTTTTATGTATACGTATGTGAGCTTGCAATCATTGTGAACTACGTGTACGCATGTTAGTATTGATGCCATTGTAAAATCTGTGGTTGTTTGTGTCGTCTGTAATGTTCCATGTTGATATTTAATCCAAAGAAATAAATCCATATATCTATCTCTATATTTACCTATCCATATATCAAGTGTGTTTATCTATAACACGATTCTTCCCAATTCGAATTCGACAATGATATCAAGTAAAACCAGGTACTAAGTTCGAGCTGTGGTTATAATACTAATAAAGTCAAGAAGTTATTCCTGAACTCCGAAACAGCAATTGCCTCGTCTTAGCTTCGTGTAAGTCAATCTATACGTTGTTTAGATTGTCTTTTTGAGAATTTATGGCAGACATTTGGAAGTCTCTGGATAATTTATTTATACACCTTTTTATTATATGTCTATTTTTATATCGTTAGGTTAATGCCTCTTGACGAATAAGTCCCATCTTCTTTCGTTTATATTAAAAAGAAACAAAAGTAAAACTTAAAATACAGGTATAGTTTAGATATAATAAGTACCATTCGTGTTACCTTAACAATGTTATGACAGACAGACAGACAGACAGACAGACTATTTTGTCATAGTGTCACATACCAATATAAAACAACAGCATTCATAATATTAACTTAAGTATGAAAACAAAAGCACAATAAAGATTTTAATTTAAGTTAGAATATTGGTATCCAGTCGACTTATGAGACACTTTCAATTAAATACTTAACAATATAATAATCATTAGTGTCCGTGACAACAAATGTGCAAATAAAAAAAAACACAATATCATTGTCGTTTATGGTTATTGCAGTTTTTAAATGGACAACAAATTCAAATGAGAAACCCATGTTTAAATGGTGTTTAATATAATAATTAAATTCCAATACTTTTTACGTTGATCAATTTGAAAAGAAATTCATCTCTGGCAAACTAATAGTACAAACCATTCATCAGCATTTTTCAGTGATAAATTTGTTCCTTAATTGTTTTATTCACAACGGTGTCGACGAGCTATTGTAAAATCTCAACCCTTCATTATTAACTTAATCAACTTATTTGTAAACAAATATTACGTCTCGTTACTGCATAATTCTGTCTTTAAAAATGCGAATTCTGGGTCTGTTTTCTGTTACTAGAAAAGGAGAAGACGGTGATTGGTCATTCTGAGACGAAAATCGGAGTGATCGTCTGCGCCAGGAGGATTGTTGGTTGTCGCAATATGGCAGCAGATCAGTTACACGAACAATATGAAAAATCTTTAGGGAGCTATTGAATAATCGGTGTTTGTGGAAGTGTCCTTAAGCATTATTTTTTTGCCCTCCGTGTATTACATATATTATAACATGTTGTTTCTGTCTGATCACGATATAAGCTGACAAATGGCAAATTATACGAAACCTACACATAAAAGGAGATGGTGGGTTTACTCAGTAGACCAAATTACAGACAAAAACAAAATAATAGAAACATCAATAAAAAGAAATAGAATTATACGAGAAGATAGAACGCTATGAACTGCCATAAGCATTTTAATGTATTTTGTTTGTTTATTTTAATGTGAGATGTATAATGTACCAACGTTAAGGGTACTAAATTCGGTACAATACATTTATATTATTGTTATTAGGGAACATTTCCGGGAGCTTTAATTTTAGTTCCAATAGAAAGTCCTGGTCTTATTTCCAGCAGATAAGTTTTTTTTATCTTCTTTTTTTCAAGACCACCGTGGTAACCATAAAAAAGTTTTAAAATAAATTATATAAACAACGTAAGTTTTAACTCATTTTAATCATTTTTATACGAATTCTACATAGATTCTAAGATTTATTCTATAGAGAGTGGTTATTAATAAGCAAATGTATTAGAATTTCTTCAAATCAGTACACTCTCAAACAGCATTTGAGACACAAGAATGTCCAGCTTTCAATCCAAACGACCAGATTCTCGATCTGTCGGAACGTGTTAAGATGTTTCACTAAAGCATCTTTGTTTCAATAACAGTTAAGTTACACAAGTTGACAGTTTAGCAGATGATATTATATATGTCAATAAATTTAGTGTGTCGCATGATTTTCTGATGGAACCATGTTGGTTTTAGTAAAAATTTACCGAGCGGACGATAATGACAGCTGGACTTAATCTACCTTTTAAAAAGGATGCACCTTTATGTTGTTATTCTTAATAAAGATATCAACTGTCAACAAACTATTCAGAATATGTCAATGACTTTCAATCTCTTAAACATAGTAGCTTGATTGTTAATTTAACCTTACTTTGAGTTGTCATAGTCAAGAATTTCCGCCATTGTCTTGTCTTCATTCGATACTCGTGGAAAGCGAAAGTAGTTTATCAACAATTGATGTCCTCATAGAACCCAACGCCATTCTCTGCCAACACGAATCCTATCGAATTACATGTTACCTGACAGAATAAGTTTTACCAATCAACAAACTTTGTGATAGAACATGTACCTTGTCAGGCGCCATATTACTTTGTGAGTGGTCCTTCCGTAATTAAGTCGTTTGATGTCGCATTCTCACGTGAACTGTCTCTCGTCGGAAGTCTTGAGACTCGTCGTAATATTTTGATACGTGCAAACTGTTCTTAGCCCGAAAAGGTAACCAATTAAATTCAAATGCTCTTAAAACAAAAAGAGATACTTGTATTGGATTACTTGATTCGTGTTTACTTTTCAATTTGTTTTAGCAAATATATATTTTCAAAAAATTGTCCAGATTGCACTACTTTATATCTAATACATATTTCTAGTTATATGCACAATATTCACGGTACACAGTAAACAAAAAAAATCGAACGAATGCTCCAGAATACCAATAATTCGACTGATATGAAACTTATCATACTTTTACTTTTCACTGTTATGTAATGCGTTTGTTTAGAATTTTGTTATCTAAAAATGGTTTAACCAGAACCGTAAACATCGTCAAAGTCAACAATTCATAAAACAGTTTGCAATCTGTTTGTAAGTGCATTCATATAATTTATTAAAAACTGACAATTTGCAATGAAAAGATGTAGCATCGATGCCTATGCTGGTGGACAGTAAGCCACTAAAGATATAACGTGCCTGGTATTCAGTGCCTTTATATTGAAATGCTAGATACTTGTATAATTTTCATGAGACAACGAAAAATGGAAAATTTGTTTTATTTTAAAATCATCCTCTCGACTCATAGGTGTTCCTAAATTCTCTGTAGCTGATCTTTGTTTTGAAGTTAGTTTTGGTGTATTGCTATTCAACATTTTGTTCCTTCTGCTTTCAATGTTTTTGGTATGGTGAACAACTGACGAGAAATGCGCATATAATGCCGCGTCATGACATTTATTTCGATATCTTGTTTATTTTGTATCGAGTAATTTAGTATCGACAATTTTTCGTTGAATGTTTTGGACGACTAAATTTGTTTATAATTTTCTACATAAACAATAACATGCGTCGATATACAATAAAATCACCAATAACATGTACCCGTTTTAGTAATACAAGTACGTTTTCCTCTTTAACAGTATAGGTGTGTGGTATTGTACGCTCTTCAATAAAAAAAGTAATTTATAATATTAACATAAAAAGAGCCACACATATTTTCAATTAAAATAATTACAAAATGAAATCAAATACAGAATCGACAGTGAATAATGTGTAAAATAATGCTGCAATTATTATTGCTAAAAGTCTTGCTGAGAGAAAGGTCGTAAGCTTCTCGTTTTAATCTCATCAATTAAGCCAAATAAGACACGTGATATAATGACGTTACAGTCGTGAAAGGAACAGGTATGAAAATAATTGCTACCTGCTGTGAAGTATTACTAGGACTGCTCTTAAATTTTAACCAGCCTATACAGTTTATTTTACTTTTATCGAGTACTAAATATCACTTACAAGTTATCAAATGTTGGCGTAACTTGGTTCTTATAGGCCGTGGGTTAACTATATTTGCCCTTTTTCTGCTGTTTTTTCCAACAATCGTTCTTAAATCAAATGATATTTGTAAATGTATAATATGTGTGGGATGATGTGAAAAATAAACTATCAAGCAAAATATAATACAAAAAATACAGAGTGAAAAGATAGAAATACAAAAACGAAAAAAGAAGTATTTTCAAAGACACCTATTTTAGACCAAGGAGAACACGGTTATTCATATCAAGTTAAAGGTCGTTGAAATAAATTGAGTACATAATTAAACGATTTTTTACTTTGCGGAAGTTGAACTTTTAGTACCAACCAAATATGTTTTCAATTGTTTAGATGTTATTAGGTTGTAATTTTAACGAAGAAGTATCTGACCTATTTGACATTGGCATCGTGATTTTCCGTCAAAAGTGAAAACATGTCTTTAGTACGAAACAAAGATCTCTCGTCAAACCAATTTATTTAACTCACGAAAAGTAAACATTGTATAATGTCATTACGGTCGTACCAGAAAAGTACTACACGTTATTTGTTGTTTTGTTTTCTTTACTTCCAACAAAAAGTTGATAAAAGTACTTATGATACTACTGTACGTTCCCTATATACAATAAAAAGGTCAACACAGATTTGATGATATTATACTTTGTATATATTATTCTCGAACATACTTTCTCACTTTTGACAGTAAACTAGAGAATCCTTTTATGCTTCAATTTGTTTGCATACTTCAATTATTACGCATAATCTTTATGCTGTTTCCCTTATTATAACGTGTTTGCACTTTTGTTAAGTGTCTCTCTATCCCTCCCAAAGATACATATAGATATGCCCCCCCTTTATATTGATATAAAAAATAAGATGTGGTATGATTGCCAATGAGACAACTCTCCACAAGAGACCACATGACACAGAAATTAACAACTATAGGTCACCGTACGGCCTTCTCTGGTCTTTTGTCATTAGGTGATTCTTCGCCACTCATAGAAATAATAGGATGTGGTGTCGTTGTCAATAAGACAACTATTCTATTTCGGGGGAAACAGATTACATTATAATATGTATAAACAAATAAGAAGATGTGGTATAATTACATGTCAATGAGATAACTCTCCACCAGAGACTAAATGACATAGAAGTTAACAACTATAGGCCACTGTACGGCCTTCAACTATATATATAATAATATA